CGCAAGGTTCTGCGCCGACAAATCCTGGGCCCATATGGGGCAGCCATAGAGCGCCTTGGAGCGCACGACGCCGGCGTACAAGCGGCGACACCCCTCGCTCGAGCCGCCAAGATTCGGCATTATTCGGCACAAAGCCGATGCCGTGGCGGCGAGCTTCGGGGCAAGTGCCGCGAAGTGCGCCTTGAAGGACCACCGAGAGTCGAGGACCAACCCCAAATACTTTAGGGTGGACCCTATCCCGATGGCCTCTCCGCCGACGATGATGTGCGCCCCGCTCGGCGGCGCTCTCCTGGGACCGTGGAATGCGATCGCCTCTGATTTGTTCAGGGCGACTCGCAGGCCAATCCTCTGGATCCGCGCCACGACCTGTGCCACCCCGGCCGTGGCGCGAAGCTTGGCCTCGCGGAAATCGTCGCCCCTCGCAACCACCAGGGTGTCATCCGCGTAGCAGATGACGCTGACACCCCGGATGAGAGAGCAACGCAGGACCCCGTCATAGCCGATGTTCCACAGGAGTGGACCTAACACCGACCCCTGCGGCACACCGCAGCTGACGGGGTGGGAACCCCATCCTTGCCTCCTGGGGAACGTGATGCGTCTCGCCGTGAGATACGACGCAATCACGTCGCGAAGATAGACAGGCACGCCATGATAGCGAAGCCCATCCATAATCGCTTCCCAGGGCAGGGTGTTGAACGCGTTGGCAATGTCAAGCGACACCGCCAAAACAACCCCGCCCTCCGCCACAGTCCCGTCCGACACATCGCGCAATCTCGCGATCGCGTCGATTGTCGACCGCCCCTTCCGAAAGCCAAACTGGCAATCGGACAGGTCTGGCCCCTCCAGAGCCAAGTGCTGCTGGATGCGGGTCGCTACTATACGCTCAAAGAGCTTGCCCGCTTCGTCCAGCAGCACGATCGGCCGATACGCCGAAGGCAAGTCCGGCGGTTTGCCAGGCTTCTGGAGAAGAACCAGCCTTCCCTCCTTCCACAAGTCCGGGAAGACGCGGTTCCGCAGACAAGCCGACAACAGCTTGCGGAACCGCTCGTCGAGGCCGGATTGCAAGGCAAGAGACAGAACCTTCCCGTGCACCCCATCAGGGCCGGGGGCCGTCCTCTTGCCTCGCGTCCTATCCAAGGCCGAGCTGAGCTCGGCCGATGTCACGTCCGGGACCCCCGCGTCCGGGGGAGGGGACGTCGACTGGGGGGGAAGCGAAGCATCCGCATGGGGAAACAAGGCCGACACGACTGAGTTCAGAAGTGCCGGCTCCATGCTGGATGTAAGGGGTGGGGCCCAGGGGCGCAGCTTGCTCATTACGAGCTTGTACGGCCGCCCCCATGGGTCGAGCTCCAAGGTGTTCAGGAGCTCCTCCCACGCCCTTTCCTTCGCCTCCGCGATCTTCATCCTGAGGGCCTTCTTTGCCTCCTGATAGAGGCAATAGAGGCGCCCTTCCTCTTCGGTGTTCCGCGAGGCACGCCGTCTCCTCCTGTACCTGGTGTACTGGCGTCGGGTCACCACACAAGTCGACCGAAGAGCGGCCAACTCCTCCGACCACCAGTACACCTGCCTACGCGGCGGAAGAGGTCGGGACCGAGCCATTGAAGCGTCACAGATACGCTCCAAGGCCGCCCCGAACCACTCCACCTCCTCCCTCACCGAAGAGGACTCCGGCTCTGGACACCAGGTGGCCACTATCGAGGCCACCTCCACCATCTCCCTGTCCAGGGACTTCAGGGCCCAACGAGGGCCCTTCTGCGCCGGAGGGGCGCCAGGCCCGATCGCCGTGGATTGAGAGGAGACACTGAACCGTATGTAACGGTGATCAGACAGCGTCTCCTCCCCGTCCAACACCTCCCAGTCGACGATGCGGCGCGCAAGCCCGGGGCTGGCAAAGGTAAGGTCCACTATGGACCCCCCCCTGCATTCGGACGCACGTCTGCGTCGAGCCCCGGTTCACGAGCGCCAGGTTGTGCGCGGCCATCCACTCGACGAGGACGTCGCCACGAATATCTGAGGTTGGGGAACCCCAAACTGCCGACTTGGCATTGAAGTCCCCCGCCACTACCACCTCATTCGGGCGACCCCACGACACGAGGGCGTCTACTTCCGCCAGGAACTCCTCGAACTCCGACAGAGTCCTGTTGGGCGAGAAGTAGACCCCGACAACCACCACGTTGCCGCACTTCGCCGCGACACAACCCTGGCCTCTCCGTGAAGAGACAATTGGGGGAGAGCCAACGGCTCCGGTGACGACTAAGGCGACAGTCTCGCCAAAGTCCCCGACCCAATTGTCCCCTTGCTGCACCGCATACGGCTCCGCAAGCACCGCAATGTTAATGGACCACTGCGCCAGGCCCTGGAATAGGAGATCCTGGGCCCTGGCGCAATGGTTCAGGTTCGCCTGGAGGAACCGTAGGGCCATACTAGGCCCCTACGGTCTCGGCAACCTCCATTGCGGTCCCGCTCGGAGGGACGGCGGCCCGCTTCTCCGGGACTCTCCGCCGCATCTTTTTGGTGGGGGCCGAGCACTTGGCACCACCCACCCGATGGGTTGCCTCCTTGCCGGCCGCCGCGCAAACCGCGCAATGCGGACTGGCCGTACAAGAGGCCGCCAAGTGCCCGGGCTGACCGCATCTGTAGCAGAGACCGCTACGATCGCTCGCGCAATCGCAACGGCTTGCCACGTGGCCAGCCTCCAGGCATCGGTAGCAACGCAGTGCCCGGGGTTTTCCCAGAGTCACCCGCGCCGCCACCCATCCCACCAAAAATCGACCCTCCAGGAGCCGTTTCGCAGAGACCACAGGGACATGCGCCCAAACTGCGCCAAGTCCCGTGCGGTCCCGCCTCACGTCTCCGACCCTCACTTGCCAGAGAGGGCACTCGCCCTTTTTCACGATGGCATCGGCCACCTCCTCCTTCGAGACGGAGTCGTCAAGGCCCGAAATTCGGACGTCGACGGCCTTTTGTGGCCGCGACACCTTGACGGCTTCGCCGTCCAAGACCTCCCCGAGCTTCTTCGCGAGAGCGTCGGCCTTGGGGCCGCTCGCGGCTCCGGGGAGTTGTAGGATGGTGGCTCCGGTGGCCGCCTTCCTCACCCTGATGCCATCGAGGCCTGTGACCTCCTTGAGGTCCAGCCTCTCTCTGGCCTTCCTCAGGACCTCACTGTACGAAAGCCCCGCTTTCGTTGCGTCCTCGGTGATGGTCAAAACCACCGCCGAAGACCGAGGCGCCCTGAGTTTCGGCTTTTTCGCCGTTTGAGGGCCGGATGACTTTGCAGGCCCTTTGCCTGCACGCGGTCGTGCCTGCTTTTTCGGAGCCTGACCACCCGCCCTGGATTGGGCAGGCAGACTCCGGGGCTCCTTCTTCCGGGACGTGCGTCCCTTTCTGACCACCGTGACCCAGTTCCCCTCAAGGGAGTCCGGGTTCGGCGGCCTCGATGGTTCAGGGGGAGGTGCCACTGCCTCACCCCTAACCGGAGCCCTCTTCCTCTGCTTCTGCGGCCCCTTCTTCGCTGAAGGGGCGGCAGGTTTGGCGGCTGCTTTGTCAACCGCCAATGGCGGCCGGAGTCGGGGAGCAGGGTTCAGTCGAGGCTCTAAGCCCTCGAACCTGGCGTTCACCCTGTCCCCAATCTTCCGCAGCAACCCTGCCTCGAACTCCTCCAAGCTAGTGGGGAGTTGGGAGGATCGCTGCAGATCCTCCACCCGCCGAGTCAGCTCCTCCATCCTTTCGCGGAGCTTTTGGTTCTCCGCTTGGAGGACCTTTGTCTCCTCAGAGACAGTCCTCTGGATGAGGAGAGCAGAGTTCTCCCGAATAGACGCGACCGCGTCATTGAGGGCGCGGACGAAGGTCCCCTTCAAACTCCCGGACTTCTTCGCCACGCTCTGGATCACACCCAGACTCTCGTCAATGCCCTTTATGGCATCGACGGCGGAACGAGGCATGGGGACACAAGTGCCCATTATGTCCCCCTCGTCCCATGCGAGCGACGCCACAGAGGAAGGCCGCGTAGATCGGGCCTCCGAGACAGAGGCCGCTAACTCAGCCTCCGCCTGGAGCCGGATCTCCTCCCTCTTGGCCTTGTTAAGGGCCTTTTTGGCGGCCGCCAACCCGACGTACTCGCCAGTGGTTGGCGGGCGGCCCCTGGGTCGCTTTTCAGCGGACCCTCTCTTCGCTACAGAGAGAGGGGTGTCTGTGGAAGACCCCTCTTCTGGCGATTTCTCTCCCTCTTTGGGTCGTTTCCGCTTCTGGCGCCAGAAGCGGCTCGACTCCAATTCACCGACCGGAGGGACTGAGCCAGCGGACGACACGCTGACTAAGTCCGAATCCGAGTCGGACAGATTTAACGAGGCCCTTGAGGACCTCGTACTGCGGCTAGCCCTAGCCAAGGCTGACGCCGACAATCTTGTCAACGCCACCCTCAGCGCTCGCCCTTCCACTTCTACCTCTCTTCTCCTTTCTTCCTCCTCCTTCTTCTCGCTGTTAGTTTTTTGAATTTGTTTTGAATTTTCTCCTTCCATTACTTCTTTTCATTTAACAAATGTTGCGCCTCGCTACAAGGCGCAACGGCATTTCTTTTTCTCTAAGGGAAATGCAAAGTCCACCCGGGCAGAGCCCTGTACCCGGGTAACCCTAATACAACTGGCGGTCGGGCGGTCGCCAGAGGTTGGCCGCTAACTGGCCCGGTTACTGCCGGACCACCCACTCACCCTGCGGGCAAGCGGGGGCGCAGTGCCGCGCAGAGGTCCGAAGACGCCCCAACACCACGCAAAATTCAGGGTTTTTTCTGAGGTTTTCCTTCCTCTTGGGCCGGCCGATTAAGGCAAGCCCCCTGGTCCCAGGTGCGCCGCGAGACATGATCCACGACACGCACCCGGGGAAACAGGTTTGCCCGACGGAGGGCCGAAACCCCTAACCAGGCGCAGCACATCGCCACGCCCGGCCCGCCGCGCCGCGGTCCACCACCACCGCCGTCCGTGGTGACTCCACCACCATACTGCGCCATGAAGGCCACTGGTCTCAACAGACCCCAACATCCGTGCTCGGAGGCACGCTCGCAGCGCTCTGAGGTGAGCGCTGCGTCTCCGTGATCGGTCTCCGCGTCATCTTCGGAGACCGACCGATGGATCCAATTGGCTTCGTCGTGCAATAGTGGCCAGAATCGGCAGACCCACAGACAGTCTGTTGCCAATTAGGCACCTGACCACTATAATAAGCACTGACTACTAAGCCCCCCCGCCGCGACAAGGCCTGGATCATGGGGGGGGAACCTAACCTAACCTAACCTAACCTAACCTAACCTAACCTAACCTAACCTAACCTAACCTAACCTAACCTAACCTAACCTAACCTAACCTAACCTAACCTAACCTAACCTAACCCTCCAAACATCGTAGTGGTGAAAGCAAAAACCCACGAGCAGGACGTGCATCTCGTATCATTTTACTTCGAGCCCACGCCCACGCCCATCGAACCCTACCTAAACGAGATCCGGAAGATTTGGAAGTCGGTAGGCCCTAACGTCATCTTTGCAGGTGACGCCAATGCCAAGAGCGACCTCTGGGGGGGAAAGATCACGGATAGAAGGGGGGAAAGCTTAATGGGATTAATCGCAGAAATGGGGGCATATGTGTCGAATGAAGGCGAAACGCCTACATTCGACACATATAGAGGTGGTAAGAGCTACAGCAGCTTCGTCGACATTACATTCCACTCCGCCAACCTTTTAGGATTGGTGAGGGAATGGAGGGTCGAGGAGGCACTGACCAGCTCGGACCACAACGCCATTCTGTTTGAGTTAAAAGAAACCAAATTGAAAGGGGTAACGATGGAAAGAACAACGAGGATCTACAACACAGGGAAGGCGCACTGGACTAATTTTCGTGAGAAAATTGGCCAGCTGCTAGAAAGGGAAAAGATGAGTGCAGAAAGCATAGAGAAGATAGTCAAGGAGAATGAGTTGAACAGGGCGGTTGAGAAGTATACAGAAATGATTAAGAAAGCATGTGAAGAAAACATACCAAAGCTAGGAAAGACTAAGAAACTTACCGTACCGTGGTGGACCCAGGAACTGGCAGAAATGAAGAAACAGGTCAAAACTAAGAAAAGAAGAATCAGGTGCGCAGCAGCATCTCGAAGACCGAAAGTGGTAGAAGAATACCTGAAAATAAAAGAAGAATACGAAGTTAATATAAAAGACGCAAAATTAAGAAGTTGGAAAGAATTTTGTAGTAAACAGGATAGGGAAGGGATGTGGGAAGGAATATATAGAGTGATCAAAAGGACAGAAGTTAGAAAAGAGGATGTGCCTTTAATAAAGGAAGGAAAAGTGCTGGGGATGGAAGAGTCTGCAGAATTATTAACGAGAACCTTTTACCCTGATGATGACGAGGGCGAAGATAAACAGGTGCACAAGGAAACAAGGGCAAAAGCGCGGTTGGTGAACGAGGGCCCCGGTGACGACCGTCCGGAGCCTCCGTTCACAGAACATGAGCTGGGAATGGTCCTGAGCACATTTAACCCCAAAAAAGCACCTGGACGAGACGGACTGACCCTGGACATCTGCAGGGAAGCAATTATGGCCGAACCGACACTTTTCCTCGCGCTCATAAATAGGTGCCTCACAATAGGACACTTCCCCACCATCTGGAAGGAGGCCACCGTGGTGATACTTCGGAAGCCGGGTAGGACGGACTACACAACTCCGAAGGCGTACCGACCGATTGGCCTGCTTCCAGTGATGGGGAAGATTGCGGAAAAACTCTTTGTGAGAAGAGCAAGCTGGCACATCATGCCAAAATTGAGCGCGAGGCAGTACGGGTTCATGCCGCAACGTAGCACCGAGGACGCCCTCTATGACCTGTTGAGCCACATAAAAAACTCTCTTCGCGAAAAGAAGATCGCAGTATTGGTCTCACTCGACATAGAGGGCGCCTTCGACAGCGCATGGTGGCCGGCCATAAGGTGCAGACTGGCGGAGACGGGATGCCCTAAAAATTTGAGGAGGGTCTTCGATGGTTACCTGAAAAATAGGAAAGTGAAATTGAGGTACGGGGGGAGCGAGATAGAGAGGAATTGTATGAAAGGTTGCGTGCAAGGATCCATAGGGGGCCCAATACTATGGAACCTGTTGTTGGACCCCCTACTGCAAGGCCTTGAAAGAAAGGGAGTCTGCGCCCAGGCATTCGCGGATGACGTTGTCTTGGTCTTCGACGGCCACACTGCCCGGGAGATCGAAGGGAAGGCCAACGCAGCCCTCGCCTATGTTCGGGAGTGGGGCGTCATGAACAAGCTGAAGTTCGCACCACACAAAACCAAAGCTGTGGTTGTGACTAAGAAGCTGAAGCATGATACCCCACGACTGAGCATGGGCGGGGAGGGCATTGAGGTGGTGAGAGAGGTGAGGCTTCTCGGACTAATAATAGACGAGAGCCTCACCTTCAACACCCACGTCAAAACCATCTGTGCGAAGGCCCACCGGATCTTCCACCAGCTGGCAAGAGCGGCAAAAATTAGCTGGGGCCTCGACACGTCAATCATCAGGACCATCTATACTGCAGTCATAGAACCCGTCCTGATGTATGCCGCGGGTGCATGGGGGCAGGCTGTAAGTAAAAAGTGTGTAAATGTAAGCAATAAAGAACTAAATTAAGACTTACGTATAGATTTAAGATAGACAAATGTATGTAACAACAAAACAAATGATGGATACAAATAAAATGGACAGATGTAAAGTTATTTTAAACCCAGTAATAAAAACAATAAAGATATACACATAGACAGATATTCCACGGCCCGGAGATAACTTCGTCCGGGGGGTAGGCTCAGTAGGTGAAAAAAAAAAAAAAAAAAAAAAAAAAAAAACCTAACCTAACCTAACCTAACCTAACCCAAGGTTTTAACGTTTTTCAGGCTGATGGCGCCACGAAAGTACGGGCCTGTATCTTGGCCAAAACACACATTCACGCGATCACACTCACACAATTCACAACGGACGACCTTTGCATCATTTCCATTCCCGCGAAAAATTATAACATATACGTAGTCTCGATTTACATTGAACCGCGCACAGATACAAATAATATACTAAATAAACTAGACCAATTTTTACACACGCACAACGGCTCACACGTAATAATAGGCGGCGATTTTAACGGATGGCACAGCACTTGGGGCAGTTCCGCAGACAACCCACGAGGAGCAGAAGTAGCTGACTTCATATTAACCCATGACCTTCAGTTAGGAAACGTAGGCCAAACTCCCACATTTCAAACGATTACGCACGGACAGACACGCACCTCTATTATAGACTTAACGCTCTATTCCCCCAATCTCATTAGCAAAATAAACGACTGGCGAGTACACCCGGGACACTTTCCATCCACACAACACAACCACATTACATTCGCAATTAATCTTACACAATCTCCTGCGCTCACCAAAAATACTTACAGCACATTCTTATACCAAACAAACAAAGGCAACTGGCATTCATTTAAAGAACACCTCCACACCAAAATTTTTAATTCAGGAATCCTAGACAAAAATATAGAGACATTAACGTCCACACAATTAGAGCAAACCATCATTACCCTCACCGAAATTATAAACGATGCCAGCACCCAAACTTTTCCCATAAGAAATAACAGAATCAAACCCAGGCCTCCGTGGTGGTCGGATGAATCCTTGAAAGAGGAATGCATCCGACTCCACCGACAATTGCATAACTCACGCGGACGCCCTCCCGACCCAAACATCTTAGATGAATACAAAACCCTTAAAGAAAACTACGCAGACAAACTTAAACAGACCTCAACAGAAAGCTTTAGATCATTTTGCTCCCTCCAAACAAAAGAAAATGTCTGGTCACTAACAAACAGACTGCTAAAATCACGAGGATTCAACCCACCACCTCAAACGCTACGCAGAAAAAATAACACGTACACCACCACGGCACAAGAAACCGCGCAGGAATTGCTTAAACACTTTTACCCAGACGACGGGCCCGACACCGATCCTACACATATTCATACTCGCGACACGTCAAACAATATACCCAACACCCAAGATGACCCAGAATTCAGCCAGGAAGAGGTTCTAGAGACCCTCCGTCAAATGAATCCCAATAAGGCTCCAGGCCACGACCACCTTACGAGCGACATATGCTCGATGGTTGCAAGCCAATATCCTGGATTAATCACTAACATACTGAACCGATGTCTTTCACTAGCATATTTCCCAAGTACATGGAAGAAAACCATTGTAAAAGTCATCCCTAAACCCTCAAAAACCGACTACACCGATCTATCAGCCTATCGCCCAATTGGCCTTATACCAATAATTGGCTTTATACTTGTATTTGGAAAAACGCTAGAAAAACTCTTTACTAAACGGCTCATATACTCGTCACAGCGGCAAAAAACACTCAACACTGAACAATACGGATTCACCCAACAAACAGGTACAACACAAGCCATTCTCTCGATAATTAATAAAGTCAAAGCAGCTAAGCAAAATCATCAAGAAGTATCAGTAGTTTCACTCGATATCAAGGCGGCATTCGACAACGCGTGGTGGCCAGCTATCCTTAGCGGTCTTAGGGACGTCGGATGCCCCCTAAATATATATAAACTTAAAAAAAAAAAAAAAAAAAAAAACTAACCCACACCCAAAAAATTTTTAAAAAAACCCGGGAGAAGAAAAAAACGCCACAAAAAAAAAAAAAAAAAAACCGGGCGAATAAAAAAAAAAAAATTTTAACCTCGCAAGACATCAATAATTATCTCTCGGACCGCACCGTCAACTTCGGCGAACACACTACCAGCAAAACCAATAACAAAGGCTGTATACAGGGTTCGGCATGTGGACCCGTTCTGTGGAATATTCTGATCAATAAATTACTCAACACCAGATTTCCGCCCGGGTGCCACCTACAAGCTTTCGCAGATGACGTAGTGCTGCTGGCCACAGCATCAGACACAGACACTCTACAACGAATCACGAACACTTCACTAGATACCATCTTTCAATGGGGCAAAAGCGTTAAATTAGAATTCGGTCCAGAGAAAACACAATTAATTCACTTCTCAAATAAAGCCCAAAAAACCCACATTAAAATAAACAACATTATGTTAAAACCGGTAGAAACAATAAAATATCTTAGGTGTCATTATTGATCGCAGACTGACATTCAAAAACCACATAAATTACATCATTCAAAAATCACAAAACCTATTTAATAAACTTTGCAATTTTATAAGACCCACCTGGGGCATACACTCTGATAATATAAAAACAATATACCATATGGTCATAGTCCCAACCATCACATACGCCGCGGGAGTTTGGGGCGACTCCGTAAATATAAAAACCTACAAAAACAAAATCCTCTCATTACAACGAATGTTTGCAATTAAAGCCATCCGCGGATTCCGTACCATCTCCCTAAACGCAGCCCTCGCGCTCGCAGAATTTCTCCCATTAGATATAAAAATCAATGAAATCAAATGCATCGAAAAAGCCCGCGTCGAGCACCAAACTAACTTAATTCCATCCGACATCCCCATTGAGACACCCACACACCCCTCACAACTCTTACACCCCTCGGTTCGCACAGGCATCAGACACACAACATATAAAAACAACCTACACAAACACATCAAACCCGCGCCTCACAACATATACACAGACGGCAGCAAACAAGAGAACGGAGAAACTGGAGCAGCATTCATTGTCCACTCGCCTAACACACATTTAACCATACACACATCAAAAACCAAACTCCACCCCACGAGCAGCATTTTTCAAGCTGAACTCCTCGCCATTAGAGAAGCATGCAAATGGGCAACCAAAAATAATATCAACTGCATCATAAATTCGGACTCACGATCTGCACTGGCGGCACTAGAACAATCATCCAATACCCACCCAATAGTTAGCAGCATACACCGGATATTACACCATAACAAGCACACACAGATACTTTTCAAATGGGTTCGAGCCCATACCGGTATTGTAGGTAACGAGGAAGCAGATGCCGCTGCTAAAGCAGCTTCTAAAGCCCATAAGGCTCCTGATTTCATTAGTTGCCCCTTATCTTATATAAAACACATCGCACGCTTAAATTCTTACACCACTTGGGAAAAGAGGTACTTGGAGGAGCCCACGGGGGCAAGAACCAGGTCTCTCCTACCATCACTTAAAGACATACACAAACTAAACACGACACTTCCGGTCTCTTTCCACCTCACTCAGTTCATCACAGGGCACTCGTACACTAAACAATACTTACACAGATTTAATATCACCTCAGACGACAAATGCCCCTGTGATAACACTAGCATACAAACATTTACACACCTCATAAATGACTGCTCCAGGTTCTCCTCCCAAAGGCACGATTGCCTACAGGCACAAGCTAGGCACAAAACACCAGACACCTTCACACTAAAAGACTCTCTCCTAAACAGAGCTGCGATCGACGCCATAGATAAATTCGTTAAATATATAGTTAATAACCTAAAATTGTACAATAACACGTAAATGTAACCAGTAAAATTCTCTCATTGTAAAAAGTTAAAATCCCTAACTGTAGTAACCTCACAGCAAGCAACTTAGCATTGTATAACCTCATACATATGTAAATATTTTGTTTGTATAAAGATAAGAAAATTATGTATTAATGTCACAAATTGCATTGTATAATAAAGCTCTCAATTATATAAATATAGAATGTAAGTTAAACAATGTTAATGTATAGCTTATAGACACTAAGGAAAACTTGATTTGTATAGCGACTCTAATTCTAAGAAACCACATTTTGTAAATACCCAGTGTAAAAGGAACTTTGTGGAAAGACTGTATCCAATAGCAGCATCCACAAAGTTTCTTCCCCTAAAATCTGTATATCACTCAAACACCGAAACCAATGTACCAATAAGTTAAAAAAAAAAAAAAACCTAACCTAACCTTTTTTTTTTTTTTTTTTTTTTTCACCTGGAGGAATCCGTTTACGGACCCCGCGCCTGGGCAGTGCAATGGCGCGGGAGTGTGGGACTCGACCCTAGAAGAGGGCCAATACCGCACTAAACCATCCAGGACCCACGTCCACTCCACTATTGGCAAGGGTAAGGTATCAGTAAAACCATATTTTCCTTGAACCCTCGCCGAGTGGCTCGCCGCGCAAGCGCGACTCTCCCTACAAAAATACGTAAGGTATGCTTACGCACGCCCTTGCCATCGTCTGGTGAGGATCACTGGGGGTGACGGAGGAAGTCCCGCCGCCGCCTTCCAGGTCTCCTCCGGCGTTGCTGATCTGCGTCAGGAGCTATCTCCCGCAGTCGCTCCGCCTCCTCCTTCTGTGATAGGACGGCTTCGCAGAAGGCAGCGAACGCCCTCCATTTCCCGTCGTCTGTCTGTAAAATCTTTGCAATAATATCGTTTAAGTGTGTATCACCTCTGGTGATGTCTAGGCCGAGTTGTATCGACAGGGTGTCTCTCTCGACGACCCATGCCGAACATTCCGTCAGTGTGTGGCGGACAGTGTCCACCGCAGCGCCACAGTGATGGCAAGCGGGGGTCCGTTCCCTACCGATCTTGAACAAATAACTGCCAAAACAGCCGTGTCCCGACAGCATCTGCACCAGACGGTAGGACAGATGTCCCCGCCGCCGACTCACCCATTCCTTCAGGACCGGCTGAATCGCCTCCAGCGTCCATCTTCCAGTCCTTGAGGTCACGAGGCCGTCGGACCACTCCTGGGTGACCCAATCTCCGGCGCTCCTTCTCCACTCGTTCACTGTCTCGTAGGCAGGTTCCTCTCCTCTCGACCTAGAACGAAACCTACGCCAGTGAACGTCTGCCAAGGCAGAGGCTTCGAGGTGCCAAGGTGCCGAAGCGGCTAGTACGCACACGGCATCGAAAGACACCGTGCGGTACGCCCTTGCGACCCTTATGGCGATCACTCTCTGCGATTGCCTTAGCAACGCCCTATTCTGGGATGCCAATCCGTACGCCCAGATTGGGCACCCGTAGAGGGCCATCGACCGCATGACCCCTGCAAATAGCCGGCGACGCCCCGCGCTCGGTCCGCCAACGTTCGGCATAATACGGCAAAGCGCCGATGCCGTGGCGGCCAACTTGGGGGCCAGTGCCTTGAAGTGCTGCTTGAAGGTCCACCGAGAGTCGAGGACCAAGCCCAAATACTTGAGCGTGGACCCGACCCCGATGGACTGGCCGCTTACCACAATGCTTGCGCCAGAAGGTGGTGCTCTCCGCGGGCCATGGAAACATATCGCCTCCGATTTGTGAAGTGCGACTTCCAGGCCGATGTTTCTAATGCGCGCGACAACCTGCGCCACTCCCGCTGTCGCACGCAAGCTCGCCTCTCTGTAGTCTCGCCCTTTGGCTACGACAAGTGTGTCGTCCGCGTAACAGATGACTTGTACGCTCCTGATCAAGACACCCCGTAGAACCTTGTCGTAACCAATGTTCCACAAGAGAGGCCCCAGCACAGACCCTTGTGGGACTCCGCACGATACCCTATGGGTACCTGTACCGTCACGAGTAGGGTAAGTTATAACTCTACCCGTGAGGTAGTCCGTCACGGTGTTGACGAGGTAATGCGGCAGGTTGTGAAACCGCAACCCCTCGATGATGGTGCCCCAGGGCAAAGTGTTGAACGCGTTCGCGATGTCTAGAGACACCGCGATCACGACCCCGCCCTGTGACACCGTCTCGTCGCACAGGTCCCTTAGACGTCCAATGGCGTCAATGGTCGAGCGACGTTTGCGAAACCCAAACTGTGTCTCCGCTAAGTCCGGTCCTTCCGACGATAGGTGTCGCTGGATGCGACCGGCCAGGATGCGCTCGAAGAGCTTGCCGGCTTCATCCAACAAAACGATCGGACGGTAAGCCGATGGTGACGTTTCCGGCTTGCCGGGCTTCTTGAGGAGGACCAGTTTCCCCTCCTTCCACTTGTCTGGAAACTTCTCCGCCCTTAGGCACCGGGTTAACAGGTTCCGGTACCGTTCTCCCATCTCATTCTTGATGGCAATCATGAGCAGCCTCCCGTGTATACCATCCGGCCCAGGAGCTGTCGTTTTGCCCGTCATCCTATCCAATGCCGCGTCCATTTCCGCAGAAGACACTTCAAGGGGATCCGTCGGTGTAGCACCCGCAGAAAGTCGCGGCTGATTGTTGGCCAAGAGAGGAGAGTTCACCGCCGGGAACAGAGTCGTCACCACCGAACCAAGCAGCGACGGCTCCATGCCAGATGTTAGCGGCGGGGCCCAGGGGCGGAGTTTACTCATGACGAGCTTGTACGGCCGCCCCCAGGGATCCGACTCCAGCGTTTCCAGGAGCTCTGTCCACGCTCTCTCTTTTTCCTCTCCTATCTTGATCCGTAAGGTCATCTTGGCGTCTTGGTATGCGCCGTAAAGTCTTCGCTCCACTAGTGGGTCGCGAGTCCTTCGTCTTCTCCGGTAATGGGTGTACTGGCGGCGGGCCCTCACGCAGGCCAACCGGAGTTGCGCAAGCTCCTCCGACCACCAATACACCTGTTTACGAGGGGCTGCCGGTCGGGATCTGGCCATGGAGCTATCTGAGATATCAGCCATGACCTCTCCAAACCGAGCAACCTCACTCTCTAACGTTGTTCTGTCCAAAGTTGGACACCAGGCCCCGACAACCGAAGCCGTCTCGGCTGCCTCCCTGTCCAGAGTTTTCAAGGCCCATTTGGGGCCGGTCTCCAACGAGATGCGATTGGCATTCGCTGAATTCGCCAACGGGGGAAGAGAAAACTCGATGTACCGATGATCGGATAGAGTCTCGACCCCCGTCAGCACCCGCCAATCCTGGATTCTCCGTGATAGAGTGGGACTTGCGAAAGTCACATCTATCACGGAGCCTCCTTGCATCCGAACACACGTAAACTCGTTCCCTTGGTTCAAAGGGACGAGATCGTGCTCCGCTATCCATTCCAGGAGCGTATCACCCCGGGCATCCGAGACCGAGGACCCCCATACGATAGATTTCGCATTGAGGTCCCCGGCCACGACCACCCCGAGAGGTCTGCTCCACTCCATTAGGGCACTGACGCCCGCCAGGTATGACTCGAAATCGGCCAGTGACCTGTTGGGCGAACAGTATGCCCCAATGACGACTATGTTGCCTACCCGACACGCAATACAGCCGCCACCAGCAAGTGACGAGGCGACGGTGGTAGAGTCGCTGGTGTTAAGCGCGACTATGGCGACTGATTTGTCGCTGGACCCGTACCAGTTGGCCCTGTCAGGAACCATATATGGTTCGGCGACGATGCCAATGTTTATCCTCCGCTGTGTTAGGCTCTGCAGGAGAAGATCCTGGGCCCTGGCACAGTGGTTGATATTGGATTGAAGAAATCGTAGGACCATCCTAATCCACTACGATGTCTTCAGTCTCCATAGTGGAACCCGTAGGCTGGGTACCGCCGGCAGCTGTTGACGCCGGCTTCGTCTTTCCACCTTTTTTGCTGGGGGCCAAACACTTCTTTCCTCCCAGCCGATGGTCGGCTTTCTTGCCCGATTTCGCGCACAGGGCGCAATGCAAATTCGCAGTGCACGCCTTCGCCAAGTGCCCCGCTTTGCTGCATCGGTAGCAGAGCTGGCTGCGATCTTCATCTGGGCACTTCGCCGCTACATGTCCAGTCCTCAGGCACCGGAAGCACCGCATCTCCCTGGGTTTGGCGATCTTGATGACGCCTTCCATCCACCCGACCAGAAAACGACCCACCACCAACTTCTTGGCCGCTGTTGTTGGGACCTGTGCCCATGCCGCATTCCGACCCGTTCGGTCGGGCACCACTGCACCAACTCGGATCTGATCGCCGGGGCATTCTCCTTTCTTGGCCAACGCGGCCCTTAGGTCTTCGGAGGTGACCGCGAGGTCCAATGCGGTGACACGCACGTCGGTGAGCTTCACCGGCGTGTACACTTTGATCCCCTCATCCACGTAGATTGCTTTGAGCTTCGTGGCGAGGAGCTCCGCCTTGGGATGGCTCGAGGCTCCGGGTATCTCCAAGATCGCAGCCCCTGTGACCGCACGCCGAAACTTGACGGATTCAATTCCGACGTCCGCCAAATCAATCTTGGTCTTAGCCTCCCTTAACACCTCCGGGTAGGTAAGACCTCTTCCTTCGGCCTCTTTGGAGACCGATATCACGACGGCCGAGGACCTCGGAACCTTTAACCGAGGCTTGGGCGCCGTCTTCTTTTGAGCAGGCTCGCGTGTCTCTCGCGTCTGAGGCGGCTGAAGAGTCCTAGCCGCTTGAGGCTGCGATGTCTTTGGAGCAGACTTTCGTCCTTTCCTCGTCACTGTCGCCCAGGTTTCCTGTACAGGAACGGTCGCCGGGTCCTGAGTCTGAGCGCGGGAGGTTGATGGCAGGACCGGTGCCGAGGTTGATGCCACGGCGCTTGGAGCTTGCTCCACTTCCCTATCCTTTCCCTTACTCTTGCTCTTCTTCTTCTTTTCCTCCTTTCTCTTATCTTCCTTCTGAGTTTCTCCTGCTGTTGCAGCAGGAGTATCTTTTCTCTTAAGGAAGCCCTCCTGGCGAGAAGTCCTCTTTTCCACGTCCGCTTCCTTATTTTGGTTGTCGCGGAGTCTCCCCTTGAGCGTGGGCCTATAGTTTGGCTCTGGGTTCAGACGATCTTCAAGCCCTTCGATGCGAGCGTTGATTCTGTCAGTCACCCGTTGCATCATTCTCGACTCCAGTTCCTCCAAGTTGTTGGCGGAAGTGTGTCCTGACTGCCCCTTCTGGAAAAGAGCTTTCAGCTCCGCCATCTCCTTCTGCATCGCCCCAATCTGGCGACGGAGCCGTGCGTTGTCCTCCCTAAGCGCTTGCGTTTCTTCAGAGAGGGTACGCTGTGCCAGTACTGCCGTGTCCTCCCTTAGCTCCGCAACCGCCTTCTTCAAAACTTTGACAAAAGTCCCTTTCAGATTAGAGGACTTTTGGGCCACTTGCTCTACGAGTCCGATGCTTGCCCCTATCCTCTCTTGGATATCGATCGGGAGCACGCGTCCGGACATGTCGGTCACATCTAGCGACATAGAGCGCGTCTTTTTCGCCTCAATAGCCGAAGCAAGCAGCTCAGCCTCAGCTTGAGCCTCCATCTCCTGTCTCTGGGCTTTGAGATAAGCCCTTTTGGCTTCGGCCAGTCCTATGTATTCGCCCGTTGTGGGCGGGCGGCCTTTGCCTCTCCTTTTTCCTGCTTTGCTAGGCGCGTCAGTGGAGCTGTCATCGTCCTCCGACAGTCTACTCCGCTTTCTAGACTCCCAGAATCTAGACTTATCCCTGTCCAGTAATTCTGTACTCACAGATTCGAACAGGCGGCCCGAAGAGCAAGATGGTGCACTTACCATCGAGCCGTCATCCGAATCTGACATCGCTAGATCCGTCATCTGACGTATAGCATCCTTCACTACTGAAGAGGGTCTTGGCATCGGCGTACGCACGAGGGACACTCTCAGTTCTTTTCTCTCCTCCTTCTTCGTCTTCTCCCTTTCACATCTTTCAACTCCTTTCCCATTTACGTCTGTTTGTTTGTTTTTTGGTTCCATTATCATTCTTTGGGTGTCACTCTTCTAAGTCCGAAAATAAACGGAGCATATCCGAGTAACTTGATGTGTTTATTGGGGAAATAAAAAGTCCATCTAGGCGGAGCCCCACGCCTAGATAACCCTAATACGCCGCGGGGGCGGGAGGTACCGCGGGTCGGCCGCTAATTGCCCGACATGACGCGCCGAGCACCTACAGTGAAGTAGGGGAATGGAGCCGCGCGAGGCCCCTAAGGGCGCCCCAGCACCACTCGTTACGGGTTTTTAATGAGGTTTTCCTTCCTCTTGAGCCGGCCGACTAAGGCAAGCTCCCTGGCCCGGTTCCTGCACGAGACATGACCGCACAAGAAACAAGGGTAACAGGTCGCCCGACGGGGGATGTAAACACCCCTAACCAGCAATGGCACGTCGCCACCGCCGGCCCGCCGCGCTACGATGGTGCGAACCCACCACTCCACAATATAAAATAAACAAGCTCATAAGAGCAACAAAACTGTACACAATAATATATAAATAGAATAAAATATGTACACAGGCGCCGGGCGCCTACAACTCGATACACAGAAATATTTACAAAGATATATACACGTATTCAGGCCGCTTGAGCCCTCTCCCTGTTCCAGACTTTGAGACCCAAGCAAACGCCGAGTGCTCAAGAACTCAAAAGCCGAACTTAAAGTTGCAAGCCATAAGGGGGCATCCCCATAAGAGAATGACCACAGTATCGCTTGCCTACCCCAAGATGAGCGACCCCAATAATCACGTACCATAGAAAATCATTAGGCCCGCCAGATCCCAGGGTCAAATGGCAAACTTTAGAGGAACATCCCAAAATAGTGATGGCCACACTAAAGCCGCCGTCTCGGTTCCAAGCCACGTGAACGTAGGGCGGAGAACCGATCTCGCCACAGTAAAGATTATATACATGCCAAGAGGGCCATAACAAGTGTACATTATTTATAACGAAGAACAAAACAAAACAGTAAAGTGAAATGAAATAAATAGTATGTACACGGGTGAGAAGCACCCTCATCCAAACATTATTTACAAAAGAAAATGTGCAAGAACTTACTCCACCACGAAGCTCTTCTTCCCTGCTCGACCGGTCCCGAAGCAATGTCCAGGGGTCGAGTCCCGCCGTAGGCCCAGGCTCCCGTTCAAATGCAGGCTCGGCTCCCGTTCCGCGGCAGGCCATCATCTTCGTCGGCTGTGCCGACTTGTGGGCGTAAAAGCCGACTTCTCGGTGCGACGACGGGAGGTAACAACCCCTAACCGGAGGCTATAAGCCATTCCCGGCCCGCCGCCGCTGTGTGCATGGCGCCGACGGGAGACGTGAAACGGTCCGACCCTGACGGCGTAGACGTATCATTTGCCATCGAGGGCCCGCCGCGCCATATACTCGCACACCCGACCCAGGGCGAAAAGCGCCCCGGGCCCGCGCCATAGGACGCCCTTCCTCGCGCTTCACTGCGCATCGCGATCTGAAGGATCGCGATCATAGCAAACTTCGTCTTCCCCACCCACCACGAAAAACGCGGTTGGCAAGGAACGCCGAAGATGTAGCAAGCCATACAGAGCAATATAAATATTGCAGAGTATCACCCGCCTCCCAGTTAGCGACCACCGAGTCTGCAGGATACGCACCGGTCATCACAAAGCTAACAAACTTTGCCATAGCCGATACCACCCTGACCCAGATGGCCGGGCCCCCCCGGCAGCGACAAGCCCTGGGGCTGCACGAGATACTCAAAGTGCAGTGGGGGGGAACCTAACCTAACCTAACCTAACCTAACCTAACCTAACCTAACCTTACCTAACCTTACCTAACCTAACCTAACCTAACCTAACCTAACCTAACCTAACCTAACCTAACCACCGACTCTCCCCCGTCGTCTCTATTACATCCGTCCCTTCGCACCCCTATCACCTTCACCGAGATTAGCTCGATGGAGGAATTCTCATCCCTTAGCATAAATTATTCCTACCATATATTCACAGATGGCAGTAAACACGATGGCGTTGTTGGCGCGGCATTTGTGGCATTTGATCCATGCGAAGTTTACGTCACTAAAAAATTTAAATTACACCCCTCCTGTTCTGTATTTCAAGCTGAAATGCTTGCAATCCACAAAGCATGCGAGTGGATTGCCTCCAATAGTAATAACATTAACTCCTGTATCATTTTCTCAGACAGTAAATCTTCTTTACAAGAATTATCAAACCCATATTCATATAATACTTTTGCCGTTAACATCTTTCACCTCCTACATACTTTATCGTCTAGTAATATTAATGTCGGCTTCGCATGGGTCAAGGCACACATAGGCATAGCTGGCAATGAGATCGCTGACATTGCTGCGAAATCTGCTGCCTCCCTTCATAAATCACCTGACTTTATCCACACCCCTATTTCCCACATTAAACTCCGTTTACGCGACTCACTTATGGACTCTAGGAAATCATTCTACGAACAACCCCTTACCTCTTGTCATACTAAAAAATACCTTCCGACATTTGATGACCTCTCCGCATTCCTCTCCGTTATTAAACCCTCCTTTGCCATAACTCAATTTCTTACAAATCACTCCTTCAACAAATCTTACCTCCATAGATTCAACATAACGCCCGACGATCTCTGCCCTTGTGATAGTGCTGAGAAACAAACATTTGATCATCTAATATTCTCTTGTCCACGTTTTAGTAACACCCGTTTAGATTTCTATATTTCTTGTAATAATTTTAAAATTGACGTACAACAGCCCCAGTTTTTAATCAAAGTAATTAAGAAATGTGAAACAACAGAACTATTCACTAGACATATAGAAAATATTGTAAATAACCTCAAAGCATTTAATAATACCTAGGCTAAGCTAAGTTAAGTTAACCTTTGTTAATAATAAAAATTAGTTATACACACACCCCGAGAATTCTGGCGTAAACCATTAGCGCCGATTCTAAAGTCTTCGGGTTCTCTCTCCTCCTCGGCCCCGGAGCAATGCTGCCGGGGATGGTAGGCTTAGTAGGACCCAAAGAAAAAAAAAAAAAAAAAAAAAAAAAAAAAAAAAAAAAAAAAAAAAAAACCTAACCACCGACGGCAGTAAGACGGATGACGGGGTGGGCGCCGCAGTGGTAATGCGGAGACTCGACAAAGAACTCAAGACTGTCAAAATAAAACTGGCGACTTACTGTACGGTCTTCCAGGCCGAAATGGTGGCGCTGCATAAGGCTGTGCAACTGGCAACGAAAGTTGCCAGCCCAAAGGTAAACCTGTGCAGCGACTCCAGGTCGGCCTTGGATGACATAGTGAGCGGTCGCTCCCTCAGTCCCCTCGTTGTACAAATTAGAGAGACCCTTGGGAGCCTCTCCAACCATAAGGAGGTAAGGCTCTATTGGATTAAAGCACACGTGGGTCACGAGGGGAATGAGAGAGCCGACCAGCTCGCTAAAGAGGCCGCACATGACAAAAAGAGGAAACCCGACTATGACAGATGTCCAGTCTCAAAAATAAAAAGACTTTTGAGAACCGACTCGATTCGGCGGTGGGAGGAGGAATATGGAGGTGGAACAACGGCTTCCACCACCAGGTTCTTCCTTCCAACCGTCGCATCTGCCCTTAAGGCAATGAGAGAGGTGGGGCTGGACAGCGAGCTAACACAGGCTCGCACACAGGCACAGGCAACTTTACAGATTTATACTTATAAAATGTTTAAACGTTATTTAAAAATACTTAGAGTTGATGGATTTTGATGTTTTTGGGCTTAGTCGACAGCTAAAGAACCAAAGTTTTTAATAAGTATTATATAATTACTGAGTCTATTACATATTATTTGTTATAAGCGCTGAAAAGTAATGTTAATTTTAGAAAATTTTAAGAAATTTAAAGGCTTATAACTTTTTTAAATTTAAGTCCAAATGAAATTTAAAAACTATATTCTAAATAAGGAGAAAAATATCTATCGAATGGCGTTATATATGTATTATTTGGCTTTTAACTATCGATGTGATATTTTTATTTGTGTATCCCAAACCGTTAACAAAAGATGCTATGGCTTATATCTTAAAAACTATTACACGTAATTTAATGAAAATTTAAAATAATATAAACTAAGACGTTCTCTTGACACTACAATATTTCGTTTAGGCGTGCTCCAGAAGGTTGACCCCTGTTGAGGACTCGAACGCTCCGTCTGCTTCAGCTCGACCGCAAATAGATGAAGATGCTGGTTTCATATGATATTGTTATCGTAGGATAACAAGCGATATGTCGTTAGAAAGCCTATTTAAGGCTTTCTAGTGCACTATTAATATTAAGATCGTATTCGTAAACTAAATCAAAAAATATTGGCCAAAAATGTGAAAAAAGTTGGTAACTCAAAAACTATATGGCCAAAAACTTTATGTTTTTAGTTGTATCTTGATAAGCACTTTTGAATTGGCAAATGAAAAATATTGGTCGTCGCTTTAAATTTCGAGCCGCATTCACTTTTAGTTTTTCACTTCACAATATTCACTATATATTCTGACTCGAGAGTCGTAGAAAAGAACTAAAATAAACTTAAGGTTATATTAAACTTAAAGTTCTTTTCTACGATTTTTAATCTTTATAAATTATAGCGCCTGATAAAAATATATAGCAAAAGTGCATGTAATTTGTTACTTTTTAGTTGTATAGAAAAATCTTAATTTAAACCTTAAGTTTATTTTAGTTCTAGAGAATAAAGCTACATAAATAAGATTAGCTTTTTTAGAAAGTTCAGTTTGATATACCACTTTTTACAGCTAAACACAATTTTTAAACGATTTTTGTTCTTTAGAAATTATAGCGCCTGATAAAAATATATAGCAAAAGTGCATGTAATTTGTTACTTTTTAGTTGTATAGAAAAATCTTAATTTAAACCTTAAGTTTATTTTAGTTCTAGAGAATAAAGCTACATAAATAAGATTAGCTTTTTTAGAAAGTTCGGTTTGATATACCACTTTTTACAGCTAAACACAATTTTTAAACGATTTTTGTTCTTTAGAAATTATAGCGCCTGATAAAAATATATAGCAAAAGTGCATGTTATCGAATTTTCTTTGTGAATTTGTAGCCTTTTAGTTAAAATTATTACTCGCCTATTGCCTAATTAATTAGCCATTTTTAGGTGCGAAATAGTTCGACTAATTTTGGAGGGTAATCAAATAATTATTTTCATATTTTTAAAAGTGAATAACTTTACCAGCGCGCAATCGTTTTTGGTCCAAACGAACACGGATTTTTAGTTATTTAATTAATATAAAAATGTCTAAAGCCAGTTTCGACGATCGTAGATTTAAGTTATACCAAAACAAGCTAAGTGCATTGTTTGGTCGGGTGCAACAGATTTACGATTCGTCGGTAGATATTGACGGTGACGACGTAAAATTTGAAGCGTCTTTAGCGAACGCCTATACAATTGATAAATTAAGGGAAGATTTTAGTAACTGTGTTAATGAGCGTAATGAGTACCAACTTTTATCGCAAAGTGATAAAGGGACGCAAGTACGTTGGGTACTACATCACTCCAGCAGAATCACTATGACCATTCACTGATGACCTGGCTTCAAGTTGTTCTGTGAGCGAGGGTATTGAACTTTCCCGCCAGTTAATTGAAATTTTTTCAGCTGGACTGGCCGGTTTCGACTCGGTTAAGTTTACTAGTAATTCAACTGAGGTGCTGAAGAACATACCTGTGGCGCATCGCATGTCTGAGTTAGTCGAGTTCAGTTCTGACAGTCAGTTGAAAATCTTAGGTCTTCATTGGTCTCCGTCTGAAGATTCATTCGTGTTCAGCGTGAATGTTGAGCAGAGAAAGTGTACTAAGCGAAATATCTTGTCGACGATTGCGCGTCTATGGGATGTAATGGGGTTCGTGGCACCCTTGAAATCCCTTTGGAAAAATAATATAGATTGGGACGAGAAACCGCCTTCGAATATTAGTTCACTTTGGCAGCAGTTTGAAGCAGAGTTACCTTTACTGAAAAATCTAAAAATGTCGCGTCATGTTTGAGTTCGAGATAGTGTTGCAGTCACTTTAGTGGGTTTTGCAGGTGCTTCCGAAAGTGCGTATGGAGTAGTCGTATACTTACACATTTATCATTCTGACGTCGGTATCTGTAAAATGCATCTACTGTGTGCAAAGACCAACGTCGCTCCAGCTAAGACAGTAGTTACACTCGCGCGAATGGAGTTATGCGCTAATATGATACTAGCCAAATTAATGCGTATAGTTATCGATGCCTACTCCTCTCGCTGCGAAATACATAATATTGCGGCGTTTACTGATAGCACAGTTGCATTGGGTTGGATTCATTCTTGTCCCACGCGTTGGCAAACTTTTGTCGCTAATAGGGTTGCTGTGATTCATCAGCATATTAGCCCTCACAGTTTCCACCATATTTCGGGTAAAGAAAATCCTGCTGACTGTTTATCAAGAGGTCTTTTATCTGCTGTTGAGCAGGTAAAACCGCTAAGTCCAAGTTTTTGTCAATTGCCGTTTTCTCAGTGGCCAGTTAGCAAGTTTGATGCAAATATAGTGACTGAAGTCCGAAATACCAGAAGAAAAGGTGAGTGTTTTATTCACAAATTCACCGGAAAACTCTCACTCGATTATTCAGGAATTATCCGAAAGGGTTTCCTCTTGGCCAAAAATGTTACGTATTGTAATTTACGTTCTACGCTTCCTTTAAAAAATTGACAAAAAAATTGAACCAGTCCAGTTTTAAATTGCAGAAATGACAATAATTAAAGATGTACAAAATAATCATTATTCAAAGGAATATTATTGCCTTAAAAATAATAATAGATTACCTCCTGCGTTCTTAAAATTAAATGCCTTTATTAATAATGGTATTTTACGTGTTGGAGGACGATTAAATAATTCCAACTTAGAATTTGATTCAAGACATCCAATTTTATTACCGCGTAATAATCGCATCGTTCATCTTATTATCGACTATTACCATCGTAAATATTTACATGCAGGACCGCAATTATTGCTATCTTTGATTAGGCAAAAATATTGGATTTTGTCTGCGCGAGATATAGTGCGTCTACGCGTTCAAAAATGTAACGCATGCTATCGTGCCAAACCGCGAAGTGACGTTCCTTTAATGGCCCGCGCACCTCACCGCACGCAGTCAAGACAGGCCGAGCAGAGTGAGTGCAGTTACCGGGCACTGCGCGGGTTGTTGACACCACTTTAACTAATTAAAAGTGTGTGAGGCCTGTTGAATTAATTTTATTTGGTGAGTCCTTAATTATTTTCCTTTATTTTATCTTATTCCCCTATTGCCTAATTAATAAGCCATTTTAAGGTGCGAAATAGTTCGACCAATTTTTGAGGGTAATCAAACAATTATTTACATATTTTTAAAAGTGTATAACTTTACCAGTGCGACTTTAATAGCGCGCAATCAGACGTAATTGCGCATTTATCGCAGCCAATATATGTTGTAAGTGCAACTCTGCCGTTACACTCCCACTCCCACTGCCTTTCCTATTTCCAAAAAGACAAAGAAGAAAGTTTCATTGTTCTAGCTTCAAAAACCACGAAATTCCATACAAACTAAATAAGATTAGCTGTTTTAGAAAGTTCGGTTCGATATAACACTTTTGACAGCTTTTTAAACGATTTTTGTTCTTAATAAATTATTGCGCCTGATAAAAATATATAGCAAAAGTGCATGTAATCGAATTTGCTTTGTTAATTTGTTGCATTCTAGTAGTATAGAAAAATCTTAATTTAAACCTTAAGTTTATTTTAGTTCTAGAGAAGAAAACTACATAATTAAGATAAGCTGTTCCAGAAAAATCCGTTTGATATAACACTTTTGACAGCTAAACACACCATTTTTAAACGATTTTTGTTCTTTACTAATTATTGCCCCTGATAAAAATATTTAGCAACATAATGTCGATTACTTTTCGAGCTAACTATCAGACACGACTTGCAGCATATTTTCGAACTTGGACTTACGGCTTTTTGGCAATCTTTATGCAAGTGAAATATACAGTCTATGCATCGAACGCCATCTGAAGCAATCGCAAAGAACTTCGCACACATAGTGCATTTTTTTGATGGATTGGGCATGTCACTAGAATTCGTATTCAAATTCAAAAAAAAAATCACCAGATGGCGCGGCGCTATTTGTAAGATTTAAACGGTTACAAAATTTCCTTCTCATCCCTACAAAAATTTTACTTGCTCAGTCTCTCTTATTCCCCATTCTAGACTGTGCTGATGTCTCATTCGCTGATTTAATTGATGTCCAACTTGATGAACTAGAGCGTCTCTAGAGACGTACTCTGAAGCGTGTATCCGTTTCATTTTTGACAATAATTTGATGATCACGTTTCTGAATTTCGTAAAAAGCTTAACAGGCTTACTATCCGAACTCGTCGGAATTTCCATCTACTCCATTTCCTCTACCGTGTCCTCTTTAATCCCAAAACTCCCCCTTATTTAAAAGAGATATTCATCCTTTTAAGTTCCCACCGGTTAAATCTTCGTTCTATCGATAATCTTCTCTTATTTGTTCCTAAATATAAAAGGGCTTTCTTAAATGTCTAAGTTCAAAAAAAAAAAAAAAAAAAAAAAAAAAAAAAAAAAAAAAAAAAAAAAAAAAAAAAAAAAAAAAAAAAAAAAAAAAAAAAAAAAAAAAAAACACCCCCCCCGGCGGGGCCCGCCGCCGCCGGGGCCCGGGGGGGCCCCGCCGGCGCCAAAACACCCCAACCGCCGGGCCGAAGTTAAAAACCATTTTCAAAAAATTTCAATAATACCGTCACAGTTTAAGACCGTTTAAGTGTTTTGATTAAAATTTCTTCAATAATACCGTCACAGTTAAGACTTTCAGTGTTTGGAACTCTTTTCCCACGAATATCGGGACAGCTCAATGACACTTCTTCTTTTAAGAGTTTGATCTATAAGTTTTACCTTTCCAATTTGTAAGTTAGTTTCTCTTCTACTGGTTGTGTGTACTTTTACTATATACCTTTGCTTTTCTTCATTATTCCTTACACTTACCCACTAAATAAGTCCTTTTCTATTTATTTTCTTCTATACTTCAGGTTGCCTGGCTCGGCCTCATCACCGATTAGCGATGAGGCCGCCTTTTATTTATAAGATGGTACGGAAGATTTTTCCTCATCAATATGTATTTTCTGCGGTGTGTATTTTAAATAATAAAGCTTTAATTAATAATAATAAAAACAACTTCGATGTATCAACAAATTTATTGGCAACTGGGCAGTGAAGAAAGTTACGAAGGTCGAGCGCGAATCAGATCTTCACGAAGCACATCTTTGCGCTCCAGCACGGGGTAAGAGGGCTGGGTGAGCACGCCGCACGAGTTGGAGCGCGCCTGCACGCGCACGTACCCGCGGTCGCCCCACGCGGCCGACCACGAGTTCTTCAGTACGAAATGCGTCTCGCCCTTGCGCGCGCCCCATCCCACTGCTAATACGGCGTGCTTCAACTTGTTTAGCGTCTTGCCGCTGCGAAAGAGAGAATTATAATGCGAAACCATCTAGACGATACTCAGATCGTTGAGACGCGATCATACACACCAACGGTCGTCGTACAACACGCCTTCCTTGTACAGGACAAAGCTCATGTGGTTGGCGTCGACGAGGACGACCGACGGCGCGTGTTGCTTTATCGCTACCTGCGAAACGAACCAGTTACGCACAGAAAAACGACTTATTCCGCAAACGAACGAGCGTGAGGTACCTTAAGTGCTGCGACGCTGTTGCTCGTAACGTTGACGTGACTCGAGATGCGCGTGACCGGAGGCACGCGCTCGTCCCCGCAGCGCTGGACGGTGGCGCTGTAAGCCGGGTACTCGTCGGCCGCGGGTAAACCCCGAGCGCGCACGTACTCGTAGGCGTGCGCCGGCCACGTGCCGCCACAGCCTCGTCCTCCGAACGGATGCGCGCAGTCCACCAGGCACTGCGGCGACAGCGGGACTAGGCGACGCGTGCGCACGAACAGGGCACCTTCCACGGAGCCGCTCACGGCGAACGCCCAGCACGATGCGCATTTCTCGCCTTGGACTGTCGACAACGGAATCGACGTTCGTTATAAATAACGATGAAATTAAGAAAACCACCGGACGCAGTTCTTACAATACGGAGCTTACACTGAACGGGCGAGACGGCTCCGCGCGGGCGCCAGTCGAAACGCTCGGGCGAACGAGATTCCGCCCGCTCGACGTCGCGACGCGAATGCGGAAAAGGCTTCGCAGCGTCGGCGTCGCCGGCCAGCGCCTCGGCGCCCATGAGCAGGCTCAGCTCGGCGGGAAGTCGGTCGGCTAAGTAGTTGAGGGCGAGACGGAACGTCGCGCCCTGTCGGTTGGCGGAATCGCTGTAACGAGAGCTCTGTACCAGCGTCGCTAATCGCACGGCGTCCTCTCGGGCGTCTCTGTACTGACGACCGTGCTCGGCTTTGAACCTAGACAGTGAAAAGTCAATGAGAAACGAACGCTCTAGTGCGGTACTTCGCATTTTCCGTTCCGTACCTTTTGAACACTATAGCGTAGCGTGGGTCTCGGCCGGACAACGTGAACTCCTTCAGCGGGTCGAGTCGCGCGTAGTGGATCGGGTCCGACTCGTTTAGTTTTTCCACGTTGTCGCACATTTCTTCTGTTCGATGTAATGATAAGATACGATATAATTAGTTCAAATAATAATGTATTTATTCAAAATAGCTATAGTCGTAGTAAATGAATAGTGCCCATATTTGACCTCACCGTTTCTCGGCTCAAAGAACGTTCGCTCCTTCTGTTCCAGGGCGAAGTCCAGGTATCGATGCTGATATCCGTCGAAGTCGTCACCAAGGACGGAACTGTCCAAGCTCACAGTGTACCTGCAACCGCAATTACATTTTATCGTAAAAGGAGTTGCAGATTTATTCCTTCCTTCCGTTTTTTGACCCAAAAAACATATACATGAATATTAACAGTTAGAGTTCTTAACTATGCAAATTAATTTCGTTTCCCCTTACTGAAGAGGCACAGCGGAATCCGGAGTCGCGGAGGTGCGCACGAGCAGAATCTCGCGCCGCGCGGTGAGGCGCTCTCCCCGCGCCGCGTTCTCTCCTCCCCGGATCTCGGTGGCGCTATGCGTCCATCTCTCCACAGTATCGTTGTCACCTCGACCCACGTATCCTGACAGAGTCATAACGACGTTTACAAGCCTATTCTAGCGGAGTCGGCGACCGGGTCGATAGCTATATATTATTACCGGCGAATGAGAAGTCCGCGAGGTCCGGCAACGCGGGCGGTGCGCGATCTGCTCGAGCGGACGCCGCCGACTCGGCTCGGGCGCAACGTCGGACGCTCGCCTCGCCCGACCGATCGACGTGCATCTGCGGATGTACCATATATTACTGAGGCTCTAGTGACCGATGCTCTCCGATCGCTTTTTCCTATCCTCACCTCGACATATTTGACGCGACCGTCCGATGCGAAGGTTCGGTACGTAGATGCGGAACCGCCGTGGTATTGGACGCGGGCTGAACCGCTGTCGCCGTCGTACCTGCGAAAATTTCGGTCTTTAATATGACTCATATTTCTCGAAATAGATGGAGTTCGAGTAGGTTGACTGACCAGACGGTGTAGGGTTCGGTGTAATCGGCGCGGGGCACGGTCAGTTCGCCGGTCAGTCTCATCGACCGCGAGAAGAGAGGTCGAGGCGGGTGGCCGAGGCGACTCGACGCCGCTTCGCTCGCAGAGTAGACACCCGCCTCAGTCGTAGCGGCGTCCGGGGGCTGGAAGGGCAGGCGTTCGGAGATGTCGTGGTTCGAGAGCAGAGCGGGAGGTAGAGAGGGATCCGCGGTCTCCTTCGATCGGTACATCTCCACCAGCTGCTCGGTCGTGACTGTGTGACACACGATATTACGAGTTACCGAGTCCGTAGACTATAAAATGAGACGATACACCGACGGTACTCACAGGGAGACGTGAGAGGCGGACTTCGAACGGTTTGGTCTAGTTCATTGGAAGTGACGAACGCAGGATAAGGTTCCACAGAGAGTTCGGGTTCGGCCGAGAGTGTCGAGCCGAAGGAGACGGCAGGCGGAGGACGCGATGGCGGTTCGGGATGCTTCCCGACGTCCGATTCGTCAGATAGCGCCGAGCTCTGCGGCACGTTACACTCTGTGAAAGTCCAATTAACGGTAAAAAAAAGTTTTGAGAGACTTGGTCTCAATGGTGTAGTTGTTTTGTTGTTGGCAAAATTAATATCTTGATGTAACTCTTACAAATAATTCGCAATTATGCAGTAATTTGGAATTTGGATATTACCATAAGAACTTTTGTTTCTGGTTAATCTTAAAAGTTATGTCTAGATAAAAGCCTGCAAAGATGAATAATTATCTCCGGTTTTGCCAAATTTTACATTGGCTCTTCGGACCTATAGCGTGATGTAATATAGCCTAAATATCGTTCACCCACCTGAAGCTCGAGACGCCTCGGCGAAGCCGGGACCGTTCACCGGGATCGGCAGGATCACTAAGGGGATCGATGAGGCCGTCGCGCGTCCTGAAACATTAATCATCGATTTAAATCAACTAATGGAAGCGACCCTCGCTACCCGTATTACTCACCGATAGGAATGTTGACAGATATAGGATTCCAGGGCCAGGCGGGAGAGATTTGCCCGCCGACCCGCTCGGGTTGGGGCTCCGAAGGGCGCTCGCCGAAAGCCAAGTGCGCGCATGACGCCGCGAACACTGCACGAAAAGCACAACAGTGTGAAACTAAGATAAGTCGCGACGTCGACTTGAGATGATGCTACGAAAATACATATTTTAATGTATTCAATTTTGTTACGTTTTTGGTTTCGCATTGGCCTTGACATTAGAGTGGCCGTCTATGTGCCCTCGAGCCATTGCTCACATTATTATTGAAGTCAAGAGGCGTCGCGTTAAAAAGGTAATGGTCGTCACACTTTATATGACATATGGTGCTTACAGTACAGACATATAGAAGAGAGAGTTACGGTTAAGTTCCAGGCAGGTTTAACCTCCCTTTAAGAAACGAATTCTGGGACAAAATGAAGGTCTTTTACTTTTGTTTTGAAATATTATGTCACTTGTGCCTTTAAATTGTCTAAAAGAGTAGTTATTTATGACGAGACTGTTTGTTTTGAAATAAATCGTACAATACATTTCTACGAAGCTTCGTTTGGTTGAATCGAATATCTAAATTTAATTACAGAGAAGTATGCTTGAACTTGTTTTCAATTCGAGCAACTACTATCAAAATGAATATACAAGTAGTATAAGTATACATATGAGCATTCTCGCCTGGACATAAATAACTTGTTTGTTAAAAATAAAGTTAAAACAGACTCTAAACTAATGGTTGCAGTCACCCTGGAGCCAGACAAAATATTTGCACTGGGATCTACAGCCACGAACCGCCCTACACTCTGCTCAAATAATAACTAAGACCTCGAATGAGGCCTCTTCACAAAAGAATGCTCGACCATTTTGAAAGAACTTGCTTTTGCCACTATGTTCTACTAGAATTTCTACCACTACAGTACCACTTTTAAGTGCATAAGCAAAAGATCAAGAAATAGCAACAAATGCTGTAAGAACAATAATCTGCCGTTAGTTTGTCAATGAAGATGAAGAGGAGAAAGCCGGAGGAAGAGTGCACAGAGCGTCGTTCGAAGCGTGGAACATAATTGAGGCGGAACTTACGGAACAAGCGCAGCAAGGCCGTCGAATGCATGGTCTCGCGGACTTGCCTCGCCACAGACGAATGAGAAGCGGCCACCCCGTTCGGCTGCCTCGACGAAGTGTGCTCGTGCCCGGCGAACCGCTCCACCCGAGTTGGATGTGTCGACCTTCACCTATCACCGAAAAATTTACATAATCTTAAATATCGATTGCGGAAGGCTATAAAAGTCGTGGGTAGAATTGGCCGTTGAAATACATTCCTAAATGGAGTCCCGAATTTACGGCTCACTTTATGCGCGATGCCAGTGCGTCAGGGTGGTGACGGGTGACCGTTAGAAAGAGGAGTGCGTTTTTCCTTTCGTGTGACACGGGACCGACGGTTCTATCGATGTTTCCCCCGGGCCTCTCGCGCTCGACGTAAGTCGAAGAACATGTCGCAACGGCCATCGTAAGCTCGTTATTGTGCAACATATCAACTTATCGCGCACATCTTGCGCTAATCTCCCTTAACGGTGACCTTCGATGGAATCGCCTTTAACTTAACGAGAAATGCCTTCAATACTCTGTCCTTAAAGATGTTTACCACTAAACATGTGGAAGTGAATAGAAACACTTACCTAAATCCTGCTGACCGTAGTTACTGTATCTTAAAAATGGCTAAGAAATGCGACCGCTACATGCACATTATCTATTGGATATAATATAATATAACGACGCGTCAGTCGCTCGATTGCGAGTACCTCCCTCCAGTCGCGCGCAACGACACGCGAAAGGACAGCCCAAACCCAAGAAAACGTCGCAGATAGCGAACGGCGAATCTTCATAGCCTTGAACTTGTAATAAATTCAAATAATATGAGAACATAAACAGTATGAAAAAATGTCATAACCTCAGACGCTAACCTGCAATAAATCGTTAATATTTTTAAAATATGCAAATAGTTTATTTTATTGGCTTTGAAACTTGTTTAATTTTAACGAAAGGTTAAAACGCAAGACTAGAACGACATGAATATTAATGGATTATGAACATTACATTTTTTTATTGAAATTGTTGGACCAGGCCTACTGGGGAAAAACTGGATTAGAGCAAAAATGAATGACTGTTGTGTGCCACTGGCTAGGAAACATCTTTTGTGTTACTTTTTAAATAATACAGATGGACAAACTAATTTTTAATACAAAATAATTTATTTGCAGTAAGGATTTACAAAAAGATCGACGTGATAATTTTTGGAATTCTCCAACATTTCAAATTCATTATTTATTTTATAAATGGCATTTTAGATAAATCAAAAACTAATGAAATTGAATGAAACAGAATTATAAATTACATGGTCTTATTTTGGACGACATTTTTATCGCAGTTATAACTTATTTATACCCACATGGGGTTGCTGTACTAGTGAAGTAACTTATTTATATTTTCACATTGTTTAGTCAATAGTATACGATGAAAGCATGTTTTACAGGTTGTATTACTTAACTAAAGTTTTAGTAAGGATCGCTAAGCTTGTATCTAAGGATCAATATAGCCTTTACTTTACTTTATTGTTACTTAGGGTTACTAAAATCGAAAGATTTTTTTAGACTGGCAAAAACAAAAGGGTTTTATCTTATCCATTACCAATTTACAAATCTATCTCTTTATAATATTTGTATGGATAAATCAGGGCATCACGTGCAAATGAAGCCCTCAGATGAATCAGTTAAACTGATAGACATATTATATCTGCCTCAAGCCGTAAATAAGTGGTAAGATGTCACACATTACATTCAGGAGAGGAAACATGGCAAAGCACACAGTGGTGACTAATTGCGCCGGTATTGCAATTAAAACGCATTTCGAATTACATTGAGTTTGAGTGTACTCACTTTTGCTCCGTAACAAGGAACAAAGACAAATTCTGTCAAAAATACAATTTGACTAGTTTTGTTTAGAGAATGCTTTCACCGTCGGTTGTTGCCGCGTTGATGTCCACGGCCCCGAACGTAACTCTTATGTTGAATTTTATTGGTGTGCTCCTGGGAGCCCTGACTGAAGCGCTCTCCTTTAGTAGGTCCTTGAGTCGTAGCCGTGGACGGGCACTGGGGCGCGGCGGCCGGAGTCTGCGGCGCCGGTTGGGGTTCGCTCATGTTCACCTGCTCGTTAAACAGCATACAGAATTCGCCTACTTTTTGAATGTCGCCCGACTTGCCCGAGTAGAGAGTGAGCGCCTGCCGCCACAGCGAAGCGTAGCCACGCGTGAGCCTCACGATGTCACCGGGCTGCAATAGCGCGCCGGGTTCGTCCCACACCGACAGGTTGACGGACGCCGAGGCATCGGCCACGCGCAACGTGCGGACCTCGCGCGCCTCCTTCGTTAGCGTCGGCGGTCCCACTTCTAGAACGATGAACACGGCGTTTATGTTCTTTAAACCCGGTTTAAGATCCTTAATTTGCACATATTCCGCCGTTCCCATTTTGAGTCTGATAACTAGATAGACTGTAAAGTTTGAAAGGGATTTTATAAGACTATTATTAAATAAAAAAAAAACTTTTAAATAAAATATACCCGTTCCTACTTAACTGTATGATAACACAACTTTCACATAATTGTATTATGCCAAACTTTTTTATAAGTTTAATTGCTTAAAACCAAGTTTTGTAAAAGATCATGTCTCAACTCTCAATATCAATATTATTCTACTCTATGATAATTTGTCACCAGACACCACAGATGTTGTATAAATTACGGATTTATAAATAATTTATTAGCTTAAACTGATTTTTCTGTAATACATACAGAAAAATCAGTTTTGATGTTTAAAGTGTTTTTGAAGGCAGGCATAATTGAGATTCAAGACAAAAAATCGAGAAAGTACTCTCGATTTTTTTATAAATGCTTTTGCTGTCGTATGTTAATTGTCAGCAGTCATATACGCTAAAATTTACCGCGTACCGGATGGTGGATACCGGATTACCCAACTCCACAACTGTAAACATAGTTCTTTTTCCTTAAATTTTATGTAAAGATTAAAAATATATTCTTACTTTTTCAACAAGTGATTATTGTTTATGAAAACGGACAACCGGATACATATAAGTAGTTGGTTTTTACAAAATTGCTATGTAAAATAAAACTAGAAAAGATAACCTTCAATCACCACAATAATATTCACACCGGGCGGGTTTAATTCACGATGTTTAGTGGCAATAATCCACACAAAGACGTGGAGGTGTCGTCTCCACCAGATGATACAGTTTCAGCGCTGGAATTTTCTCCACCCTCGGTGCCACAAACCTTTCTCGCAGCGGGTAGTTGGGATTGTCAGGTCTCAATTTCTATTATTATTACATAATTAGTTATTCAAAGAACTACAAATGGAAAAAAATAATAAGATTCTGCAAGCAAACCGGAAGGTTTGAAGGGGACACGGGGAGAGTTGGATGACCCAAAACCTGTACAAGGAGGAAATGGGTGAAATGGTCAGCTGATAACGTGGACTGATCACCCATCCTACCACAGGTGTCCCCGAAAGAAAATAAATAATAGTAATTAGGATATTGCTCAACAAAATTTTAGTCCAATGGCATTTTCAATATTAATTTGCAGGTACGATGTTGGGAAGTGGAAGCAAGCGGTAAAACTGTGCCAAAGGCCGCCCAGAACATGACGGGTCCTATTTTGGATGTAGCTTGGCATGATGTGAGTCGGTCAATTGTTCCTATTTCAAATCATAGTTTAAAATCAGTAGTGATCTATTAGTTACTAGTAGTTTTTAAAAGTAATGTAAGCTATTAATCAGATAATTATATTTTAACAAGTTCACCATTACAGGATGGCTCCAAGATATTTATGGCATCTACAGATAAGAGTGTAAAATGTTGGGATCTGGCATCAAACACTGCTGTACAGGTATAGATTGTATTTATTTGCAGTCAAGGTGGCACAAAAGTATTCAGCTAGTGAATAAATTGAATCTCATCATCAGGTTGCAGCTCACGATGGTCCAGTGCAAACCTGTCACTGGGTGAAAGCTCCCAACTACACCTGCCTCATGACAGCCTCTTGGGATAAGACCTTGAAGGTATTACAAATATAAGACTACTTCTCAGTTGAGATATTTTAAAATGCATAATTTAAACCTTTTATAAAACAGAAATAATATTTTGCTAATTACAGTTTTGGGACACACGCAGTGCTGTACCCATAATGGCAATTCACCTTTCTGAGAGATGCTACTGTGCTGATGTGGTAAGTTGATGACAAAAAATATGTTATTCATTATCAAAGTTAGGCTTCAAACTAACTGGCATTTATTTTCAAGGACTACCCCATGGCAGCAGTAGGACTGGCAGACAGGGGGGTCTGTCTGTATTCCCTAGAAGGCAAACCCGCAGAGGTGAAACGCGTAGAATCGCCACTCAAGTATCAGCACCGTTGCATTGCAATCTTTAAAGATAAAAAGACAAAACAGCCCACTGGCTTTGCACTAGGTTCTGTGGAAGGCCGTGTTGCAATCCAATATGTCAACCCTACAAACCCAAAAGACAATTTCACATTTAAATGCCATCGCTCCGCAGGCACTACAGGTGGTTACCAGGTAAAACTATTGTTCAACATATTTTTTATTGGACTTTGGAAAATTTTTATATCTAGTTTGTGAACCAAATTGTGTAAATTGTGTTTATTATTTTTATCTTATAACTAAATTTGACACATCAATGCAGGACATTTATGCAGTCAACGACATCGCTTTCCACCCTGTTCATGGCACATTAGCAACAGTTGGATCAGATGGGTCCTTCTCCTTTTGGGACAAAGATGCACGTACTAAACTAAAGTCGTTTGAATCACTAGAGCAATCACTAACTAACTGTGCCTTTAACCACAGCGGCCAGATTTTCGCCTACGCTATGGGATATGACTGGTCCAAGGTAGGCCACTAAATTAGAGACTAGTCTAAGGATTGCTTTTTATTTTTAGGATTATTGTAATAAATACTGGCAGCAACTGTATCTACTACAGACAACTTTACCTTGCTGATTTACAAAGATTCAAGCATTCAGTTGGATTTTACTATACATGCATCTGAAAATAAAAAATTCTTGTATTCTAGGGTCATGAACACTACAACCCAGCTAAGAAGAATTTTATCTACCTACGACCATGCTTTGAGGATTTGAAGCCGCGTTCAACGTGATCAGTACATTTATTATAAGGGGATTGTGATGTTATTTCAGAAGATAAATAATTCTTCAATTATTAAGTGTTTTAATTTTGTCTAAGTGCTTATTAAGTATTACATACAAATAAAACTTGTGATCAAATACACCATAATTTTATTTCACTAATAAATATATGTACTAATTTTAACATTTAATGGTGCTCCTCATGACCATGGCCATGGTCATCACCTCCAGTGAGCTTAGTCAAGGCAACGGTAGCGACAGTGAGCCCTAGTCCCAAAGGAAAGCCGCGGAAGAACAGCTTTCGGGCCTTAAACCAGCGGGTGCCGAAACCAGGATGATATCTCCATGCTTCATTTCTACGAACGAAATTAAATTGTTCAGTTAATATTAACCTGTGTTGTCAGCGTAACAAGAATGGTATATTATATACCTGATCCACGGATCCTTAAGTCCTCTTTTAGCGAGTTCCTTCTCCACTTCTTCCAGTTCTGGGATGCCTTCGATTTTAAATTGGGAGTAATGAGGAATGGTGTACGGGGCGCCATGGCCATGCCCTCCCATCTCTACGACAAGAAATTTTTAACTGCGCTTACCCAAATTTATCCATTAACCTTACACATTACATAATAAAGAATTTGGTGCAGTATTTTTAAGGAATCAGAGACATAAATAAATGGCATCGATCTAATGATACAAAGGCTATTTATTACAGATCTAGAAATTCAAAATATCTATTCTATTATCACAAATAATATTAGAAATTATAATATAATCAAAGGGGTATATGATTAAGCATAGATTATATATTTCACAGACAAAGACAGTTTTGATAGTGAAGAGAGAATACAGAATAAAACATAGTTTATGTATAATGTGTGAGTGATTTAACTCTTTAAAGGATGATATTTAGTACATTATTAATTAACAATAATAATACGTAGATACAATTACAACAGAATAATGAGAATAAAAAGTGTGAAGTTCATTCAACCAAACTTGGCTTAAGAGGGAACAAAAATTCGTTTTTTTTTCTAATATTGTCACTCCGTAAATTTCCTTAAAGTTAACGAGTTTAGAATTGAATAAATATTACATTTTTAAAATTTAATATTGGTTCAATGTTCTCAGTTCTAAAAGTTATAGTTTTGAAAAAATATTTACAAAAAATACTATTCTTCCTCCTTTTCTTTTCTGAAATTAAAAATAATATTTAATTAATCCATAATTAAAAATCCTATTATTGTGCATATTTGGTTTGTGCACAAAAACAACTCCTGATTGGTCAGGTCTATGATGACGCCACTGGCTTGCAAAAAAAAAAAATTGTGTTCATAGTTCAGCTACATCTGTATACTCCCGTTTCAGAGCTTTACCTTATCTGTGGCCAAGACGCTTAAACGTTTATCAATTACAATCGCTAGGTACATTTATTTATTATTGTGGTTTTATTGATTGTGCCGGTACCGGTAGTCGATACCCAATCGGGCGGCGTGCTACGATCGCGGTTTATTGTAACCTGAGTATAACCGGCCGTCGTTTGCCGGTCGTTAGCTGGACAGTGGACGGCCGAGTTGATTTTTTTGGTATTGTGTAAAAATGAAATTCCAAATGATTAAAAATCACTATTCTTGCAACTAACTTTCGAGATACTCTCATGTTATGTATCAAAAAACGAAAGCGAATGAAGTGGTCACTTACATTGAAGCCGTAAAAATACTAGTATTCGTTATGAACAATTCATTAGCTTAATGAAAGTGGCGTGCCACAATATGATGTTTCGTCCCGAAAAATGTTGGCCCCTGCTGGTATTGCTGGGATCAGCAGTCGTCGCTTCAGTCGGTTCAAGTGGTCAGTAGCCGTAGTATTCCATTCACCTAATTTCTAGAATTTTCCAGTTTTTTATATTCTCATAGAATTTAAGAATCTGTAATACACTGAATTTAAACTTTTGTTATGTACTTTGAAGAGTTGCACATTGTCAACACATCACCTTTGATTGAGCGACAACCCAAATCCTAAACTAACTAAACCAAATTAACTTAAAAGGTGAAAAAGGTTAAGTTGAAACTTAACAAGCCCTGCACTGGGCTAATTTAACTTTTGCATGAGTTGTTTTAATTTTTAAGGATTGTTTTTTATGATAGAGGAGGACTGTCGGGCACAGGGTTCACTTGATGGTACACATCACAAATTTCCCAGCTATATAACATCTAAACAAGATGCGGTGTGGACTTTTTTTGTTTATATTGTTAAACAATTTCAAAACATTTTAAATTGTATCATAAAATGTATCACCTCACTCACTCTGGACAAAGGAGATCATTATTTAGCAACATGTACAAAGAGGTATAGTTATATAGGCTGTTGCTAGCTCACCATATAAAAGAGTTCTGTTTTTTGAAAGTGTAGACAGTTGGAAGATGGAGAACCTGAGCATTGTAATGTTATGATGGCCTTTAGTGTGATTTATACTGTTGACTAGTACAACTAACATAATAAAATTCTAATAATTGATGAAATAAATAACTTCTGCTGTACTTATCTCAAAAATCAAAATGTAGGAATGAACCACAAGTTTAAAGAATAAGCTGATAAAATGTCAGATTAAATCAAGAGAGATGATACCATTATGGAGATTACTTAAATAAGATCTCTTGTTCAAAATTAAATTATTTTTGTTTTCTCGACGTCGCGAGAGTAGAAGCGTTTATCGCTGAGAATACTCCATTCAGCGAATGAAATATCTCGACAGACTCGGGGCAGATGACCTCTGTCACCCCTATCGTCTGCCATATAAATAGAATAAGTGGCCGACAGTTACGAGCGGAAAGTTACCATCCACCCGTCGGACGGGGAACGGGTCGCCCTCACGCCGATAAGCAACGATAACTTTACGACAACGAGTCTACTGGCTCTGGACCGACGATTCGCCGTGCTCCGACCGAGAGCCATGTCGTGCTACAAGGTGGCTCTGGTATTTAAAAAAATGTCTCGTATCCAACGAAAGTGTCGAGCTACACACGTAAAAGTAGATCTATAAGTAATAGCGTAATAACTAGTGAGGTCGGGTGGCCCACATTAAATCGTTTAGAAATGCATTCACTTGACAGGTAGGATCTTTTTTCATATTATCTACAAAACGAAGCGGTTCCAGAAATTAAAAACCATATTACACTAACTGCGTAACCGCGTAATCTCGGCGACCCGAATTCGGATTAGAAACGTTTTCAGGAGTTCCGGGAGAAGAGGTCGCGCGCTGCAACGCGGGTCAGTTCAGGTGCGCGGACGGCTCGCGCTGCGTCCCCGCTTCGTGGCGATGCGACGGGCGACCGCACTGCGACGACGGCTCCGACGAACTCCAATGTCCGTCTAACGCCACTTGCGGCGCGGGCCAATTCCGCTGCGCTTCGAGCGGCCTATGCATCGCCGCGAGCTGGCGGTGTGACGGCGACGACGACTGCGGGCCGCGCGACTCCTCCGACGAGGACCCTTACATGTGTGCGTATCTCTCCCGATCCTGACGCTCTTCGACGGAGGCGTCGGCTCGATCGGTCACGGCTCGCTTGACCTGTTGCAGGCGAGAAAGACTTTAAGTGCTGGGGCAACTGGGCGCGCTGCTCGACGCCGGTCGGGGGCCGCTTCACCTGCGTGCCCGTGTACCAGTTCTGCGACGGGAGCAGGCACTGCCCCGACGGCAGCGACGAATGGGATATCTGCGACAACTGTGCGTACCTTGACTTCCTTGAAGACCCCCGTCCGCGTGTCTCTCGCTTCTAACCCCCTTTTATCTCTTTTCAGTCACTTCGGCCGCGTGCGCTGCCGCTGGATGCAGCGAGTGTCGGCCGACGCACGAGGGTCTCGCGTGCTACTGCGCGCCCGGCTACAACCCGCGTAACGGAACCTGCGTTGGTCAGTGTGCCGCCAGCCCGTCCGACTTATTGCATTTTTAGACGCACGCTTAGAATGTCATTCGATTTCCCCGTGTTCACAGATAGCGACGAGTGCCAGTGGGAAGGCGCGTGCTCTCAGCTCTGTCGCAACACGCCCGGTGCGTACGAGTGCGGCTGCGCCGCCGGTTACGAACTCCGCGCTGACAAGCACTCCTGCGCCGCTATCAACGGTGATTACCAACGACACAGATTAACAGCGTCTCTAATTGTTATCTTTGTTTTAAGCGACCGCAAACTATTTTCTCGCCTATCCACAGATCCGCCGGACGAGCCCCTGTCGTTAGTGGTGGTGACGCAGAGCGAAGTGCGCCGGGAGTGGCTGCCCGGTCCCGCGCGCCACCAGAACTCGTCTCTGCCCGCGCTCAACGTTCGCGCTGTCGACATCCTCTACAGTAACAGGTATTGTAATTTTGAAACATAAAACGTAGTTGTAGTGTTTACAGTTTAAAAGTTAAAGTAAAGTATGTGTTAAGTTATATAAAGTAAATGTTAAAAGTCTAAGAAGGAGGATGAGTGCTGTTTTGCAACTAATTTATTTAATATGAATGTAATTTTGATATAATTTACAAAGAGTAGGAAGCTTAATAGGCTGATCTAGAAATATTTGCTTTTAATATAAATACTTTAATGTTGACATATTGTTTTAGTGCGTTATTGTTGCCTTAGTTTTGTTCAGATTTATAAATTAAAGCCAATCCTTCAGAACACGTTATGTGTGCTGTATAAACTTCCTACTACGAATGTTAGCTAAACTAACCTAAACTTAGCTTACAACTCGTTCTTACGATAATATTGGTCGAACCAGATCCATCTGCTACATCCATCACAACGTGAGCCGATCTAACGTCGTGTGCGTGGGCGCTGACGATTTCTCGCAAAGAACGACGCTCCCTTCGCCCGATCTCTTCCCGGACTTAGAGTGTGAGTAGAGTTCTGGCCGTCGTCGGCCTCCGCACTGGCCACCGGAGTGAAACGCGGCCGTGTTGCAGCGGTGTCGCACCTGGCGGCGGACTGGCTGTCCGGCGCGTGGTACCTGTCAGACGAGGCTCGGGAGGCGATCTACGCGTGCGAGCGCGGGCTGAGCGCGTGCCGCGTGCTGCTCGACGCCGACCTGAGCAAGGTCCACGGCTTCGCGCTCGATCCCATTGCTGGACTCATGTTCTGGTCGGTGTGGGGAGCGGTGCCGGCGCGCGTCGAGGCCAGTACACTCTGGGGCGGCGAGAGGCGCGGCCTGGTCGCTCAGCGGCTGGTGTACCCGTCCGCGCTGGCCGTGGAACCCGCCGCGCGGTACCTGTACTGGGCCGACGCCTACCTCGACAGTCTCGAGCGCGTGCGCTATGACGGCTCCGGGCGCATGACTCTCCGCAAAGGATATTCGGTGAGTCGCTCGGCCTGCGCGACTTGACGGTCGGAGCGGCGGAACCAAACGCCAATGACACCCGTCGTTTCAGAGTCAGAAGCTGCACTGTATCGCGGTGCTGGAAGGTCGCCTGTTCCTGCCGTTCTGGGCGAACAGCAGCGTCCTGCAACTCACACCTAACCGCGTGCCCACCGATTCCGATGTCATCGCGTTAAGGTCGCGCCCTACTTCCGTCATCGTGTTCCACCGACAGAAGCAACCTATAGGTAAATATTTTTTTACACAGGCCAAATTATTCTATTAATGATTAGCAAAACGTTGTTAACGTGTCTCGGAAGGTTTCTCCTATTGCTCTGCTCTGATTAGGTACAAAATGGTGGAAATCTGTTTAGCAGTTTTGGATTGTCGTCTCATGAGAGCTTTACGTATTGCAGTACCGCATCCGTGTTCCGTCCGGCGAGGCGGGTGCGCGCACATCTGCATCACGGCTTACCGCAACGGGACCGCGCACGCGCACTGCATCTGTCGCCACGGGTATCGTCTCGTCGGCCACGGCGACTGCGAACGTGAGCGTATAAAATTGACGTTTTTTATTTAAACAAAGCGCTTTCGCTAATGGCACGACGATTTGTGCCAGCAGGCGTCGAACTAGACGAGTGGCTGCTGGTCTGCCGGGGGTCCCCGCCGCTGGTGGAGAGCGTGGCGGTCGGCCGAGCGGGAAGTGAGGAGGAGGCGGCGGCCCCCGCTACGCACGCCGCGCGTCCCACCGCAGCCGATGTAGACTTCGCCACGGACACGCTCTACTACTGCGACGTGCACAGGTGTCTCTAGAACCTATCGAAGCCTTCGTCCTCACCGTCGACAATCCGTTCACTTGTACCTTTGTGTCGGCAGATACGAGATCGTGAGGCAGAAGCTCGACGGAAGCGGCCGCGAGGTGTTTATTGGCCGGGACGTGGACAACTGCGAAGGGCTCGCCGTCGACTGGATAGGTATAAGTCCAACGTCTACGTCTCGACGACCTTCGCTTTTGTTGTTCTCGCTTGTGAACCCTCTCTGAAAGCGGTCTTCGCCTGACAGGTCGCAACTTGTACTGGACCGACGACGCCCTGGGTCAGGTGAGCGTGGCGAGGTTGGAGCGACCGGAAGCCCGCGTCGCGCTCGTCTCCGAGCCGGACTTCAATCCGCGAGCGATCGTGCTCGACCCCGCCAACGGGTGAGTCTTTCCGCCCCGAACCCCGTGCGTAACGTAGCCTGTAACTTATATGTCTCAAACAAAGTGTTCTCGCAGCGTCATGTTCTGGACCGTGTGGGAAGGAGCCGGCGGAGGCGCGAGCGGAGGTCGCATCGAGACTGCCCAGATGGACGGCTCTCGGCGACGGCTTCTCGTCCACGCCGCGCTGCACTGGCCCAATGGCCTCGTGCATGACTCCGAAGCCGGATACCTTTACTGGTCAGTCGGCCCCAAATCCGATTCGTGTGTTCTCGTTCCGTTTACCTAATTGTCAATGTGCGCATCAGGTGCGACACGTATCTGAACAAGATCGAGCGACTGCGCGTGACCGTCGAGGGCGACGCGGCGGCGGGCGCGACGCGCGAAACGCTCGCGACGAACTCGCCCTCTCTTCCGCTGTCGAAGCCATACGGACTGGCGCTCAGATACGGTAAGGTTCGCTCTCGAGACGGTCGTCGAAGGCGCGTCACCGAATGAACTCGACCGGTTTTTTGCAGGCGAAGTGCTGTGGAGCGAACACGGGACGGGGCTCGTTCGGAGGTTGCGCGACGGGGTCGCGGTCGATCTACGCTCGTTTCCGCCTCCCCTCTACGACATCCGCTTCGTCTCCAAGAACACTAGGACAGGTCAGATTGTGGTCTAACAAAACGCGCACGCGGCTCGGAGAAGAAACGTTGAATCTCTCGTTCCTTTAGGCTCCAACGCGTGCTCGCACGGTAACGGCGGCTGCGCGGAGATCTGCTTGGCGCGCGGGGCGGGGCGCGTGTGCGCCTGCGGGGCGGGGCGCTCGCTCGCCCCAGACCTGCGCTCCTGTCGCAACGTCACTGGCTCCTCGGCGTCTCTCGGGGCGCATCGCTGTCCGTCTCGACATTTTCACTGTGGACGCGGGTAACTTAGAATAGCTTCCCAATTTAGGTCCTTAAATTCTATCCATTAAATAAAATTATTTAAATTTTTCACTGCACACTAATACGAAAGGTTTTTGTTTATTTTTTTTATCCAATATACTAGCTTACTTCAATCCCTAATTCCATATCTTGCCACTTAAATATAAAAACAGTCCACAAACAACTATTTCGTTCGACCGGCTTCTATTTCGACTCGTACAGGCGCTGCATTGACGAGTCCCTGGTGTGCGACGGCGACGCGGACTGCCCGGACGGCTCCGACGAGGATGCTTCCGCCGCGGGACCGTGTGGTGAGCGAATAGTCTATGGCGTCCGTTAATGCCGATGAAGTTTCTGTTCGCTAAAGGTCCGTTTTTTTAGCGAACGTCAAGTGCGATGCAGAGCAGTACATGCAGTGCGACGCCAATCGTTGCATCCCCAAGAGCTGGGTCTGCGACGGTCTCAAAGGTAGCTCTCGACCCCGTTCGGGGCCTCCTCCCCACCCCACCCCGCGTAATACCCCAATAACCTTTTTGCCGTGTCGCTGTCAGACTGTCGCGACGGAGCCGACGAGAGCGGCGCGTGGTGCGCTCGGGTAGTTTGTGGCGCGGAACAGTTTGCGTGCGCGCGTTCGAGGCGTTGCCTGCCTGCCGCGTGGCGCTGCGACGGCGCCGCGGACTGCGGGCCCGACGATCGCAGCGACGAGGAACAATGCGGTACCGTTGGACACTCGAGGCCTTACGTTGCCGGGTTCGCATTTTCGGTAACCGAAAACTGAAATCTCTCGGCAGACGCGGGCGGTTGTTCGAGCGTGATGTTCAAGTGCACGAACGGTGCGTGCGTTCCGTGGGAATACTACTGCGACGGCCACGCCGACTGCGCTGACGCTTCGGACGAGCTCGCTTGTCGCGCCCCAGCCCGCTCCACAACCATAGCACCCGGCCCGAGACCGGGAGACGCACATGGGCGCCGGCCTACGGACGAGTGGGTTTACCCGATTTATTTACCCTTTCGATAAAAATTAACCTTGAAGAGTATATATATAGAGACTGGCTCGTTGGTGTAATGGTACCAATATATAATCAACGGGTCGTGGAATTGATTCCCACCAGGTCCAACATGTTTATAATTTATAGTTTTTTCTGAGACTGTCTGTGTCACGTTCGTTTTTTGGGACACGCTGCTATTTTGTTTTATCATTGTATTACTATTTACTGTGTAAGTAATTGTCTACCTTAACAAAATTTTTTTTATGTTTCTCGGAAATCTACTAATGAAACTCTCGACTTCTTGAAACTAGTGAGTTTACTTAGTAAATTAAAGAGTTACTTTTGTGTTTAATGTTATTCCATATCTTAAAAGAAGGATTCTTTTATTTTTCAGACAGACAAACGTTCCACGCTTGTGTGAGGCGCACGAATTTCAGTGTACCAACGAAGAGTGCATCCGAATGGTAAACCGAACGCTTTACGTACTTGTGAATAGTAAATGTTTCCCTCATTTCAAGGTCTGTATTTAACTACAGGAATTCAGATGCGACTCGCGCATCGACTGTCTCGATGGCTCCGATGAGGCGAATTGCGGCGTCGTTTCGACGCGCGCGCCTTCCTCCAGCCCCGCCACCGGGTCGCCTTCCGCCGCAACGGAGGCAGGCGAGGAGTGTTCGTGGCCTGCGATACGCTGCGACAACGGTACGAGATGCGTTCCGCTGTTGCAGCTCTGTGACGGCACACGCGACTGCGCCGACGGAGGAGACGAAGCGGACCGATGCGGTGAGACTGACTCCTTCTCTTCCTTCCATCGTTGTCGCCCTTTCGTTGCACCCTTTACTCTTTTTGCAGGGGAGCCGATGTGCTCGGTGTCCGGATGCTCGCACTCGTGTCAGCCGACGCCGAGCGGGCCCGCATGCGTGTGCCCCGCTCATCTGCATTTGCGAGCGGATCGACGCACCTGCTCGCCGACGCACCTTTGCGAGGAGTGGGGCGTCTGCAGCCAGGTAAACCCGTTCTCTTTTCCTGTATTTATTGTGGGTTATTCTCAATAGTTTATAATTCTGTTTTCGTCAGACCTGCCAACCCCAAAAGAGCCGATACCGCTGCACCTGCCACGAGGGGTACCGACTCGCAGACGACGGCTTCACTTGCAAGAGCACAGGTATATTTTCAGGCCCTTCATCTCGAAGCGTCGTGTAGTACAAATTCCAACCCCTCCCGCAAAATAAAAAAATAAAATGCATTTGTTTGAGAATATCGAACATTCTTAAAATGTTAAATTTAAAAGTTCACTTCTGATACGATTGGCGCGACAGACATACAGAACCCTTAGATGTTAGGAATCGATCAATGGTCTGATATATAATTATTCTTATTATTTGTCACTTACCGTTAACTTAACCGAACACGCTAAAACCCGAGCTTTTACAAGGTGGCTGCGAAAGCCTAATACAATTTGTAGTTTCATTGAAATTACGCAAATTTTTAATTAATTAACGATAATTATTCTTCGGCAGAGTCGAGTCCTGCGGTCCTCGTGTTCAGCAACAGGCACGAGCTCCGGGCTGTAGAACTAGGCTCTCTGGCGTCACGGGCGCTGGTCTCTTCGCTAAAGAACACGATCGCGCTCGACTGGCGACGCATAGAACGCGGGGTGCAGCTCTTCTGGACGGACGTCGTCGACGACAACATCTACCGAGGCACCATTATCGACAACGCGCTCAGCGACATCTCGGCCGTCGTGCAGCAGGGATTGTCGACTGCGGAGGGCCTAGCCGTCGACTGGGTCGGGGGTAACCTGTACTGGGTTGAGAGCAGCCTTCACCAGATCGAGGTGGCGCGCGCGGATGGACGCCATCGCCGTACACTCATCGCAGGAGACATGGATAGCCCTCGCGCGATAGCCCTCGATCCCACCAAAGGCAAGTCGCCCGTGGCCGAATCGATTCGCTTCTTCGCGGGCCCCTCTACTGATACGCCGTCTTCGTTGATAAACAGGCTACTTGTTTTGGAGCGACTGGGAGCAGAGCGCGCCGCGCATCGAGCGGGCTACGCTGGCAGGCCGCCGGCGACGCCGCGTAGTGAGCGTCCGCGCCGCCGGAGAAGGCGCTTGGCTTAACGGAATCGCGCTGGACCACCTCGCTCAACGACTCTACTGGATCGATGCCAGGTAATACTATACATATACGTATACTAGGGACATACACGTGACGGGCGTAAGCGTCTTCCGAGCATCGCTATAACTAACACGATCTCAACTAGGTCAGACTCCATCCACACGACGACCTACGACGGCGAGGACGCGCGTGTAGTGCTGCGCGGGCACGGTGCCCTCTCTCACCCGTTTGCGATCACCGTGTTCGAGTCCCACGTCTTTTGGACGGACTGGCGCAGCAACAGCGTAGTTCGCGCCAATAAATGGAACGGCTCGGACGTCACGGTCGTGCAGCGCACTCTCACACAGCCCTTCGACCTCAAGGTATCTCGACCTACGCTCTCCCTCGCGACGCTTTTGTGCTCGAGAATACAATTTGATCGTACTCGGCAGGTGATCCACCCGAGCCGTCAGCCTGCGAGCGCGAACAACCCTTGCCGGGTGAACAACGGCGACTGCTCCCACCTCTGCCTTATCGACACTCCCTTGGAACGAGTGTGCGCGTGCCCTCATCTCATGAGGCTGGCTGCGGACAACCGGACCTGCGAAGCGGAGAGGCAGGTGCTTCTCGTGGGCGTGGCGGGCGCGGTGCGCGGGCTCGCGCTACGGGGCGGGTTGGCGCAAGTGGCCCCGACGCTCGCCGGTCCGCAGCTGTCGCGACCGGCAGCACTGCAGTGCGATGCGATGTCACAGGCGCTCTACTGGGCCGACCCGGACACGAACGAAGTTAAGCGCGCCGAGCTTCGCGGGGGCAGGCTGCGCGTGAGCGTGCTCGCCGATGCGGGCTTGCAGCAGCCGCGCGCGCTCGCGCTGAACGTGCCTGCGCGCCTCCTGTACTTGTGCGCGCGGGGCACGCTCGCGGTCGCCTCTCTCGACGGAGAGAGACTTACGCCGCTCTTCGAAGACCGACTTGACGCCTCCGCCCTCGCGGTGCACCCTCGCACGTGAGTAATTATACCATAGTACCATTATTTTCTCACACGAAGCATGACGTCATCGAGATCAGAGGAAAGCATGCACGTGTTATATGTAAGTTACTCTATTATACCCTAATGTAGTGTAGAACAGTTTAAGCGTTAATCCCGAGTTTGGAAAATATATGTGAAAGTTGTGTAAGGTAAATCTTAAAGTTTGAAATATTTTATTTATTTATTATGCTAGCTATGCTATATAATAATATTATAATAAATAAACAGTAAATTTGTACGGGCGTTTGTCCATGCACCACCTGATTACCACTAATAAACAAGGCATACTAAATCATTGGGGTTAAAAAAAAAATTAAAGGAAAAAAAAAAAAAAAAAAAGAAAAAAAACTGAAAAAAGCTATTCTTTTTTGTTAAACAAGATGTTATTTTTCAGCAACGTTTTCCCCATAATAACGGCAACACATTTATTGTATAAAAACGTCTAGGAATCTAACAAATAATGGCACCCCAATTATATATACATTTTGAAGATATTTATCTATATATTACACAAGGTTACGATACTTAATTGACATATATTGATGCCAATTCAATATAATAACAAAAGTACATAATGTATCACAACCTATTTATTACAATATAATAATGTACATCATACCTGAACCCTCCATCGTTCAACAACGTTCCACCAACGTTTACCGTGCGATTTCTCAAGAGCAACTGCTCTACCCGCTTTACAGCGCACCCCCTTTTATACAATTCACAAACAACCGACCAGGTGTTAGCCTGACGTCATCGAATAACACGAACATTACTTTTAAACATTTTGTAAACTACCCGCAGTTATACATCACAAAAACAATGATTTATACTACGTTTAATTACATATATATATATACACAAAAATTCAAATAATCTGTCGAGTAGCGCCAATAAAGCCACGACTCGAGCTATGTGGCGCTCTTCTATTGGCAAGACTTTTAGATGAGGTAGCTGAAGTACTTAAAATCCCAAATCAGAATTTGCATGCATGGACAGATTCCTCAATTGTCTTGGCTTGGTTAAGAAGTCATCCAAGTCGATGGAAGACCATTGTTGCGAATAGAGTATCTGAAATACTTTCACTTACTGAAGCGATGACACGTTGTTTCTAAAGAAAATCCAGCTGACTGTGCCTCCAGAGGTATGTCAGGAACAGAATTTATCCAATTCACTCTCTGGAATCAAGGTCCTGATTGGCTGTACAAAAGGGATTTAGATTATGACCAGACGATAGAAAAAAATACAAACCTTGAAGAAAGAACTCCAAACTGGAAAAAAGAAAATCTGAAAGAAGGAAAGGAAATAATTAGTAGTCATGTCAGTGCAAATGAAAAAGAAAATGAAATCATTACCAGATTTTCATCTCTTAAAAAACTTACTAGAGTCCTTTCATAGCCGCCGTGTGTTGAGCTGGAAAATATCTGAAAAAGAATTATTATTTAACAGTAAAAGAAATTAATTATACTCTTAACACATCTATAAAGTTATGTCAAGAAGTTTTTAAAGTTGACATATTAACTTTACAAAACAATAAACCAGTAAATAAAAAAGTAAACTTAGCTCGTTGAGTCCATTTTTAGACCAGAATAATTTCTTAAGAGTTGGAGGAGGACTGCAAAATTCTTATTTACCCGAAGAAACCAAGCATCCAATAATAATTCCTTGTGGCACTCATCTTACTGATCTTCTGATTAGAGATGCTCATGAGAAAACTTTTCACGGTGGCCCTCAACTAGTACTTAATTATTTGAGAACCAAGTACTGGATCATCGGAGCTAAAAATGCTATTAGAAAAGTAACGAGAAAGTGTATAACTTGTATACGATATAAAGCGGAAGTGAACCAACAAATGATGGGACGGCTACCGACTGCAAGAGTAACTCCTCAACGTGCCTTTCTTAAGAGTGGAGTAGATTATGCTGGTCCAATAAACGTGCGCACAACTAAAGGGCGTGGTCATAAATCCATGAAAGGTTATATTTCTCTATTTGTCTGCATGGCTACCCGTGCTATTCATTTATAAGTTGTCAGTGATATGACTTCTGAAAGCTTTTTAGCGGCCTTCAAACGTTTTGTTTTGCTCGTAAAGGCCACGTTGTGGAGTTGCAGAGCGATAATGGAACGACCTTTGTCGGTAGTGCACGCGAACTTAAAATGCTGCCTCACTTGGAAAGTACTCATGTTGCAACTGAGTTAGCTAATTGGTTGTCATGGAATGGCACAGCATGGCATTTTATCCCGCCCCATTCTCCAAATTTTGGTGGCTTGTGGGAAGCGGGAGTAAAGTCAACAAAGTATCACCTGAAAAGAGTAATTGGAGACAGGCATTTAACGTTTGAGGAACTTACAACAGTCCTGGCTCAGATTGAAGCATGTCTCAATTCAAGACCAATTCTGACACTCTCCAATAACCATGAGGATCCTGCGGTTTTGACACCTGGTCACTTTTTAGTTGGTGAACCATTAGTTCTGGTACCGGATGCGAACTATGAAGAGGTTAAAATTGACAGTCTGAAGCGTTGGTATTTAACTCAAAGAATTATTATAAGATTTTTGGCAGAGGTCAGAAAATCAATTTACAACAAAATTTAGGTGCCAACAAACACCGAGCCGAAGTTGGTAGCTTTTGGAAAGAAGACGATCTGCCACTGCAAAGTGGTTTTGGTATTGTAGAAGAGAAAATCTTTTAAATAATCTTAAAGAGTAGTCAATAAAATATAAAAATAATTATATTAAAGACCGTTTCTAAATTGATTTTTTGCCAACCTAAGAATAAAAGGAAGCTATTGTCATTGTTTAATTCCTTTATTTAATAATAATACATAGTCCTCCTGAAACTGCATGTCAATATTGAATTATTTTTTTATTTTAATATTTTATGACGAATCTAAATAATTTTTATAATTTTACAGAGAATAAAGTATATTTTATTTTATTCTTGGACGCAGGGGGGACGTATACTGGGCGGCGAGTTCGGGAGGTGCCGAACGCATAGAGACCGCACGGGGCGACGGAAGCGGGCGACGAGTGCTGCTCGACTCGAACATTGACGCGCACCTCGCCGGAGTCACTAGTTAGTATTCGCTAGTCTCGACCGGGGGCCCTTCGGCCCGAGGTTAGCCACGAATCAATAATGACTTTCGACTGCGCTGACAGGTATGACCTTGGACGCGGAAAACGACCTTCTGTATTGGGTAAACACGGCGTCCGCTAGCATTCAATACTTAGACCTCGCAACTAAGACACCCATAACGGTAAGTGCGGGCGCGCGAGACCAAGTTCTTTCCAATAGGTTTTATAAGGAATAAATAATAATCGGACGCTCGTGTTCCAGTTGGCGCTCGAGGTGGGCGCACGACCGAGCGCCATCGAAGTGCACGCGGGGCAGGCGCTGTGGGCAGACGCGGCTACCGGCGCTCTGCGGGCGTGTGCGCAGCGTGACTGTAGCCGCCCCACTCTGCTGCGCAACAATACAGGTGTCCCGTCTCGCACAGATTTCTCCTTGTTCCTCCATTTGGAACCGGCGCTTTAACAATAAGTATTCGTCGCAGAGGGCGTAATCTCTCTGCGGGTGTACGACGCGGGCGCGTCGAACGATAGCGCCGGTGTGCAGAAGGGCGCGTGCACCGAGCGCAGCGACCGGGAGCGTTGCGCGCACTTGTGCCTGCCGGTTTCGGCCGTGGCGTCCGCCTGCCGCTGCGCCCTCGGCTACTCACAGCGCGGCACCGTTTGCTCTCGTGAGGAATTACGATATATATAATAAAAGTTACGCGTCTTACCCCTGTAATCATTTAATGTGTCCGTTGGCAGCCGTCGAGCCGACTCTCGTATACTCCTTGAGTTGGGAATTACGCGGAATATCCTTGGCGCCGGGCGACAAGGGCGAGGCAAAGGACGCGCTGCCGCCTCTACCGCAGATCACGTCCGCCGCTGATGTCGACTATTATGCCAGTCAGTTTCTCTCGGTGTCATTTTCTCGGAAGAGGACGAAAACGCGCGACTTATTTCTTTCGTTATTTAATTTGTCTAGAGGAAGAGTGGTTGTATTGGGCGGATCCGGAGGGCGGTGCCGTGTGGCGGGTGAAGCGGGACGGGTCGGGGCGTCAGCGCGTCGCTCAGCAGGCGGAGGGGGCCAGCTCGAGCGGGGCGGGCACTGCGGAAGGCGCAGCCGACTCCCTCGCCGCTCTCGCGGTCGATTGGCTCGCCGGCAACCTTTACTGGAGCGACCCGTCGCGCGCGCTGCTCCACGTCGCCAGGCTGGACGGGTCCCATCGCTACGTGCTCAAGGACACAGATCCCTTCGCCGTCACCGGTGAGTGAATCGTCGCCGCGCGCGGGTCGCTCGACGAGCCTCTTTAACTGGCCCCGTCGTTACAGTTCTAGCGATGGACCCTGTGCGCGGATGGCTCTTCCTGTCGGGTGGCAGTTGGATCCAACGCATGCGACCGGACGCCTCCGCTCCGCAGCTGCTCTACAACGGAACCGCCGTGGCTCACATCGCGCTCGACACGGAGGTACGGCTTCTACCCGACGAGACGAGTCAGCGGTGTCGGCTTAACCGCTTACGGAGTGTCTCGTTGTATCTTGCAGAAGCAAACCGTCTATTGGATAGAATGGTGGGACGAGGTATCGATATGGAGCGTGTCGTACGTCGGGGGCGCGCGACGCGGAATTTGGCGTGGGGCTCCGCTGAGGCATCCCGTCGCCCTGGCGCTCCACGGAGGCATGCTCTACTGGCTAGACACGTACGGCTAAAACTCGACCGTCCTTATATCTCGCTCAGTCGCTGATTAACGATAAACTGTGTCTGTTTAGGATGCTGGCGCAGGGCGGAGCCGCACGAGCGCCTCTCTCCGACCTCAAGAACTACACGCTGCTCGTGGACAACGCCGGCGACAGCCTCAAAGATATTCTGGTAGGGCTAAACATACATAAAAGCACTTTCTTCAAAAATTCTGTCACAGTTAAAGCCATCCGTCATTAGAATTTTCTTTCCACTAATATCAGAAAAGCTCAATCACTCCGTTCTTTTAAGACTTTGCTCTAAGTTTTACGTTTCCAATATTTAAGTTAGTTTTTCTCATACTCGTTGTGTGTACTTTTACTAGGTACCATTGATATTCTTTGTTATTCCTTACACCTACCCACTAAATAAATTATTTTCTATTTCTTTTCTCCTGTACTTCAGATTGCCTGGAAGAGATCGCTACTTAGCGATAAGGCCGACGTAAGATTTTTCCTCATTCATTTGTATTTTCTGTGATATGTTTTATAAATAATAAAGCAATAATAAATAAATAAAATCACGTATGGCTACGACATAAATCGTAACTATGTAGACATGCAACTTACAAAACTTTGACGTATTAAAGAAAAAATATATATTTTAAAATATGCTAAGAATTAACATAAATCTATAAAAATATTTAAGCAAAAAGGTCGGGTCACATAAGAAGTGCTAAGGTCAGAAAAATGTTTTTGCTTATGTGGAGTACACTTAGGGTGAAGATATTGTGGTGTAGTGAAGAATGTTGACAAAAATTTATGAAAATCTAAGTTAGAATGACGATTCTATTGAATTGCGTTTCAGATCTGGTCCAGGGAGGAGCAGCGGGCGGCGGAGAGCGTAAATCCGTGCGCGATGGAGGCGGGCTACGGCGGGTGCGAAGCCCTCTGCCTTTGGGACGGGGCGCGCGCCCACTGCGCCTGCCCCCACGGAGCCTTGGCGCCCGACAACCGGACGTGCACGCGTCAGTTGACCTTGAGCCCCCTTAAATCGGATCGTCTTAAAGAGTCGTGTCGTAACATCGTGCATTGTGCCTGTTTCAGCGCACACCTCGTTCTTGATGTACGCGCGAGTGTCAAAGATTGACAGCATCCACCTGCAGGACGAGAACAATCTCAACTCACCGTACCCCCCCATCGAAAACAAGTGAGCGCCAGCTTTTCTCTTAAATTTCATATATAGCATATAACGGGTATAATGGATGGATGGGTGATCAAGTCGTTGAGTGGATAACAAAACATAATAATAAGAGCAATAAGTATTTTTTTACTTGCCTTTTACATATTTTGTTGATCAACTTCACTAAACGGATTTTGTTATTACCTGAGCTTAGAATATGTTAGCAATTTAAATACATGTATATGTAATGTTCATAAAGTTATAAATCAGCAAGAACTCCGGTTTGGGACCATTTTTCTCGGTCCCGTGCTGTGCAGCACCACTTTATGCCAGCAGTTCTTTTTAAATCGTCTTCCCAGCATGTCTAGGGTTTCCCCCTTCTCTTACCTGAAGGTCCCTTCCGCTGGGTAACCCTTGAAGCCCACTTTGTGCTAGACATCCTTGCGACATGGCCAACTCAACGCCATTTCAGTTTTTTAGCAAAGGTCGATGCGTTTGTAGCTTTAGTGATGTCTCTTATTTTGCCTCCCCTTGACTTGTATTTATTTTGTTCGTAACTTGAGTAGTAAACTGAGTTCATAATTTTATTGGTAAGTTGCCTTTAAATATTTCTTTTAAGCTCCAGTATTTGTTCCAGGTATGTTGAACCCTTCTTTCTATTTTAGCGATGATGCTGTTTTGGTCAAAGCTTTTTCCAAAGAAAAAATATTTTTACGTATTATAAAGGATTACCTTTAATATTTATAGGATTTTTTTGTGTATTCGTCATTTACCTTGTCTTCTTTAAGTTCATTTCCAACCCCACTTTCGCTTTGTTATTGAATGAACTCTATCATAATTTTCTATGAAGTCCTGTTGTGGTTCTCATGTAGCAAAGTATAAAGGTACCGTATTCTTCTATATTACGTAGTAATTTATTTTAGTTAAACATTCTTCCAGTACTAGTAGACGGTCGGTCTACTAGTACTTGAATAAGGTTATAACTTTTAAATTAGTGTTTGGTTTTCTTTGTTTTTTGAGCTTTTTAAGATAGAGTTTGAGTTTTTAATGTTTGGAGGATTATGGTCATAATCTCCCACGGCCACTTCCAATCCAGTGACCAATCAGGTTGGAAGAGAAATCGTATTTTTATTGCGCTTTGTTTGTTATTTTGTATTTTTGTGGAGGAAGGGATCTATTTGCTATGCATTATTATTAGTTTTATTAGTTAAGTCGTTCAATTAATTTCGCTTTAAAATTCCATCGGAAAAACTGTTAGACCTCCTTGACTTTTAATTTTAAATCAAATTGTTCCTTGCTCTTTTTTGTTTTATTGTCTTGCGTTTGTAAATTCTCGGGAGATATTGAGAGATTTCTCGTATTACCATTGTTCTTGTTTTTGTTGAGTATTATCGGTTTGTCATATTTTATAATGGCTCTGTTTCCTTTTTCTCTCTCGATCTTTATTTACTCCTGTAGGTAATTCTTTTCTTTTGTTTAATATATTTCGCGGATAGTCTTCTTGTAAGTAGAATGCGGAGTTTTTTAGTGTAGGCACTTAGTAACATCAGCCTGACCCTGTTAGATGACTTGGTTTGGTTAATTCTGACATTTCATCAAAACGTACTTGCACATGTATAAATATCGATGTTACTGGTTAATAAAGTATTACAATTATTACAATTAGAACACGCAACATGCAGTACCTTCGCTACAGTAGTACATTCTTTTGTTTTAGTATTTGTATTTTCAATCCTAAATTAGAAAAAGTGACAACAATTGGTCTTGGTCTTTCTCCTTCTTTCCAATTCTCTTTATTTCTTGTATATTGATTCTCTCTACGTTTCAATTAAATTGTTTATTGATACATTACATTTTTAAAGTTGAAGTATGATTCAAATTCAAAATGTTTTTTGCCATAAAATATATTTACAAACGTATAACTTATAACTAAATGTGTGCATAAAAAAAAATATAGTAATAAATATATAAGAGATGGCAATCGGTGCCATGCTATGCTATGCTGCTGAATGCTTGTCACACTCAGCAGCGATGATGACTCCATCTCCTCTATACCGAAAAATACAATATTTCGCTACCTTCCTTGTTTTTCCAAAAAGTATAGTGAGTTTTTGTTCGTTTAACTCTTTTGTGGTGTAAGATTCAGTAATAATCGCACAATGTCACTTTCTTTTAGTATTTAATCGATTAGGTAATCATTTGGGTGATAATTCTTGTAGGTAGTTGATCGCCACTTGTCATAAAAACAGATAAGAACTGATATCTTCACTATTGACGTTTATTATGATTAAATTCGTTTTCACTGGTTTTTAAACGCTGATATTATTTTTAAGTTGCAAAATTTTCAGAGCCGATGTGTAACTAACGCCTTCTCGCTCTGCAATAATATATATAATAAAAAAATAATGCAACAAGTCGAGCTTAGCTTAGTTATGTAAACTAAACTAAATTAATATTAAAACATTCGATAATGGAAACTCATTACAAATTATTTTACCTATTCCTATACTAAAATTGCACACATTTTTAATATATAAGACTCATTTGCACTTGTTTCTTTTCTTTTGTGCAAAAAAGTGTTTATAAAAAATAAAAACTTATATGATCAACAAATTATATTCTACAATAAAACTACAACGAACGCAGGTACGTATTGGAACCTAACCTAATATTTATTTTATAATATGAAACTTAAACAACAAAAAATTAAATAAATGAAAATGCGAATTTGTCTAGGGATTTGGCAACAAAGTTAGACATCGACAGCTATTGAATTACTTAACGACGTCGTGACAGTTGCTTTTTAGAATCACATCGCTTAAGGAAGTTATCGGCATAGCCCTTAGCCAACTCCGTATAACGTTAAGGTCGCGAGTTAATCTTAAGTTGTGCGCAGGACCCTGATGCGCAATGCGATTGCCCTCGCCTACGAGTACGAGACGCAGACGTTGCTCTACTCGGACATCCAACGCGGCTCCATCAACTCCGTGCACTTCAACGGCAGCGAGCACCGCGTGCTGCTGGACAGTGAGTGCGCCTTCACGGCCTTCTCCCGCCGCTAGTTAGACCTGATTAAAGCGATGTCTCGTGCAGAATGCGGCGCCGTGGAGGGTATGGTGGTGTCGCCGCAGACGAGAACCCTCTTTTGGACGTGCGCCTCGTGCGCCGCTCTCCGCTCCGCCTCTCTGCCTGCTCTGCGGTCCACGCCGCTCGCTCGCCGGCAGGCGCTCGTCCGGACCCTGCTGCAGCTCGACGCCGGTGACCGACCCCGAGCCATCGACCACGATCCTTGCGAGCAGTGAGCGCGTTTTTATAATAACTTATTTAATAGCTCCCCTGAAATGTTTCCCTATAAAATCGGACGTCGCAGACGCGTGTACTGGACGAACTGGAACGAGAAAAGGCCGCGCATCTCCCGGGCGCAGGCGAGCGGCCGAGGCGCGCAGGACATAGTGACGACTGACGTGCTGATGCCCAACGCGCTGGCCCTGGAGCACGACGCTAAGCTGCTCTACTGGGCCGACGCGCGCCTCGACAAGATCGAGCGAACGCGCTATGACGGCTCGCACAGACGGGTATGACCCTCTTTCGACCCTCTCCTGTCGAGCGTGACCGTATAAATATGAACGAGTGTTCGCGTGGCAGATAGTGACGCAGTCCCGCTCGGAGCACCCCTACGCGCTGGCCGTGGGCGGGGGGCTACGTGTTTTGGACGGACTGGGTGTCTCGCAGTGTGCTTCGTGCGGACCGTCGCGCCGGTCTCGCGCGCCCTCTGCGTCGCGACGTGCCTCGCCCCTGCGGCGTCGTGTTCATCGCTCCCGATCGTCACCGATGTTCGTCGGACCCCTGCGCCGTGATGAACGGAGGCTGCGCCGAGCTGTGCGAGGTGGAGGCGAACGGGCACGCGCGATGCGCCTGCGCCGGCGGCCGCGTGTTGGAGCGCGACGGTCGCGCGTGCCGACCCGCGAGGGCTGCCTGTCCTCCGGACATGTTCGCGTGCGCGGAGGGCGCCTGTCTGCCCGCGCAGCTCGTCTGCGACGGCGTCAACCACTGCAGCCCCGACGCCGACGCCAGTGACGAAGACCTTTACTATTGTAGTCAGTATTCGTTTTTATACTATCTGTAGTGCGTTTTGTTCGTTCGTTTGGCGTTTTATATGTTTTAAAATTTTAATATTTCAATCTTCAGCGTCGCGCTCGTGTCCCGCGGAGAGCGTGGCCTGCGGCGCCGGCGGACGCTGCGCGCCTCAGTCGCGGGTGTGCGACGGGCATCCGGACTGCGACGACGGAGCCGACGAGCGCGATTGCGACTGCGCGCCCGAACAGTACAGGTGCACGGACGGGACATGCGTTCCGATCGCGGCGAGGTGCGACGGTGCGGCGCAATGCCCGGACGGCTCCGACGAGAGCGCGTGTGGTGCGAACACTTGCGGCCCTGGATCACTGCGCTGCGAAGAGGGAGGAGCATGCTATCCACCGGCCGCGCGCTGCGACGATCATTTCGACTGCGCAGACCGAAGCGACGAAGCAGATTGTCCTTCCGGGAGCACAGTGTCTTTCGGCTCGAGTCGGGAGGCGTTCGAGGCGCCGTCGCTCAGCTGCCATTCGGCTCAGTTTCGGTGCGGAGGCGGTGCCCCCGGCGCCGTTGAGTGTATTCCGCTGGCGTGGCTCTGCGACGGACGGCCGGACTGCTCGGACGGAAGCGACGAAGCCGAGCACTGCGGTACGTTTTCTAAATAGAGTCATCGGTGTTAAAAAATAGGTCACTAATTAAAAGTTTTTCTGACAGGCAAACGTAACGAAACCGGCGGAGAATGCGGCGGAGGTGCAGGGCGATGCGCGTGCGCCCCCGGCTCTTTCCGTTGCGCGCATTCCGCCCTCTGCTTGCACACCGTAAGTGAACGTGTCGGTCGGTCGAGGTGAAACGAGCGGAAGCGCGCCAGTAGTTTAATAACTTCTGTCGCACTTTTCGCAACGCAGAGTCTGTATTGCGACGGGGACGCGGACTGCGAGGACGGCTCGGACGAGCCTCCGGGGTGTTCGGCCCGGGCGACGCCTTCACTCGTCGCCGGCGCCGCCGTGTCGGTCGATAACGCGACGGTGGAAGAGGAGGGCGCGCTGCTCTGCGCGGGTGAGGTGGGCGCCGTGTACTGCGCGGGTCGTTGCGTGTCCGCCGCGCTCGTTTGCGACGGTCGCGACCACTGCCTGGACGGGGCTGGTGGAGGGGCCGGTTCGGACGAGGACCCGTTCGTGTGCTGTAAGTGGCCAGTCGAATTGCGCTCCGCTTAGTCAACGTGCCATAAATTGTCTCTATTAATGAACTAACTCGTCAGCGTCGTACGCGCGCGCCTTCGGCACCGAGCTTCAAGCGGCCGTGTCGGGCGGTGTATGTTCGCGCACCGAATGGCGATGCGGCAACGGCGCCTGCGTCCCGCGCGACTCCCTCTGCGACGGGGTCGACTTTTGCGGAGATTTCACCGACGAGTCTCATTGCAGTAAGTGCCGAACGGTTATTCCCGAGCGATGTCAATCATTCGATGCAGAACCGTTTATTCCGGGACAGATATCGACGAGTGCGAGGTGTCGAACGGCGGGTGCGCACACAACTGCACGGACCTTCCGGTGGGGCGCGCCTGCTGGTGTCGTCCCGGCTGGAGGCTCGGAGCGGCCGGAGAGTGCCGCGACGTCGACGAGTGCGCCGAGGACGAGCCATGTGATCATCGCTGCAGGTCGGTCTCTTTATATCCCCAGGGAAGCGTTTATTTATTAATTTAATAAGGCTTACTAACTAGGTACACAAACATGTTTTAAACTACTTATAGTAAGAATAATTCTTATGTACCTAACTTATAAGTATGCTCAGCGTTGACTATAGATAGAGAGATAAAGACAATACACACGGCAAACCACATAGACAAACTTATTCTTAGTTGATTCTACATAATCATTAAGACAAGTTTACTGATCAAGATATTGAAGTACTTGTCTTTTGGAAACATTAGCACAAGTGTAAAAAGGCACATGACCAATATTGTGGTTCTTAAATATTAAAAAGTCTAGAAATTAACTGTATAGGGGAGTTTGAGCCATAATTATTTTTGTGAAATTAATGAAAGGGAATGGTACGCAAAGTCCAATTTGCTCCAAGAGGGGAGGGCAACAAATTAGGTTATTTATGATTTTATGAAGGCAAATCAATTGTGCTGCGTTTCGGCGAAGTTCCAAAGACTGCATGTTTAATACAACCGGCCTATCTTTGTAGCTTTTGATGTTGTCTTTTGATTATCTCAATCTTAGTAGTGACTACTTCTAGGAGTTCGTCGTATTGGTGACTCAGTATATGAGTTGAATCTTCCAGAAGCTGAAGTTGCTCTTTAATCGGCTCTAACTGTGAGGCAATAAGGTCACGAATAATACCAGGCAATAGGAGGGCCACTGCAGCTGGCACACTCACTATGATACAATTTGTTGCACTTCGAGCACCTGAGTCGCTTTTGCGTAACCTAAATTGATAATAAACATTAGGACATTCAGATGTCATTATGAAAGTATTACCCGTTCCTAATAATAATTGACATGTAATGTATGAGAAAAAAATACACAATATTAAATGACAATAGTATCTTAGTATAATAAACACACAAAACTATAAAGACATAGAACATATTATAGTTCGAAGTGATTCAAACTAGGATCAGGCGATAATTTACTGTGTTTATGTGCAGAGCCCTTTTATGGCATAAGAATAAAGTGCAACAATGCGACTATAAAGAGCGAAGTGTTATGGAAATTTAATAATAAAGTATCTATTGTTCACAACTTCCGACGAAACGACCATTTCTCACAACAAAATAACTTAATCTTCGAATAACTCGATTATGTAGATGTGAGTAACGTTCACGTTATCAGCTGTTCACAACTACCGACACTTATTCCGATCACTTCACTTGTTATTAGAACAAAACTCGGAGAAGTTTTTGTGTAAGCTTTTACCGCTATTTACAAATAAAAAACTTATGTAGGGAAAATTATATTCCACATATGTTATCTGAAGCTTTTTCTGTAAATGGTGCCAAATACTCAATTATTAGGCACACTTCTTACAATAATCTGAGAAAGTAACGCGTTATCTGTATATAGTATTGTTTCTTATTACTCTCGAAGGTATACTTGGTTTAAAGTTTCATTATCGTATAAGGCATCACTAAGTTCTGATCTAAGGATTTGAATCTGTCAGAGTGATAAGTCTTTAGTGCTCTCGAAAGTTTACTTTTGCTTATACTGTGTATGGCGCCAGACTTCTGGGAAGTAGGAAAGCTAGGCTTGGCCTACTTTCGGGTACGGCGAAAGCTGAGCGGTGTCGTTCCACATACATCTAGTATTATTTGTGTTATCGTATTTTTGTATGTGCGGTATAAATAAAATGATTTGATTTGATAATACGAACCTTTCCCAGGAACACGATAGGCAGCTTCGTCTGCTCCTGCTCGCCGGGCTATCGGCTCATGCAGGACGGGGTCAGCTGCTTGCCCATATCGCGTAAGAGAAACTCTATTATAGCTGTTACTATATCAGAAATTAGTTATAAAATTCTCATAACATTTATTTTATAATAATTTAGTATACCGTTACCATTAGTTTAAATTATTGTGCGTTTATTTATTTATTCATTCTAGCCTATTTAAGGACCTAAAAGTTGCACTCACATTTCTCACATATTTGTCACATAATTGTGTATCGCACGAGCATCCTTCCAGCGATGGAGGCATCGTTGATCTTCACGAACCGGTACTACATACGGCGCACGGCCATCCGCGCCGACGACGACGAAGTGCGGGGCGACGCGAGCACGTCCCTGCTCGTGCACAACCTGACAAACGCAGTGGCGCTAGACGCAGAGTGGGCGCGCGGCTGCCTCTACTGGAGCGACGTGACGCGCCTCGGCAGCTCCATCAAGCGCGTCTGTCGCCCGAACGCGTTGCGCGGGGCGGCCTCTCCGCCCGGGCCTCCGCCGCTCCGCCTGCCCGCTCTGCACCCGGACGAGTACAAAGTGGTGGCCGGCGCCACGCTACAGAACCCGGACGGCCTCGCCGTCGACTGGGTCGCGGGGAATGTGTACTGGTGCGATAAGGGTACGGACACTATCGAGGCGGCGAGACTCGATGGTCGGCACAGACGCGTCATCGTCCGGAACGGCCTGCGGGAGCCGCGAGCCCTCGCGCTGCACCCCGCCGCCGCCCACCTCTACTGGTCCGACTGGGGCAGCGAGCCGCAGATCGGGCGCGCTGGAATGGATGGCTCCCAGCCTGAGATACTCATAGCGGACAACCTCGGCTGGCCGAACGCTCTGACCGTCTCGTACGCTTCCAAAGAGCTATACTTCGCGGACGCACGAGAGGATTACATCGCCGTCGCCGACCTCGACGGTGGTCGCGTGAGGATACTGTTTTCCAGAGGTGAGTGCGGCGTCTGTACCGTGCGGGACGAGACGGCAGCGACCCGACTGACTTATCCCTTGTCCGACAGAGCGCATGCCGTGGCTGCGGCTGCATCACGTGTTCGCCATAGCCGCGTGGGGCGGGCGCATATACTGGAGCGACTGGGAGACACGCGCCGTGGAGAGCTGCCGCCGACGCCCGGACATGCGATACAACGTAATGCGTCCTCTCGATATCTTCTGCTACTGCAAGTTGACATTATCCGTGTGTCCTAACTGTGACGTCATGAAACAGGACTCGGCGGTGCAGCCCCTGGCCAGCGGCGGCGCGTGGCGATGCCGCACTGAGGTTCACACCGTGCACAAGCCTATGGACCTGCGCGTGCTGCACCCCGCCCGTCAGCCACCTTCGCCGGGTAAGCGAGATATCTACTTCACTTGTTCAGAATGTTCGGCGATTTGTTAGAATCATTTTTGTAATATTGTTAAATACAATAAAGACCAATCGCCTAATCTCGCGCGCAGAGTTGAGCTCGATGTGCGAGCGGCTGAACTGCTCTGGCCTGTGCCTGCTGAGCCCCGGGCCGAAGGCCAAGTGCGCGTGCCCCGAGCACTGGGCGCTGCAGTCGGACGGCCGCTCGTGCGCGCCCAACTGCACCTCGGCGCACTTCGTGTGCGAGCGAGCGTTGAAGTGTATTCCGTTCTGGTGGAAGTGCGATACGCAGGTACGTTAAACGCATTAGGAAGAAACGAGGCTGCAACAAAACCTTCGTTTTACCTTACACTTTACCAAACAGGACGACTGCGGTGACGGGTCCGACGAGCCAGAGTCTTGCCCCGCGTTCCGGTGCTCTCCGGGGCAGTTCCAGTGCTCCAACGGGCGCTGCGTACATCCGGCGCACATCTGCGACGGCACGCAGCAATGCGGGGACGGGTCCGACGAAGTCGACTGCGACCGCTTCACGTGTCTGTCGTCGCAGTGGAAGTGCCGCGGTAACGCCTCCGCCGCCGTGTCGGCGCGATGCGTTTCGTCTGCCGCCCGCTGCAACGGCCGCGCCGACTGCCACGACGGAGACGATGAGCTCGACTGTCCGCCGCGCACCTGTCCCCCACAACACGTAGGTTTCTTATCGGTTCCGTATCGTTTTATGTCGTTCTGACGTCGCATAATCGTCGCGTTCCCTTACAGTTCACGTGCGGCAACGGCGCCTGCGTGCCACTCGTCTGGCTCTGCGACCAGGACTCCGATTGCGAAGACAAATCTGACGAGGGGGATCTCTGCGCGGCTCGGACGTGCGCGCGCGCTGAATTTCGATGTTCATCCGGGCGCTGCATTCCGCGCGACTGGCTCTGCGACGGCGACCCGGACTGCCCCGAGCGCGAGGACGAACGCGACTGCGCGCTCCGCTCGGTCTGCGAGGCTACCTACTTCCGCTGCGGAGACGCGCGCTGCATCCCAGGCCGCTGGCGCTGCGACTTCGAAGAGGACTGCGCGGACGGATCCGACGAACGAGACTGCACACCGAGGAATTGCTCCGAGTCGGAGTTCAGGTGCGACAACGGCGAGTGCATCCGGGGCTCGCTGCGGTGCTCCGGCGCGCCAGACTGCAGCGCGGGCGAGGACGAGGCGGGCTGCGCGCCTCAGTGCGGGAACAGCGCGCGACCATGCCTTGGCACCGGAGAGTGCTTGCCGAGGTGACCCATCATTTCTAACTTGACTCGGTTTACAGCCGAACGGCAGAGACCCGCACTAAGCGTTTGTATGTCACGACGTAGTGAGTGGTGGTGCGACGGTGAAGAGGACTGTCCCGACGGGTCCGACGAGGCGGTCTGCGGAGCGGCCGCGTCGGGCCGGGACGACCGCTGCGGGGCGAGGCTGGCGTGCGGAACAAGATGCGTGCCGGCCGCCTGGCGATGCGACGGGCGCAAAGACTGCCCCGACGGGAGCGACGAGCGCGCCGATGTCTGCGCCTCGACGGTGTGCACTCCGCCCATGATCAGGTATCTTTCGTCGAATCCCTCGCTTGAATGTTTTCGATCGATACGAGACACGCTCGTCCTGTCCGCAGATGCGGCGACAACACTTGCGTGCCGCCCAACCTGCTGTGCGACGGCCACGCGGACTGCGCGGACGGCGCCGACGAGGATAAGCTGTGTACGTAACTCTCGAAGCACTATAAAAAACTTTTAACTTCAATGACAGCAACAGCAGCAACAGTGGCAACAGAGGCAGTTACATAGTCTTGTAAAGTATCACAGTAAAGAACAAGACAATGATGTGCGCAGGTCGCGAGTTCGAGGAGCGCTTGTGCGGCGAGGATCAGTTCCTGTGCGAAGACGGCCGCTGCGTCGCCTCCGACGAGACCTGTTCGCCGGGTGAGTAGCGCTGCGCCCGTTATTTTCAAAAGGATTTATACAAGTTTGAGCAGTCCTGTAGATGTAATCAATTAGTTCTAAACCACGACAAAACTCGTATAATTACCTTTACAAGCAATCTTAACGCTATAGGCCACATGTATATGCTTAGCGGTAGGGCCATAGAACATGTTACACAAACCAGGGATCTGGGAGTGATTTTGGCTACAGGTAACTATTTGTTATTAGTCACTATGAAACTAGCGCTTACAAACAACACCATCCACTTTTTCTCTTTAAAAACATTCACAACAAAATTGACTCAATCTCTTAAATCAGTAAAATTAACTTCTTACACACCACGCATCTCCTCACACAAAAAAAAATATTTTTTTTTTATTGATACTAGTCATACTAATTATGTCGAACATAGATTTTGTTTGCGGACCTGCGAAAACCTGCGAAAAAAAAACGACGTTGATATTTGTTGGAATGGATTACACAAATTATAATTCGCGTTCAAATCGTACGTTATTTGTAGTACTCTTCTAAATTAATTTCAATAGTAGCTATTTACTTACTAATAGGCATCAACAAAGTTGTCAAAATAAAGTACACAGTGAGCAGTTTTTGCGTTAGTGTATTCCTTGAACATTTGGAACCGTAACTGGGATATTTTCTGGAAGCCGGGATTGGTATTTTCATTCGTGACATTCGAGATATTTTCAATCCACCCTCATTTTCGATGCTAAGTAAACAAACACGATAATAAAAGCTGTGTTGACCCTGACTGACGTAAATACAGTGAACTGACAAATGTCATTATCAAGTCAGTCAATATACAGCTGTTATAAATCATCGAGCATAGAACACAGTGTTGCCACTAGATATTTTTCATTCTCGCGACTACTACACTAAAAAGATGAGTGTTTGTTCGATTTGTGATAAATCCTTTAAGTTACACGAGATTAAATTCTGCTCAATTTGTGCAAGCTCATATCACTATTATTGTCTGAAGATTTACCATGATAATTTCCTAAAAGAATTCAAAGCGTATAAGGTGGCGTGGAAATGTAGTTCATGTAAGAGTTCTGACAGACGAACCGCTGCTGCCTCGTCCCCTTCTCACCAGAGTTCTCACCTGGACCATCTCAGCCGTCGGAATTTGACCTTCAGGACTTAAAACGGCATTTTGATACACAACTTTAGGATTCCCTTGCAAAATTACTTGCGGATATCAAAAGTGATATTTCCACAGAAAGTGCTGGAACCTGTGACAGGTTACGGGATCTCACTGAAAGTGTGCATTTCCTTTTGTCTTCCAAGTGTGATAAACTGGAGGAAAGCTTGATCTCCAAGACTAAAGCTTTAGATGAGCTTAAGCTAGAAAATACTAGTCTCCGTAGTGAGATAGATGTCCTGTCGTCTCGTCTTGAAGATCTGGATCAGCGTTCTCGCAACTGCAATATAGAAATCCAGTGTGTTCCGGAGCGTAAGGGCGATAATTGAAATACTATCATAAGCCAGGTTGCATCAATCACGAGGTGTGCTCTTTCGGAACAGGAGATATCGAATTTTCATCGAGTTGCTAAAATTAATTCAGATTCCAGTAGACCTCGTCCTATCATAGTTAAATTAAGTAGTGTTCTTGCCCGCGACAGATTATTGACCGCCGTGAAGAGTTTTAACAGAACCCACAAAGGCGATAGGTTAAACACATCGCATTTAGTTCTTGCTGGTGACAAAAAACCAGTATATGTATGTCAACATCTTACACCGGCCAACAAGAAAATACATGCTGCCGCTCGCCGCATCGCAAAAGAGAAACAATTTGAATTTGTTTGGGTCCAAGGTGGAAAGATATTTATGCGCAAAAATATTCAATCCAAGACCTTTATCGTTAAAGATCTCCCTTTTCTAAACACTCTAGTGCAAAAATACCGTCTTTTTTGTATTCTTTTAAATTAATATTAAGTATTTCAGTCTTTATTAATCTACATGGTTTATTGTTTTGCCTCAAATCTTAAGATATTGTATCAAAACGTCAGATGTCTGAAATCGAATGAAACTTGGCTAGATGATTCCGTTTATGACCACGAAATAATTGATAGCAGATATAACATTTTCAGAAGAGATAGAAATACAATTGCTAGCAGTAAAATAAAAGTAAAAAGTATTCTAGTAGCCGTTTTAAAAAAGTAAGCGTCAACACGTCACGTAAAATGGGAGTCTCACTTTGAAGATATTTGGTTAATCATAAGACTCTACCTAAATAATTCCACTTGTGACCTTTGTATTTGCACTTTCCTCCACCCGTCACATTAACTGATTTTGAATATTTGACGTCAAATTTTTCAAATATCTTACAACATAAACTTCAAAATAAGTCTTTAATTTTAATAGCAGGGGATTTTAATTTACCCAATTTGAAATGGCAGTTGGACGCAAGAACTGATTACATGAGTGCTCTGCCCACAAATTCTGTGGTAGAACATATTTTTGTTGACAATATGGCCTTTCATGGGCTTTATCAACTTAATTCACAGTCAATTATAATAACCGTATCTTCCTTTGTTTCTACCAATATCAGATTTTCTCCATCTCCAACTTTTTACTCTCTGGTTAAAATTGAACTTCACCCTGCGCTCGTTATCATCTCCTAAATCTGTCAAAAATAAACCCCCTAAGGTCGGTAACGAGCCTTTTTCAAATTTCAATAAAGCCGACTATGTAAACATTAAAGCTGCCTTTGAAAAGGTTGATTGGAATGAAAAGCTTAAACCCGAACTATCAGTTGATCTTGCGGTTGTAGTTTTTTTACGATACTATTTTTCCTATAATTAAAAAATATACACCGTTAAAACGACGTAAAGGCACGCGCTTTCCCCTTGATTTAGTCAATCCTTAATTAGAACACTAAAAGAAAAAGCCAAATACCATCGACGTTATAAACTTTACTCAAACCCCAGTGATTTCCTTTCCTTTAAAATATTAAGAGAACGCTGTAATAAGTTAATCTCAGAATGTTTCATGTTAATGAAGCAGAATGCACAATCACATATAAAGTCTGACCCTAAGTTTTTCTGGTCATTCGTCAATTCCCTTAAATCTGATTGCAGCGATATACCGGATGATATGACTTTTAGTGATCGAAGAGCGCAAAGAGATAAAGAGAAGGCGGTAAAGAGATTTCAATGGTTTTCACAATACTTTCATTCCATTTACAAACGATTCATTGACGTCTTGTTCCTCTTCTACGTCCGGTCTTTCTATGGGATCAAATTTTTTACTTTTTCTAAAGCATTCGATCATGTACAACATAAGCTCCTAATCCAAAAACTAGGCCATGTTGGTATCTGTGGACCCGTGTTAAGATGGTGCGAATCATACCTACTGAATCGTTCACAAATAGTTACAGTTCGAGGCTTTGAATCTCCATCTGAAACAGTGCCGTCGGGAATACCACAGGACATACTGTTTATTATATCAATGGAGTGGCAATCGAAGTGGTATCAAGCGCGCGTGGTTTAGGAGTCGTAATAGAGAAAAAAATTGACTTTAGGGAGCACATAGCCACTGTTTGTAAAAACGGATCGAAGTTGTCTGGGTTTGTTCTACGAATAACATTTTTTTTTAACGATCCAGAAGTATCTATAATTATATTTAATTGCTTTGTACGAAGCGTATTATTCCGTTCATATTGATAGAATAGAACGACTACAAAATAAGTTTCTTATCATCTTTCATACGCTTCCAACCTGTGCAAGACTTCAGCATTACAAACTACTTTCTCTAAAACATCGTCGTGATCTAGCTGACGGTTTGTTTCTATCAATATTGTTTAATAACAAAATAGATAACATCAACCTAATTAACCACTTAAATGTTTCTGTTCCCCGTGCAAGCAGTCGCATTCACAACGTATTCGCTTTCGCTCTTCCGCACCGTCGAACCAATTTCGGTCAACACTCCCCTTTGCATCGTATGTGCAAACTATTTAACAATCACACTTCAGACCTGGATATTTTTTATCGCAATATGTACTTCCGGCCTCCGACAATTATAAAGTCTTCTTTTAGAGCACTAATATAATATTACATTTTTAGTATCCGTTTTGTTGTTTAGTTACATTTATAGTAGATTTCATTATAATTTACTTTGTACGATGAAACTTTATTTGTAGGTCGTGTCTACATATTTATAAGCTTAATTTTTTATTTGTATAAAGCCATTTATACCATAACTAAATATTAAAGCTTAGTTTTGTAGATCTTTTAAATAAAAAAAAACAAAAAAGCAATATTAAGCAAATTGAAGTCAGTTAATTTCCTTTTTTCTTTCTCGCTTCGCTTAATAGCGCCCGTCATAGCGATGTAAGCAATCTGTAAGCTCTAACCTCGATTATATATTAAGTATTATGGTTTAATTGAGTGTTACGTAAGTTCAAGTAGATAAAATAAAAAATAAATAACAATCATTTATTTAAAATGAATAGCTTAGCTTTACTTTTACAATTAACATTAGTTTGTTATTGCGACCTTCCGGGACTTCGGCCCGAGGAAACAGGCTGAAAGACAGTGCTGATTTCCTTCGCGCAAAATTAGGCCTGGGATTAGGAGTCTGTATCCCAAAATGTTACAAAAATTAAGTCTATTTGTTTTTCATATTTTTGTGGCAAATAATATAAAAATAGTTAAATAGAAATATACTAATTGAGAGATTGCCAGAACCGAAAGGAATTATGTAACGTAGGATATCGCAAATAAATAATGACTTCTTTTCCTCTTTCCACGGTTAGAGCGCGGAGACTGCACGTGGCGCTCGTGCCCGCAGATCTGCATGCCGAAGCACTCGCACAACCACACCTGCAAGTGAGTATTTCCCGCAAGTGGAAAATAAAATTTATTCTCTTTGAAATTCAAAAATTATTTAGATTCTTCAACGTTCCCAAAGAGCAACATGACCGAGAAGAACACCAAAGAAACTCAGCGACGGAGCAATTCATCGCTGTCAGGCATCCTCGTCATAAAAAGTAATCGTTCAATTTGCAACCTCAACTGACAACGTATTATAAATAGGAATACAATTCCCCGCAAATGAATGTGATATTCTATGAAGCCTATATTTGGGGATAGCTAGTTTATCCTTATTTCTTAAGTTCAAATAATGTCTATCAATATTCTCGCTGAACTTGCTGCCGTTGTGGGCTGCCGAGACCAAATTCGCTCCTCACCACTCTCTTCTGTCCAGGTGCGCCTTCGGCTACCGGCAGCGAGTGCTCGCCGACAAAAGAGTCACGTGCGAGGCGCAAGGCGAGGAGGCGCGCGTCCTGGTGTGGTCTCGCGGAAGGCTGCGGCTGTGGGAGTTGCTGAAGCACGAGCATCGCGACGCCTCTCATCGTGAAAACGATACGTGCGTAGCGTCATCTCGTAATCTGCCCCCTCCCCCCGCGCCGACCTGACCCGTTTCTTTTGTCCTTCAGATTGGAGTTGACCTCTTTGGCGGCGGCCCTAGTCGACGGCGAGTGGTGGACGTGGTGGGGCGACGGCGCCGGCAGGCTGCGTAGACTGCGGCTCGGTTCGCTACGGCCGGCCGGGGCGAGGCACGACGCTCTACTGCCCTGGCCCGACGTGCCCGCAGACGGCGGCGATCTGGAAAGTATCGTCAGTCATTGCGGCTCCATCCGCGGCGTCGCACTGGACGCGGTCGCCGGGCGCGTATACTGGACGGCGGTCGAGGAAGACGGCGCGCGCGGTTATGTCGGCAGCGCGGCTCTCGACGGCCGCCGTCGCGTCACTGTCTGGAGGAAGCGTGGCGCCGAGCCCGACGACGTCGTCGTGTCGGCCGAGACGGGCGAGCTGTTTTGGTCGGAGCGGGGCGCCGAGCCAGGCGTGTACCGTGCGTCGCTGTCGGGCGCGGACGTGACGTGGTTGGTGCGCCGGGGTGTGCGACGCGTTACCGCGCTCGCGCTCGACGCGCCTTCATCGAGACTCTACTTCGTCGATCCGTACCGGGGCACGCTCGAGAGCATCGCCCTCGACGGCTCCGATAGAGCCCTGCTCCTGCGATTCGAGCAGCATGCGTCGAGCGAACCTCGCTCGGACCGTGACCGCGGTAAGTTCACTTTCGTAATTCTTTGTGGATGTGAGACACATTTTCACACAAATTGTTCGGATCTCGGGCGCCTATTACGATGTAGGAGCAGATTTACGGTTTGATTTAATTGTAGGGTAAATTTTTATGATTAGTAATTATAGTATAGCATTCGCTCGTCAGTCGAGTGAAGTTAGAGTTCCCGCCCGCCTTTAACAGGCGGTACAAATAATACTTGCTATCGTTACAAAAAACGGACGATGGTGGCGCTCTCAGTGGAAATGTATATTACCAAATTAATATATTTAAGTATATGTAGATGGAATGGAACAAAATATTTTTTTTTTCTCTTTTATGCAGCTAGTCTTGACATTTTTTTTCTGTAGTTTACTGTGTTTTTATTTTTACAACAACGTTTTTTTTCACTTGAGGGTGGCACCTATAAATAATAATGTATCTTTATTTTTTCTATATACACCAATATACCAGTTTCAGCGGTGGTGACGGGGCGAGGTTGTGCGCGGATAGCCGTGTGGGAGGACGCGGTGTGGTGCGCGGGCGCACGTGGTCTGGCGCCCCTGCCGCGGCGACCGACGCCCGGGGCGCGCCTCGCGCTCCTCTACAGGCACCGCGAGCCCGTGTCCGCACTGGCCGTGCTCCATCCCGCGGTGCACGCGTCGCCCGCGCCCTCCGGCGACCCTTGCGCCCTACAAAGCGGCGAGCCCGCGTGCGACGAGAGCGCCGAGTGCGTTCGCGGGGTGCGCGGCTCTCCACCTGTCTGTCTCTGCCCCGATGGGCTGCAGCCCACGTCGATCGCCCCCGACGTAAGTATGCCCACGGTCCGCATGATGCGCGCCGCGGCCTCAGCGACCGGCCTGATGTGAGCCTTTCCTCCTCAGAGACACCGGCAGTGCGTGATCTCATCGAGCGCGACACGGGGCGAAGACAAGTGTTCGAAGTCGTGCGGGCCGGGCGCGTGCGTCGGGCGCGGGAAGAGCGCAAAGTGCGTTTGCCCGCCACTGTTCGCGGGCGAGCACTGCGAGCACTATCGGTGCGCGACGCACTGCAACAGGCGCGGTCGTTGCGAGCTCGCGGCCAACGCGACCGACGGGGACGAACCGCCCCCCCTCCGGTGCACCTGCTTCCCAGGCTACGAAGGTCCCCGCTGCGAGATCGAGACGGACCCCTGCGCTTCGCTCGAGTGCGTCCATGGCCAATGCGCGCGCGTGTCGCACCGCGCCGCCTACTGCGCTTGTGCGCCGCTATTCACGGGTCCGCGATGCGACCGTTGCCTCGACCTTGGCAACGAGGACTGCCTCTGCGAGGGCAAGTGCCTCCACGGGGGCCTGTGCCACGTCATCGCCGGGGACTGGATGTGCTCGTGTCCGTCCGGGTGGCGCGGTCGACGCTGCGAACTGCCCTCTACCGGCGACCGGAACGGAACGGAGCACCGCAGCGACGCCATCGCGGATGAGTCGCACAGTGAGTTGATTACCATCGTGATACCGACCGCTCCGGGCCGGTTCGACCGCGTCATCGATCTGACGTAATTATTCGTATAATTTTCCTCAAAAGAACAAGGTTTCAATGTATCTTGTAAAAATTGATTAGCTTACATCGAAGTGAGTATCATTATGCAAATCATATATTCATCGTATTTATAGTATTGAAAATAATTCAGCGTAACGGTAGAAGCCAGAAAGGTCACGTGCCACAAGTTTAAAGCGGGGACGATTTATTTACTTTTAAACACGCCGAGACTCGCGCCCGACGAGGTCACCCCGCCGCGGCCTTCACCTTCGCCGCTCGATGACTTTGAGTGTGCCTCTGGTCTACGGCCAGAATGTTTTGAACGCGAGAGTAATAAGTTAATTGTGTTTGAATAAACATTGGAGAAGCGGTCGACGCGCGCAATACGAATCGCTCATTGCGAGAAAAACCCAAAACCTTCGGTGTTGTTTGTTTCCTTAAAGTCTCGCGTGCGATAGGTTCGCTTGTAAAATTTCTTTCCGTAACAAATTAAACACTCCCGACACCTACGTCTGGGGAACCCCGAGTGCTTTTAGAAGTAAGCGGAATTCGCGCGTTCGGTAGAATAAGTACGAAACGGCGAAGGCCGCGCGGTTCTCAGTATCGCGCGAACGTCCCGCGTAGACGGACGCCACAGTGGAGAAGGACGACGTCGACGAACAGTGGGCGAATGCGCCTCTGACGACCCCGTACTCGATGGTTCGCAAAAGGCGAAGCGACGGTGAGTTTATTTGCTAAGAGACGGCCCTTGGTGGAATTGAGAATCGCAAGGCGTGTTAAATATATAGGGACAATTAAACGAGTTCGTCAAAGTAATATAAGATCAATAGTCGCATTGTTCATTACATAGACGCGGCGGCAAACACTTGTTCGAATGACCCTCGCCAAGCGCAGTTTCAATGTCGCTGCGGCTTCTAAAATGTTCTAAAATAAATATTATTTTGATAAAACGCTATGCGCTAATTGCGACCGAATTTGATTAGCACCAGGTTGCAGCAACAGTCATGAGACAATCTTAAGTTATAAATAATAAAATTTAGTTTATTGCATTTATCATACCTTTAATTGATTACTTTATTATTACAGTGCAACTTAAACTTCGACATAAGTTCTTAATATACGAATTGTAAAACAAAATAGATCATTGTAAGATTCGGAATATCAGAACCGATTAAATTGATTCTTGTCATGAATGCCTCGCTTCTACGCTAATTTTCGATGATTTGCTTCGCATAACAGCTGGTTGGAATCGAATCGATTGAACGCTTTCACTCGCGACGAATTGCAGAGACGCCGCTGTGGTGCAGCGACGCCTGTCGGCACGGCGGCCGCTGCGTCGCCGTCGAGGCCGAGGGCGGAGAGAGGGGCGCTTGCGCGTGCTACGGCGCATGGGGCGGGCCCACGTGCGCGCACTACGTGGGCCACGACCACGCGTGCCTGTCGCTCGCGTGTCCGTCGCCGGCCATCTGTGTCTGGCGGCACACGGACATCTCGTCGCCGGGGGCGCCCCGCTGCGCCTGTCCGGCCGGAGCGAGCTGCGCGCCGCGCGGTCTCGCCGGGCCGCAGAGCGAAGCGGCGGGCGCGTGGCTGGCGGGCCTGCTCGCCTTGTCGGCGATCGTCGCGGTGCTGGTGGGGGCGGCGTTCGTGATGCGCCGGAGGCGGCGCGGCGCCTTCGTGCACGCGCGGCTCGCCGAGAACGTGGAGATCAACAACCCGATGTACTTGGGCGGCGAAGACGAGCGCGCCGACCGCCACTCGCACAACAACGGGCGCAACCACTTCGCGAACCCCGTGTACGAGAGCGTCTACGAGCCGCCGAGGAATCCCGTCGACGAAGACGCCGACCTGCTCGAGCGCTCCGAGGGCTCGCCCCCGCCGGCCGAGGGCGCGGCGCTGCTCTGACACCGCGCCGTCTAACCGTTTCCCCCCTCGTTGCCGTAGCTCGGGTGCGGAAGCCTGATTGATGAAGATGAATTTATAACGAACGTTGAACGAATGATCTCTTCGACGCGAGAATTCGCGACGAACATAAGGATGTGCCATACGAGTGATGCTCTAAAGCTCCTTCGCTGAATCTCGGCAGCTTCGATTACTTTTACAATTTTATATTTTACACTGAAAAGTACAAGATCGTAAATCAATTTTATCGCTTTTTTACAAGCTTTTATTTGTAATTGTATTTATCGAACGTCAAAGGAGGTGTTTTGTAATTATAAGCGTAAGTGTCATTTATCACTATGAACCGAAGCTCTGTTACCGCGAGGATGGCGAGTGGTCGACTTATTTCGATGATTCTGATAGGAGTCCACAAATACTTCTTCCAAATTCTGCGAAAGTAATCGCCGCTTCGTTACGTACGACATTTGCCAAAATAAGAAATACATTTTCCCTTTAATTTAGAGAGACTTGGAATATGTAAACGTAGCGATGACGAAAGTCGGCCCTCGCTCTGTATGGTAACTGGAAATCTTCATTCAAGGCTTTTGAGTTTGCGAAGTCTACTTTTACTCGGTAACCTTTTCGACATAGTTCTTGTAACAGTTCATATGGAACGATTGTCTTAAAACAAATTTCGACTCGATTAGTGACGTTAGACCTAAGTAGTTGTAAGAGGCGCCCCCGGTGGCGAGCAAACTATTTGTATGTTAGTTATAAATTATAGTTAATAAATAATTACAATTTAATATTCTCTTTTATTAATAAACTATTTTATATGAATATCGAATCGAATCAATACCCTTAATCCAAATATAAAAAATAAGAAAGGTGTCTTGTGAAGCTGAGAATTTAATTTCTTTCATCTTCTTTGCTTAGTTTAATAGAAGTCGTCGTCGGCGTGGCTCGGCCGTTTCATGGTATTTTTGACCTGGTCCTGCGCTAGATACAGGTCGGCGATCTGGCGCGAGCTGGTGGCTTGCTCGGGAGTCTTGTCGTCGCGCACGCGCACGAATCGCGGGAATCGCAGCGAGATGCCCTTCTCGCGGTCCACCAGCCCCAGGGCAGCGTGATGCGCCGGAGACAAAGACAGGTCGGCGCAGCGCACCTCCCACACGCTCGCCGCCGCGAACCAGACGTCCGGCGCGAGGCTGCTCTCGTACCTGCGAGGGCGAGACGTCGTCGTTAGAACATCGGCCAAGCGAGACGAGGCAAGGCCGTTAAGATTGGACCCACCTGTAGTAGTTCCTCGGCGCGTCGATGGCGTGGCTCTGCAGCGTGGCGCTGAGCGTGCGCAGGTCCTCGTCCGAGAACCCAGTGCCGATCTTGCACAGCGACTGGTAGGCGTCCGTCTCGGGGTCGTAGCAGGCGAGCAGGAATCCGCCGTAGAGGCCGACGCGCTTGCCTCGCCCGTGGAAGCCGCCGATGACGACCGCGTCGATACTGTCGCCGCAACCTTCCAGGTAGTCCTTCTTCAGCTGCCGAAGGTCGGAGACGTGAATACCCCTATACATGTGTATATATACACCCCCAAAACGAGCTACCGCCGTACCTTGAGCCAATTGTGCGAGCGCCTGGCGATGTCGTAGCGCGCCCGCTCCCCCTCGAGCGCCTTGACCATGAGGCCCTCACAAGAGCCACGCAACGCCTCGCTCAGCTCTAGCTCAACCTCCTCGGTGCTGCTGCAGTCGCGCCCGCGAGCGAACTGCCACTCACCTGTGCAGTATCGAACAGTTTTAAACCGCCCAAGCTATAAACTTATGCCATTTGACAATCTGCAAAGCTAAACAATTTGTTACCTTCGACTTCGTTGAAGTGGTCTCTGAGCAGCGCCCGCCTCGCGTCGAGCGGTCGGCGAACGAGCGGTTCGCCGTTCAGGTAGAGTAAGTCGAAGACGAACACGCACACCTGCACTTTGATCTCCGACTCGCGCGCATCCTTGCGCTTACGGGTCGATAAAATCTAGAAAGTATAATTATTAATTATAACAAGTGATTGCCACATAAATACAAAAAAGAAAACAGAAAATCTTAACGCAATCATAAGAGAAATAAATCACCTGGAAGGGTAAGATCTGTCCGCTCTGCTTGTCATAGGCCACCGCTTCGCAGTCCAGCACGCAACTGTGCACGGATGCTTTGAGCAGCTTCGGCAGCCGGCCGATCACGTCTGGATATTTACTGCAATGTGCGGTTTCTTTGTGATTCAAGTTTTCTACAACCAAATCGCTTTTCATGAGTTTAAACCAAACCTGGTGTTGTTTTCCTGATTTCTACTGAAGATCGAGGCCCGGCCGACGTCCGGCGCCCCGTTGCCCGGCACGTGGATCTGAGCGCGTTCGCCGTCGTATTTCCATTCGCAGGTGAAGTTTTCGCCGTCGAAGCGCGCGAAGAGGTCGGCGACACCGCGCGAGGGGTGCGCCAGCATCGGCTTGAGAGGCACGCCGGGGGAGAGGCGACAGTGTTCCGGCAAGCGTTCGACCCCGTACTGCAGCACCACGGGCACCAGCGCGTCGTAGTTGGGACACTCGCAGTACGTCGTCTTAATGGTGAGCGCGAATTCCTCTACCCGGGCCTTGTATTTTTCCGGACTCATCTCGGCGGACACGTCCACGGCACCGGCCGAGGGGCCGGCTGGGGGCGACGCTGCACACGCACACGCCAGCGCCTGTAACACGGACTGTTCTGCTAGACCTATACGCAGCTTACCCTCGAGCGACCTGTTACGAAGCAATGAAATTACTTTTGAATGATTCCTTTTTATATTTCAATTTCTTTTCAACGGTGAGCACAGATTGATCGGTTGTCGTGTACCTGATCAAGTAGCGCGCCTCCGAATGCCTACAAGCGACGTACAGGGACTGAATCTTGCCTATCTTCTTGTTGACCGACGCATGACCTGCAAAGCGCAACGCGAATGAGCCAAGACCGTATCGAATTCGACTCAATTATTAATCACTCCCAGATGGATGAACAGTCACCGGTGGCTTGCGCGACCTCCTTGAGCGCGGCGAAGACTTTTCTCAACGTGAGGGGCGCCGGTGTGAACATGGTCCGCTGGGTGGCGCGGGCCTGCTCCGCCACGAGACCTAGGTCTCCCGTGGCCTTCGCTGCGCTTTTCATCTGCGCCAGAGTGCGGCCCGTGCACTGCCCGACCGCTTTCATTATATACGTCTCGGCCATGCCTAAAAATATGGTCACATTTGATCCTATTGCCGACCATATTACAAAGGTTTTAAACTTAGAAACTTAAGATACCAAATGTGAAAAGGCTTGAAAAACCTCACCGAGTTCCAAACTATGATAAGCCGGTGCCAACTGATTCAAGCACAAGTATATGCTGGGCAGCAAATCCTCAGGGGTGAGCAAGATCACAGATCTCAGGTAGTTGCTTAGGATTTCTATCATCTTCAATCTCGCAGATGTGGCCTCGATTTCTTCCAAGGTCGTAGCCAAAGCTAGATATGGTACTTCTTGTCCCTTGGACCAACATGCGTCATTAATAGGGTGGTATTTTATCTTTGCTGGATTATAGTTTTCCTCTGAAATAGTTTTAGAAATATAGTTGGCTTCTAAGAAGATAAAGACAAAATTTGGCAAACATTTTACTCTACGGGAGTGCAAAATTGTACTAAGTTTGTTAAGAATAAAAAGTTACCCTCTATGTGCTGGACATTGTTTTTATTACTTTGTTTGTTGTTACTCTTCTTTTCAATTGAAGGAGTGTGTTTTCCTTCCCTAATAGAAGACTGTTCATACTTATTTCCTGTTGGATTTGCTTCCTCCTTTTTTATGACTGGAGTAATTTGTAATTTAATTGTTTCCACATTATTGTTTGGACTTTTTGTGGAAGATGTTTCTATCTTTATATCCACATATTCAGAATTATTAACTTGCTCATCTGCTTTTTTCTCTTGATTTGAGTCAGAATCAGCGTCAAAACTGACGATACGCCTGCGCTTTAATGTTTTCTTAAAAAATGTAGTAGAGTTATTATATTATAAGATAGAAATTATATTTACTAAATTTCTTAAGTAATTTAAAAATAAGATATTCATAAATTAGTAGTTTGTGTTCCCCATTTAAAGAGCAGAAATAAAAACTTGGAAAAAAAGATTGCAAATCATCAATAAAAAGTACTATACTTTTTCTCAGTCGCAAGAGTTTTCGATCAAGTATTGCTCTGATGACAGTTTAACATAAGGACAAAATAATAAACTTCCAACCAATATTACCTTTGGGGTTGATACTGGAGAGGATCTCTTATCATGTGTATCTGACTCACTGCTATCCGATCTTTCTCTTTTAGTTGTCTGAAATAAAAAAAACTGTTATTGACCCAATTTAAATTAGAGAAGTCAAGACCACTAGTATTAATCACCTTAGCGCTTCTGTTTTTTTTATTACTCACAGGTGTTGCTTTCTCATTATTGAACGAGTCACTCTGAAAAAGTTATTGCACTAATAACATCTCACCTAAAACAACTGATACATCTTATAATAAAGCGATATTTGTTGTTTTCTCATTATCTCTCGTCATTTATTACAAAAAGAAATTAACATGAAAATGTTATTTAGGAAAGTACTTACATTTTCTCGTTTGCATTCCGTCTTCTTAGGCGTTGCAGTAAAAAACGATTTTATACTTGTTTGAGACATGCTTCCTATATAAAACCCTATTGGTTTAGGAACATGATGAAGATAATTGGCGTTTTTAAAGGAATTAGAAACGATGCTGCTTAGAAACCTTACCAATCTTACACTCGTAAATGAATAAGAATACATACGTACTAATTCATCTGATTTTTAAGTCACTTATTTATAATAGTTTAAAACATACATAGAACAATGGAAATGTGTAATAATAAGTATTAATCGTAGCGTGTTTAGGACGAGTTTTAGAAAACTTCTCATGAAAGGCGCCAAATAGCAAAACATCAATGCCTTGTCAATTGTCAACTTGTATATGCTGTCAGTGTTATGTTTACGCTACTTCCAATGGTTTTTGTAAATACGTTTATAATAAATACAAATTATCTCGCATTTATTCGAAATGGATTGCCATTTAATCATAAATATATATATGTATAGATATAAAGTAATGTACATTAAAGTGACACATAACAATACAATAGTGATTTTTGACATTTATACCTAATGATTCTATTGCCCGTCCTTTTGAGTATTAATAAATTAAAAAGTAAGTACTACAACAACACATCATATTATAAAATATACCGTTTTACCTTATTTTTTTATTAATAATACAGCTTAATATGTTAATTAGAAATTTTGATACTCAATAAAGAACATTTATGTAAAATTTTTAAATATAGGACATTATAAGAATAGATTTGACCCCACCTAGAACTTATTTCGCCGCAATGGCGCCCTCTAGTTTTTGAACTGTCAACTATACGCGTGTCGTCCATGTTCCGAATGTGGTGTGACTTATTTTTGTTTTGCATTAATTTTCGTGTTATTATTGCCAATGTGAAATGGTACAAAATGTGTTATCCTATATAGTGGACGCTAGGTCCGGCTGAATGGATCCGTACGTCGGGTGGTATCAGCCTGAGCAGGAAGGACCCGCGAAGCGATTGTGGCTTCGTATTTGGGAAACTCAAAGTGAAACTGACAAAATGAACCTCAAAAACTTAGAAAATGCTAATCCCAACGTGAATAAAAGTCAAGACCTAGTGCAAATAAATGAAGTGAACGGTGAAATTAGAAATAATAATTATTTCAATCCGACGCGGAGGAAAGCGAACGACAACCGCGCATCTACGTTTAACCTGAATCAGAACCACGATGCTCTCATAGGCGAATACGGTGGATGTCCTTGGCGGATACCCAACTACACCTACAAACCCGGGATACTTGGGTGAGTGGCCATGCGTTAAGGTTTCCTGCGAGATTTCCTCGTAGGGCTTCGCCCGAATAAAGCGGCTGCGGCGTGTTTACGTGCTCTTGACGGCTCACATCGTGCAACAGATCGTGGTAAAGTATTTATGGGAAAATCGACTGTCAGGCATTCGCAAGAACTGTGACCTAGACCAAATTAATAGTAAATCTAAATTTGGGGCAACATAGCCTATTTCCTGTTCTATATATTGTGGTGACAATTCGTCCTTATGTTTTCTTATTGGAACTAAAAAGTTAATGAAAAGGAACCTTTTTTGAATTTATAGGAAAATTAATTAATAAAATTCAATTCAATTTAAATTATTTGTCATTAAGTAGCATTATTAATTGATTTGATAACAGTTGCGGTATCTATTAGTTTTTTTATCACTGCCTTACATAATTAAATATTTTGTTAATTTTTTTAGGTTTTTAACTTACATTAACCCACAAACAAACTACAAATTGAACAAACTTGAAACATATGGTTCCAAAAAATTAATATTTATCGACTGGCATTAAGCAACTCTCAATATCCCTTTTCCTGTTTTAGTATGTAATGTATTGTATTTTTTGCTAATGACATCTTTTAATTTTCAGAATTTTTTGATTATCGGATGATGATGGACATTTGTGACACAAATATACTCAACATATAAGTTAATACTATCTACAATTAGTTAATGGTTGGTCTTTTCTTTTTGACTTGGTGGAATCAAATCTTTACCGATGGGCCACGATAGTTTGACTCCAAAGCAATGAGCGTCAGTTACTTATAATAAAGAATATGCAACCAATAATAAAAGAAGGAATTTTATTAATTTAACTTTATGTATATATAAATATATTTTTTTAATTCTTTTTATGAAAGTCCACCTTGAAAAGCTTAAAACTGGTTGAAAGCTAAATTGGTGGATTTCATAATATTACTGGTTTGTTTACTATTCTGTGTTCCTTTCTCCAATGAGAATCAAAACTAAAAATCTATTTAGATTGAAACAATTTTACATCACTGCCGGGACGCGAACCGGCATCCACAGCGGCCCGTGCTGCTGCTCTAACCAATTGAGCTATCGTGAAAAGTGAATATGTTAGCAGTTGTAAAAGGCTATAGAAGGTCAGCTGAGCTTACAGTGAGCACGTGTGAATGTGACTCGATGATCGATGTCGCCCGGCAATTGGGTGAAAGGTGCGCGCGCGCAAAGGTCGTTCACTCGCGAGCCTTCGCAACCCGAACCCGATATAGAACGATCGCCGATCGGTTGCCAAGGCGCCTCTCCCGATTTCTTTCATGACGAATCGAGGCTCTGCCGTCAACCTCGATTCCTATTTGTCTGATGAACGGTATCATGCGATTACATTGAGTTTAGTAACGTTCATACAGGTGATGCGTATGAGTCGTGTCTCATCAGAAGGTTGCCCGATCATAGCGAGGAGCGGGAGGATGGTTTCGAAATGACACGTCAGACAAATGTTCAGTGTTATATTATGATGTGTCAGTCGGCGTCCCTGTCCATCTACGGCTATGTAACTCAGTAAAAGGAAAATGGTCGCCTGACGCTATGTGCCGAGCACAAGTTACGTGCTGGTGGTTTGTTTTTTTTTTCGAAAATACTCTTTAAATAAAGGAACAATCAAAACGTTGTTCCGATTACATGTCAAGCCCGATTACATCCTTATATAGTGAGTTACGCAACGATGACGCCTGCGCAAGTCTCACGTGTAATATTGATATTTTAGAGCGACCAAGGAACAATTTTGTTGGAAGCGCTTAGTGTCAGTAAAAATATTCTGACAACAATAAAACATAACAACTTACATATTTTCATTCAACATAAAAAAAGAACAATTTTTACTTAAGAAAGTTTACGTTTTAGAAAAATCTACTTTCATCTATAATTGCTACGGTTCTTTCGCGGTCACCATAACTGGAAGCATCATTGCACATCCCTCTTGAACTGATGCGGTAGGCTTTCGATCCACATGTTGAAAAGTTCACAGCGCTGGTTTTCAAAGTCAACAGAACTAAGTTGTAATTAGTAGAGTCATGGCTTAAATCCTATATTACCTATGAGAACTCTCAAACATGAAAATTAATGAAGGTTAAAAATGTCTGTTATGATATTCGATAACTGATGAATTCATGTTCTAGGCTGCACGAGGAGATCGAGCACTTCTACCTGTATATGTCCCCGACGGAGACGGAGCACCTGGTGCGTTCGACGGTGGTGATGCGCATCCGCAGCGCAATCCTGTCGCTGTGGCCTCAGGCGCGCGTCGAGATCTTCGGCTCCTTCCGCACGGGCCTCTACCTGCCCACCAGCGACATCGACCTCGTCGTCATAGGTGAGCCGAGAGCGAGACGAATTGTGTTTACTCAGCGCGCGTAGAGAAGTGGTTCGTGACCGATAACGCGATTCATTACAGGTCAGTGGGAGAAGCTCCCGCTTTGGACGCTCGAGCGAGAGCTCGTGAATCAAGACATCGCGGAAAAGGAGAGCATTAAGGTGCTCGAAAAAGCCACCGTGCCCATCGTCAAGATGACCGACAAGTACTCCGACGTCAAGGTCAATCTAATACCTCCTCTTTAAGTGCGCCGGTGAGATTTGACCGCCTTTTTAACTCTTCGTTCGTTCTCTCTTCAGGTGGACATCTCGTTCAACATGAGCAGCGGAGTCAAAAGTGCCGAACTCATCAAACAGTTTAAGGTGAGTTTTCGTCGAGGTCGCTATTCCGGCGTCGACCGCAACGCACTGAATAGCATCTGTTTATGATTTTCCAGGAGAAGTACCCGGTGCTGTCTCGGCTCGTGATGGTGCTCAAGCAGTTCCTGCTGCAGCGCGACCTGAACGAGGTGTTTACGGGGGGCATCTCGTCGTACTCGCTGATCCTCATGTGTATAAGCTTCCTGCAACTGCATCCGCGCCCCGAGCGACTGCGCCAAACGCACAACCTTGGCGTTCTTCTCATCGAGTTTTTCGAGCTGTACGGCCGCAAGTTCAACTACGTCAAGACCGCGATACGGGTCAAAAACGGAGGCTCATACGTGTCCAAGGACGACATGCAAAAGGTACGAGAAGAACGCGAAAGACGAGTAGGAAGGGAACGAATCGGGCGTATAATCGGGTTTCGTCACGTTTCAGGAGATGAACGACGGGCACCGACCGTCGCTGCTCTGCATAGAGGATCCGCTCACGCCCGGAAACGACATCGGCCGCTCGAGCTATGGAGCCATACAAGTCAAACAGGTTCGTCTCTTTCCGTCTGTTCGTCCGAGCTTCCGCCGTGCGGTCTACGCTAACCGCTGACGACTTTCATTGCAGGCCTTCGACTACGGGTACATAATCCTGCAGCAAGCCGTGTCGGGGTCGAGCGCCCTGCTCGCGCGACACAGCGTGCTCGGGCGCGTAGTGCGCGTCACGGACCACGTGCTGCAGTACCGGCGCTGGGTGCGCGACACGTTCGAACCTTTCTTCTTCCCGCACCGCGTGTCTCCGCCGGCGCCCGCGCCGGTCCCGCTGCCCGCGCCGCCGCAGCGCGAGCTTAGCGACAGCGAGCCCGAGTGGTCGGACGGGTCGGGAGAGACGGCGAGCGGGCCCGGAGCGGAGCGTCGCACTTCGCCCCCGCCTCTTTCGGCGCTGCAGTGCTCCTCGCCGACGCCGCGTCGAGTGTCCGCCCACCAGAGCCTCATCATCCATCACATCACCAGCAACTCCGACTTCAACAACATACCCTCCGGTCAGTGTTGGTCGCCGTTTCGTTATCACGTTACTGTCGTACGCCTGTCGCCCTATTGACGATCTCGTGCCGTTCCAGGTGTCATGCAGCAGCGCTACAACGGCGCCAACAACAACAACGGTGGCGCGAACTGTAACGCACCCTCGAACAACAATAGCAGCGCCCCGAGCGGCGGCGAGCAGAAGCCGCGCACGAGCCGCTCGTTCTCGTCCAAGCAGCGGCGCTACGCGTCCCCGCCGAGGTACCGCGCCGAGCCGCGGGGCAGCAAGAAGCGGCGCCAGTTCGCGCAGCCGCGATGATATCCGGCGGGGCACGGGCGACAGATTTGGCGGCGAGCGCGCGGATCCTGACTGGCCCCGCGGGGTCGACCTTTCCATTCGACTCTAATTTATTTCGCGCGGCGGGGGGTCACGAATTGCCCCAATATATCGATTAAATTATTTACTTTATAAAACTGAGGAAATGTACAAAAAGAAATGCTTCTTTGCTGTTCCGCCCGCGCCGGGCCTTTCGATTTAGGAGACTCGTATTCGTCGAATACCTAAAACACCAAAAAAGCAATACACGCCTACTTTAAGAGATATGTAGTCGTCCGGTCGTCTGCGAGTGAGTCTATGACGAAAGGATAGATATGTCATATTAAGGTTATTGAGAAAATGTGATAAATACGGAGGAGTCGCACGAGAGCTGAGCGTTTCATACAAAATTTATGAAAGTAATCAAGCCAAACCCACTCGTTGAGTTATGCAAAGTGATGGAAGAGATTTCGTTAGTGATTTGATTTGATGTTTTATAAATAAAAAATACGTAATGTAAACGTCAATCGGTCGACAGTCAATTTGAGTCGGCAGTGAGACGGATGTATCATATCAGTTGTAGCTCTGTTAAGATGTGTGTGTACTTTTACAAAAGCGATTCTAGGCCAGGCCTTATTTCGAGCGATAACAGACTTTTTTTAACTGAAGTTTACTCTATGTAATTTTTAAAAAAATATGTACATTACTTAAGAGGGTCAGGTATGTGGAAATTATATGACTTTGACAGTGGCGGAAGCTAACAAACGGTGACAGCGGTCGTAAGGGACCCGTGTCCTCAGCTTCATCGGCTCCGTCGTGTATTTCGACGGATTTAGTTATTTATAGTTAACATTCCTTTCGAAAAGAAACAAAGATGCTATGTGAACAATTTGAAAGCAGCTATCCGGTATGAAATTGTATGATATTGTTTATTTTGACCTACGTACGCGAGGCGTATCCGAGTTTCTTTTAAAGCGCCCAGCGGCCAAAAGAAGGACTCGACGAGACGAGCGCTTTTGCTAAAATGTACAATAAAACCACTTTTAGCCTAGTACTAGTAGAATACTTGTTTTAATGTACCGATTGGAATATTCGAATGTATTATGAACGTTTCAGGACAAAATAAATGATCTCAGTACGATTTTCAATGAAAAAAAATAAAAAAACAAAAAATAAAATGGTTACTTAACATAACGAGTGCAAAAAACTGTACGAATTAGTGTTAGGCGCGATTCGCGTCACAGAAATGGGACAAAAAATGAATGAACGCGCCGCGACGACCTTCCAGTGTTTTCAAATATATATTTTTATAAAACACCTCTTCGGCTTCTCGTAATTAAACTAGTCACTATGGTTCATTTATTCTTTCAGCTTTTGTGACGCGAAGAGATTAGTCGTATGTTATTCTGTTGGATGTCGTATGTATTGAGTTGTAAATAGATACGGAGACAACTGTATATAAGCTTGTATATACTGTGTAAATACACTCGAGATATACAGATATTTAATATTATTATAAAGTTTGAAAAAAAAACGTTTTAATTAAAATAATATAGAAAAATACAAAAAAATTAAATTAAATAAAGACATACAGTGAGTATGAAGTGGAAAACCACCATTGTCTTTTATTTCGTTTATCCTTGACAAACTGATTCTTAACTCATCAAATTATTAACTTTTTCGTTTTACAAATGTCAATCATTAATCGATAGCATTGGACTCGCACTTCGAGCGATTAAACAATCGTCGGCCGTATCGGTAGCGTTCGCGTGCGAGGGTAGACGGCGCATGCGCGTCCGGCGTAAACACGCCGTAAATACGAGCGAGCGGCAGTCGCGATCGGTCCGCTCGGCGCGAACCACGCCCGCTTGTGCGAACGCGCGCAAAATAATCCGCATCGCCAGCGCACGTGTGCCATGTGAAATATTTCTCTTTGCCTCCTCGACTTATAAGTGAACGACCATTGGAGAGGTTCGGAAGGTGAGTTCGTAGCGGTACGTCGCCGATGTCGTCGCGTGGGATTGGGCGTGAACTCAAAATTCCTTTTCATATTAGTTATATATCGTAAATAAAACTCCATTCCCACATTCACGATGATATCACACGCGAGGCCAGCGTCAGAAGACAGCCGGCACTCGAACCGAAACGATACCATACCATAGTTTGTATGGTACTACATTTATCCAAACGATAGAGGTGAGACATAAAACCATATAAATTGTTGGTTGAGCCTTTATAAGTGAAACCCGATAATTACAGTTTCAATTAATGTGTGCATTGTTTAATATATTTGCCTCAACCTTGCGGGTTAAGCCGCAACGTAAACTTAACAGACAGAGAAAACGCTACAGTGCTTTAACGGTATAAAGCAATTACGTCTGCTAAGTTCCAATTGCGTTCCCGATGGTGTCGTGCGTAACCTACTTATTCAGCGTGGGGTGAGACGTCTCAACATTGACGCGTGCTAGTCGGAAGCTCCTTCGACTGCCTTCGTGTTGGGTCAGAGCAAACTCGTGCTTCGAAATGTGTTTGAACCGTGGCTTCGGAACTAACAATACGACTTGCATTCGGATGTTGAAATATTTCGCCATCGCGGCTTGTTATTTACTGTCGGCGCCGTTCTTACGTAGACGCCACACATACTGTACATTCATAAAACGACAATCTACCCTGAAGGGGCTGAAGGAACACGCTTTCCAATTTACCCGTTTTTTATTTCATTTTCGGCGTTTTGATGAATACAATAGGGCATTTTGACCAATTAGTACAATTCGCGTTTGTAGCTTTAACTATGATAAATAAATTAAATAAAGAAATTTCTAATACCTACGAGTTAATTACATATGTTTTACGGTAAATGTTAGTTTCTTGAAAGGACTAATACTTAAGTACTAATATATAACTGTTTATTACACCTTTAAAAGCATAAACTAAGTGTCGCATTTTTATTGAAATACTAGCTGTGACAGCGACTTCGTCCGCAAGGATCGTTATTTTGGGCATCCAAATTTAAACTTAGCTGTTACCCACGACGTAGGTTCCCGTCGTTCTTGTAAGTTAATCTTAAAAGATAGACATGTAGCGTCGCGGACTTATTTTGTAGATCATTTAAAGAGGAATCATCGTACACGTTATTGGGAATCTTGAACCATTTTTGCAGCGTACGCCTTGGAAACTCATAATAATGAATAATCATTTTCCCAATTTTCTTCACATATCTCGCTGTATCTTCGCTTGTATTAGTCACAGCGCGATAGCCTTTAGCTTCCTCAATAAATGCTCTAACCAACACGTAAACATTTTTTAAATTTGAATCCGTATTTTCTAAGATTAGCGCGTTCAAACAAACAAACTCTTCAGCTTTATATATTAGTATAGATTCCTTAATAGGTTACTTCAGTCACAATAGATTTGACTGCATACGAGATGTGGGACCGAAGCCGCTCCGAAGGACGTCGCGTGAATTAGTTCTAATCACAAGAAGTGCAAAGGTCGACTCCATGCCCCATCGATGCTACACCATCGAAGTGGCGAAGGCCACGACACAATGCTAATTCGCTGACTTATATGCCACTTTCAGTTACATTCGTAATATGAAATGTAAAATAAACAACGTGTGGCGGTAACTTCCGCTTGTAACAAATTACTATTTTTAATTCGACTCGACTCGTTTCGGAGTGGATCGTCTTCGGCGCATTTACACAATCCGGGTAACCCTTGGGAGCATCCGAGCCTCCGACCCGATTACATAACGCCGCGGAGGTCCTTTCATTACGGGACGGTTCTATCATTCGATAGAGTGGCTAATAAGGTTATCTATCTACAAAAGTTGAAAACTGACCGTATATTTTGGTTTTATGATATATGAATTGCAAAAAACGCCCACGAGTCAGGCCCGCGTTGGAAAATATGTAAGAGATAATAATGAGTATCAATCTCCGTTGTCATATGTGACTAATCATAGAAAATCGAAGCTAATCAAATCAAAAACCAAACCAAATTCAGGTGTAAGTAGTATGCTCATGAACGTCAATGCGTACCTACAAGTACTCACAAATTATTACGTGTCTCGTATAGATGGAAACTGCATTTGTTTTATAATTATCTACGTATTCATGAATATTAACAAGCTGGTTGGTGTAATGGTAACAACATATGGCCGTGGGTTCGATCCCCTTCGGGTCCATTGTCCTAATCGATTTCTTTTTAAACATGCTGACTTCGTCTGGAAATCTGGACATAAACTTATTGATCAGAATATCGTAATTACGGTCAGGGTCACGAATCTCTGTCGCTAGGTGAAAAAGCGTACACTTTATTGTAATCGCATTTCGGTTTGATTCTGTGAAAGTCCACATGGGAATCTCCACATGACGCCACATCTTTGTTTATGGGGGGTCCCAACTGGAGTTGACAGTCGAGGATTATTCCCAAATCTTTTATTTTTATACTATCATTTTATTGCACAAATCAACTTTGTTCGTTTTATTAAGCAGGAGATTATCTGAATGACGGACATTTTGACGTTTCATATTAATATAATATAGAGTATAGACCCCTGTCGAGGAAGAGAGAGGATAAGAAGGCTTCGGATATAAAGAAGCGAATACAAATTAGAGTCGAAAGTCCCTCTTCATCGCACCGCTGTACACGACAGACTGGTTAATCAGAAACGACAAGTTCGTTTTGCCCAATTAAAATTTCAATAACGAGAGATTACGGCCCGCGGACAACTTCATTGTGTTTTACGATCGATATAGAATACTAATAATCAGTTGGGGCTGCCGCTTTCCGATATATACGTTAGCATTTAGTAGAACTGTTCGTTTCATTATAACGTTGTCTATGAAATGGCTTTTGTGACGATAACGTAGTTGTCGGTCGCCTATTGTTATTATATCATTTAGTAAACCTTGTTTAACACTGAGCGATGGACTTAAGTTAATTCGAGTGAAGCCCAACCCAATAACAGTGACATCTATATACCTAGTAGGTACCGATTGCAACGAAAAGCGGCCCTAATTGTATCAACGTCGTCGCTAAATCTTCTTCGAATGATACATTAGGGTCAGGTATTGTTATTGATTACGGAATACCAACATCCTTCCGGCAAAACCTGCCTTCGTTACTTTCAGAGAAACTTTTACTTACAAATTATATTTTTTTACACTTAGTTATGTGTTTGCGAAACGCGCGCTGTATTTTCTGTCGTTTAGATAAAGACAATTTCTAGCAAAAAATTCAGTCGGTCGCCTCACCAAGTTACACTAGTTAGTCTTTTGGGAGCAATTCAAGAAACTGATTTTGATAAAGTCGTCGCTCTAACGATAGCGACGTGTTGGATTTCGTCTGTCGTATATGACAATCTTTCCAAACGTTTTCGTGCATTTCCGAATACCCAAGCCAAGGTCGACATTGGTTCGAAAATTGGAATAGGGCATCAAATGGTACGAATTCCTTAAAATTGTACAATTACCTCTGTTCCGTGGGCTGGTATAATACACTAAGCCCTAATGACGTTGACGATGTTGGTCTGCTGTATGTAAAACTGAAACATGTCGGTTGAAGGGACGTTTTAATAATTACGGATACTCGCATTCCAACACTAAGAGTTCGGTAAATATCCCAAAACATACCACTAGTTCACCCAATTATTTATGTTATCAATTGGTACTATTCAATCAAAACGGCCTTCGTACCCGCCGCAAAAACTCCGTTTCCGAAGACGGTATGTTTTTCTTTTGCTTCTGTTATAGTTTTAAATATGCGGTTTCGAAGTGAAGGAACTCTTCAGCTCCACCGGATCGTAAACTTGAAAGCGGTCACCATATCTGCATTATAGCATATCTAAATAAATATATTTAAATGTGTATATATATAACATTTTATTATTTCTACATACATCTATATATTTACCATACTTTGCCGAGGCGGGACCCTTTTTGCAACCTGAAACGCACTGAAATAATCAAATCTAATGTATAAGTATTTATTTTTTACGTTATTGGGGGTTAATAGATACTAGAGGTAATGATATATAAGAACAAACTCAAAGGGTGGGAAAAGGCGTTGGTATACTTAGCTTATGATTAAAGTATAAAAATGTTTATGATATTCTGTTGATACGTATCTACTATACTTTTATGTCAAATTCTAGAAAGGAAGCTTTCCAACTTTCCTATTTTAATGCTATTTTTTAAGTTCATAACGGGAAAAGTGTTATATTATTTGCAACCGGAACGACGTCCCCTGGCCCAAAGCGCGCACTGAAAGGACCCATTGTTCCCGAACGATTTGTCAGCCATAATTACCTGCCCACCTGTCTCTGCCTCGCCGTCCCTTGTACACATTGTATCCGTAAACAATAGAAGCTTTAACACACAACGTAATATCTAATTCTCTTCACCGCTTCTCTCGAATTAAAACCATTAAAAAACAACCATTTTTATTCTTAATAAAAATACGAGGCTCCAACAACTAACGATGGCGTTAACAAAAAATTAAAAAAAACATCTTTAGGTAAAATGTTACTCGCTAATTGTTACTTAACTAACCATCTCATTAATACATTAATGAACGCTAAATACTGGACATACTAAGAACGGCGCGACACTGCCGAGAATATCACTTATATTAGTTTGGTATTCGCAAGGAAACTCCTAGTTAGGAGGATAATGTAAAATATAAATTTATTTAAAGTATTACTCATAAAGAACCACGGTAGACGGTTTAGAAAGATGTTTATTGAGAAGATATGTTAAAGGATGATAAGTAAGTACACAAAGGATTTAATTCAGTTTTAAGGCAAAGAAGAGCTTGAGAGGTGAAGAGTCGATTTGTAGCCAATCTGCTACCGCAAGGCACTGACACGGTCAAACTTACTGAAGCCAAAAGAAAAATGGCCACAGAAATTTTAAGAGCGGTCAAGATTGTCTAGTCGTGCTTCGTTTGGTCTATCGTGCGTTTGGTACTAAATGGCTGAGACGTCTGAGAACACGTTCGTCTGATTAGTTTAGTGTGATGAGCCCAGTAGGTGAAATTTGAGGGAACACTTTAGACAGGAGGCCCAGCTTTTTGAATGCAATTTAGCGTTCTGCGTAATTCGTTGGATATTACTGCTTATTTCATTTACTAATATTTGTCTAATGTCTCGTTTTGTTTGTGGACATTAGAGGGGTCAAGGCGCATTCGATTACAGCTTGTGATAAGACGATTAGTACTCAGATTGGCCTATGGACGCGAAATGTTTTACACATTGTCGTGTTATTCTCAGAGGCGACCGGTTTTCAAGGTTAAACTACAAAGACTATATCGTCCTGCAGATCCTTGAAATCGTCTACGTTTTATACTTTAAACTTATCCATAGACCTATTTATCAATACTCATATTAGTTTTTTTGGTGGTTGGACATTACATCGAGAAAGGTTTAAACCTGGCATTACGCTGCGACCAATAGGAGCAGTGAGTAATGTGGAAAAACGGGGGAAACTTCATCTTTGTGGATTCCGTTGCGTGCGCTGCGTTTAAGAAGGCAAAACATGTATGAATTGATCATTCTTCTCTTCAGATTGAACGGACGAACACGGACTACGTCGTGGGTAATGGCTAATTAATGTATTGCGAACCCCGATGAACGAGAACCTGTAGCTATTTTAGTCGCCTGTAAAATATGTTGAAGCTTTATAACTCCGATCGATTCGTAGTATTCGTGCTCATTGTGCGCTGAGCGCGACGCATCTGTAAATAATAATCCGACCTTAATAATTGTCCTCAAGACGACCACTACCGAATGTAACGAACGCCGACACTCGACAGTCGCTTACCGGACGCGAGACGCGACCGACACGTTTTCGTAGCTAGCAGGATGTTGGTTCGAGTCGCAGTGCTCGCCTTCGCTCTGTGCGTTGCGCAGGCGCGACACGTCCTCGATCACGGCGGGTATGTGGGACCAGGAAATTCCGAGCTGCCAAACGTTTCATTGAAAACCAACGAACATAGCGGTGCTCGACAGGACGGAGGTGGCGATCACGGAAGACGTAGAGATGCCAGTCTAGCCACTCTAGATAACGGCCGAGGATTCGGACGGAACTCTACACGAACGAATCCGGATTCAGACGCACAGTCGACGACGTCGGATAAAGGTAGCCAAGTTAACCTGAGATCTATTAAAACGAATTTCGTCGACGGAGCGGCCGAAAGAAACAGACATTTGACAGTTCATGGAAAACACGGACAGAGAGAAAATGAAAAAGTAGATCGTCCCGATGCCCCATCGGACGGGCTCAAATTGGAACGCGACAATAGGATTAACACACAGGACTATGTTAATGAATACGAAGCGCACACGCAGAAAACTGTTTCCTTGAAGTCGAACGAACGGACGAACTCGTATAACGAAAAGGATGGGACACCGACGATCAATATTAGTGCTTATCAACCGAATCCGCAAGCTAGGAATATAAATAAAGCGGTGGAGACCGTCACACCTGTTGTACTAACCGGGACCAAACTGTACACGAACGGCCCCGCGCAGACGGATCATCGGTGGATCTGGAGTTCGGAAACGACGACACCCCTCGGGGACCTCGAAGACCGCGCGGCGTTTTCAGGCGAAGGCTGCCCGACGGGCAAAGCGAAAGTTGCCGGCTCAGACCTCTGTGTCACTATTCATAGGTAATGCGTTGGGCCTGTGGAAAATTAGGAAGAGCCGCGAAGCTTAAGAAATGTATATCGAGGCGGCAGTGGAGAGGTCAATCGACAGTTACACGAAGTTGAGCGAAATAGACGCGTATAAATTATCGTGGTAATGTAGAATATTAGTGCCCATTGCAGTAATTTAAAAGGTAGAAATGCATATAAATGATTGGAACTTGGAATCAATGTATTTTCCATTGCTGGCAATCTAAATTCATGTCATTTGCCAATTCTATAGGAATTATACAAAGATGGCGGACGTTTCAACAAACGTCCCGTGTCCCGTGTCCCGCATGTGTCTTTCAACTTATCGTCTGACTCCCGAACGTATATGAAACACGAACCCGAGCGAAATATGTAAACAACAATAGTCATGGTGGTTTGTAAAGGTTCGCGTCCGCGAATCAGATGCGCGCAAAGGATGTCTAAGTACACAAAAAATAAATTTCATATTGACAACTTTAATATATTTAAATAAATTCCAGCCTCCTTAATATTTATTGTAGTTTGATTTTAGGTATGTTCTAGCTAGCATCGCACCCAAGGGGTATACCTATTTATTAAGATACATACTATTATTTACACTCGTGTCTTGTCGGAATTTGATACACCCATACTAGAAAACTCATATTTTATACGTTTAAAATAAAATTGTAATATAGGTAACAGATAGATACTTGAAATAAATATGTGATTTGTATCTAAATAAATAAACCCTATTGCGAGAGACTGATTTGCAATTGGCCCGTTTATATTGCGCTCTCTTTACTCACTTTCATTTTAGTAACCGAGGGAGCACTAATATACATATTATGAAATATGAAGCACGTCAATTTGTCTTGTTTGTATAACTTTTTATTAAATTATTTATTAAATGAACTGGATGAACGTGCATTCGTTGGCTGAAGTCGCACAAAGTAAAGACGAATCGATGATCATTAGTCGAAATCATTAAAGCCGCTTATAGGTTCACATTTCATGTAGCTAATTATGTTCGCTCATTAAAATATATTTAATTAAGCTATAATAATAGCGTGTCCAAATGGAACGCGTTTATGTACGACCGGCAGGAAATGATTGGGACAGTTTCTCGATACTACCTTCTAAAATGCTCACTCGTCTGACTATTTTCGCGGCGGTTATGATCGTTGTTCACTCCCGGGTGGTGGACTACGGGTATTACCCAGAAGAACCAGCTCTAGCGGCGAGGATGAGTCCGTACGGCTGCTCGGCGTACGGTTGCAGCCGCCCCCTTTATGATGTCCCGCCGTATCGAGCTCGTCTCGTGCCGTACCAAGCCGAGTTCAGAACCGCATTCGACGGCTCCAAGTGCCCCACCGGCATGGCTAGACCGGCGGGTTCTAACAGATGTATCAGGAAACATTGAATTTATCTCATTGCGAGGGAAATCAACAAAGATTTGATTAAAATGCCACGCTTACCGGTCTCAGATACATTGTTTTGTATTGGTAAACACATTTATTTTTAAATAAATTGGATTTTCCTCTTCTACAATTTGTTGGTTTCATGAAATACCTATCCTAATATAAAATATATCCCTGAAAACTATATTTTGTTGCTATATAAAAACGATATAAATTCTTTTAAATCATACAAGTGGCGTTAATTGTAATAAAATCAATCAAATACATTATTTATACACATATGAAGCGTAGGTTAATGAGACTTAGCGAGTTTCTTGCCAGTTCCTTCGGTCTACGCCTTTCGTTTGAAAACTGGGAGCAAATATAAATGTAGAATAGTCTTTTGTTTTGGCTGTATTGCGTCCATAAGGGGATCTATTTCTCTACATTGATGAAGTTGACTTTGAATCATTTATGCGATTACGTGTAGACGTACAAAGACGACACTTCTTATATAAACTCGAGGGTTTCCTGCCAGTCAACAATTTCTACAACTTCTGTGAATTGTTCGACCGAGGTAGACGAGGCAGACGTCGTAGAGCATTCCCAATAAGATGCACTCACTGAGCAATAAGTGGGACGCAAAGGGGCAGAGGCGCCACTCAGCCGAGCAGAGGGAGTTCTCGAATAAGCTTCGGTTGTGTCGTTAGAACTTTGTTATCTAAATATCTGATTTGTTCGTTCAAAAGGAACATACGCGTCGCCTACAAATAGTACCAATATACTATAGCTTTTTTCTATTTTCGTGTTCTATAGATAGCCTTATCTTTAGTACACATTATAAGTAGTATATTTATTTATAAATTGTGTTGTGATTTTCACGTTAAAAGCATGGCCTGGAATGAATGAGGGTAGTCGTTTGCTCGCGACCCTCGGTAGGTACTGATCGCATATGTTTACCAACACGTTAATCGAAAATGTGTGTCGACCACAAAAGTTCCTCAAAAATGAAACTGTATTAAACGAGATATTAACGTGTGCCGTATTTTTATGTGTCTTGAAATAAAATCATTCTTGTTCGCCCATAAACCGGGCGTGGAACCAAATCGTGCAATTTAATTGCATTCTGATGTTCTTGCCAACCGCTGTCGAGCAGTTTCGAGGCGACTGAAAGTGTACTTACCTAACACCAAACTTGTGCAGTTAGTTGACTTCACTTCACTTAATAGATGAAAACTAAATAGACTCGGCGCCCTTGATAAAACTCTCTTTTGGCTAGTGATTTAGATTCTCCGAGGTAAAAGGAGTTTTGTGTAAAACTAATATTGTGAATACCTACCTTTAGATGGAGTGATCAGCACTTCGGACGCCGAAATGTCTACTAGGATCGTAGGGTTCAGTGTGGATTCTGTTCCAGATGCTGCCGGCGTGGGTGTGACCACGGACGGGTTGCTGAGCGCGCTGGCCCGTCTCCGCCGCGTCCAGCCCCCGCACCCCACACCTTCACGACACGTAACTATGCATACAATATATAGAACATATGTTTTCTTTATAGAGGTAGAACACTCGACAAATAATCGCCGACGGATTATGCAACGCTCAATCCTTACTAATATTATAAATGCGAAAGTAACTCTGTCTGTCTGTCTGTTACTCTTTCACGCCAAAACTACAGAATGAATTTGAATGAAATTTGGTATACAGATGGTCTTGACCCTGAGAAAGAACATAGGCTACTTTTTATTGCGAAAAAGGGGTTGTAAGGGGTTAAAGTGAAATAAATATTATATAATATTTAAATATTTATATTTTATAATAATTAAAAATTCTACCCCAAGTCACTATTCCACGCGAAGTCGCGGGCACAGTTAGTATTCTAATAAATCTTTCCTCTTCTTAATTTTTAGTCTGTAAATTAGGAAAGACGTTTAATCATACAAAAGGCAAATGCAATTTGTAAGCGAGTGCAAAATTCTGTTAGTTCTTCACCGAACACGAGGCGAAAGGTCGTTCGACCTCCGCCAACTTAGGACGCCGGGCACGTAGTGTGGGATATAATCCGACTATCCCATACAATAAGGCTCTCTTTTATTCTTCCAAAGGATATGACAGGCTTTAACCGCCCAGACAACTATTCACTACAATTTTTACTCCAGCTGCAAACGAACGAAAGGTGTAGGTAGATAGCAATTTTAATTTAACGTATTGTCTGAGGCCAAAATGATTTTATATAAAACGTCTTTCATTATTGTTAGGTATTCTTGTTGGTAACACATCCCGTGTGTATACGTCATATCTCGTACGTACTGACAGTGCGTTCATGTGAACGCGCCAATCTCAGGAACCGCTGGTTTGAATCGAAAAATTACTTTTGTATTGATCAAAAACTAAAAACGTACATGCTCTCGTTCAAAGTCTGGTAGGTACGTTAGACTACTATCTGCCTAATGAAAGAAAAACGGACTAATATGTTTAAGCGGTTAATGTCGTATACAAAGAGTTGTGGACAAACAATGCCATTGACATACTTGATTAATGATATGACATGAGGAACTGTTTTAAATATCTAGTTATCGTCCCACCCGAGGGAAACGCGGCAACGTACACCGGTAAATAGTGCTTCGGTTAGATCAACGTGATATATACAAAAGAGGAGAGGGAAAATAGCGAGTTTTGGAATATTTTTGGGTGCATCGATGCGCAATATGCCGGACGGCGGACACTGCGTTCGCCGGAATGGAAAAAGGCGGGGCAAAATGGCTGTCGCTTCGACTCGGAACAAGAGAACAAGAGCCCGCACCGTGCGAGTACTCCGGTTGACACATTTACGTTCATTTTAAGAGCAACGAACGAAACTTTGTTGACATTCATTTTTGACGGCTTTAAAAAATAAACAGTGTCGCTAACGACGTAGAGGTTAAAAGTGTTAGGTACTGTGCAGAGAAGAACGAATAAGCATTCCGTAAGTATACTGTTAGAAATCAGAAAAGCTCAACTACCCGCCACACTGAAGGCTATATAAACAAGCCTCAAGCAACGGCTCGCACACTTTGCGCCGCTCGTTGTACGGAACGGACGTGCTGCCGGTCGATAGAATTTTGTTGAATTTTAATTTATTTAGTTGTGTGTTATTTTGTTTTTATTTTAGTAAATCCGTTTGTTAAAATAGAGTGGGATAAAGATTTTAGCCCTCGAATATAAATTTTTGCTTTCTATAACGAAAATTTTTACTAGGTCCGTGACCTTAGAGGGTAGGTTTTGAGATTTTATAACTCAGGTGGTTCTGAAAACGCAACACCTGTATACGAGCTTTGGTATGTGAGTCGCCATCGAGTCAGGTAAAAACCGTGAAGCCTTTGAGAAGTTGGATTACAAAGGACGGCCGAACGTTGATGCAAATGAAGTTGAACAACACAGGTGTGCCCAATATATGGTGCCTAGATACGAACGTTTTATTTAAATGTTGTAATGTTTTACTTAATGTTGAGTTGTGAATGTGAGCATCGGCGATGACTTGTGGGTGGTGGTCGTGCAGCGTGGCTGTATGGGAAGTTTGGGGGAACCCTGGAGATGCGACCTGTTCCCATGGATGTTTAGTGTGTGCACATCCTGGTTTCTTTGGATGTAGTGGGCACATCCTGGGTTTTCTATGGAGTTTAGGTGTGCACATCTGGGTTTTCATGGATGAGTGGGAATCTGGAGTTTTTTTATGGAGTTTAGGTGGACATTGGAGTTTTTTATGGAGTAGGGGACATTGGAGTTTTTATGGATGTTAGGTATCTTTTGGTGAGAGCTGCGGCAGGTTGCGGGACGCGACTCTTACGAGCCTGTAGTAGATGGGTGAGCAGCGTCAGGCCGGTGGTGACGTCGGTGGCTTCGTCTCGGCACCGATGTCCTGGGTGTGACGTTGGGGGAGGATGGAATGGACTCTTCCACACCCCGACGATCCTGGTAGCGGCAGAGGCGCTCGAGGACACGGGCGGTTCGTCTCGCGCACCAACGACTGGGTGTGACGTTGTGTGAGGAGGAGTTGAATGGCTACTCTTCAACACCCCGACGATCCTGGTAGCGGCAGCAGGCGCTCGAAGACACGGGCGGTTTGCGAACCGGTCCTGTGTTTTGTTCGTGTTCAATGGGGTCGGAGGCGGAAGGGAGAGGCAGCCGGGACGACCCTGGAACGAGGGGGAGTTAACCGGCGCCAGCCACCAGTGGCAGCGCGAGCCACGCGCGGGTAACGGCACGCATGCGGCTTCCTTCGGCGGCCGAGGAGGGTGACGGCCGAAATCGCAACTTCCGGATTTAGAGCGCGGAAGCGGTGGCTGCCGCCTGGGTGTCTTCTCTGGGCGTTGTGTCAATGGCAGAGTCGCAGCAGGGAGCGGCGAGGTCCGCCAACATACCCGCTCATCGTGGTGAGGCTCGTGCGTCCTCTCATCAATGTTGTGGTGCGAAGAAACGGTGTTCGGGTTGCGCGGTACGCGCTCGCCGAAGTAAGAGGGCCTGCAGGCGTGCCCTAGGTCGTGAGCTCGTCGGGCCCCTGGTCGGCCCGCAGGCGACCCGGCTCGAGGCGATCGGTGAGGACGACTGCGGTAGCTACGGGATGAGCTCCAATTCGGAACCGTATTTTTTTCCATAAAAAGACAGTTAGCACAACGCGTGGTCAGTGTGCACGGTGAGGTAGCGTCCCCAGTGACAGACTCACGCGAGGGGGTCGCGACAGAGGAGGTGCCCGAGGACGGACACGGTCAGGAGAGGCCGTGTTAGAAATCAGAAAAGCTCAACTACCCGCCACACTGAAGGCTATATAAACAAGCCTCAAGCAACGTCGCACACTTTGCGCCGCTCGTTGTCGGAAGACGTGCTGCCGGTCGATAGAATTTTGTTGAATTTTAATTTATTTAGTTGTTTTTTATTTAGAAATCCGTTTGTCCTAAATACCTATTATGAGCGTTGAACGCATATTATGAAAATTCTTAAGTCCGGTATAGGTAAAGTAGTCCGCATAATGAACCATTCAATATCCTTTCGACCTAATAGAAATTGAAATATTGAAATGGGTCTTTTGAAATTGTGTCGACGAAGTTTCGCGCGAGTTCAACTTGATTAGGAATCTATTGAAAGTGCTACAGAAACACCAATCAGACGTTTAGGCGTCATTTAATTTTAATTTACGATTTGATTAAATTACGTTTTGACCTGATTACACTGAGACATCCTTTTGTCTCTCCGGAGAGGACCCAAGACCCAAAAACAATATTAACAGTCGCTTCGACGATTGGACGTTGATCGGAATTAAACACGTCAGCGTCTTATCAATAGAGTCACCAGTGCTAGCCTTGAATTATCTGTTGCTTTTATAAAAAAGAATGGCCGTTTCAAACAGATTATAAAGTTAGTAAGAACAATTTATGTGTAAGAGTTACGGAAAGAATAAATTTTCAATGCTTAGTTTTGGAACAAGCTACTGCGTAGATTGGGCATCCCGTTAAGGTGACATTATGATAAAACAATGATATTTAGAAAAGATTCAATATGACAGCCAGATTTAAAATGTTATGACATGACACACAAGTATTTACCGAATGAAATAACTCGAGCAGATGTTTTTGTTACGCGTCCATTTATTACTATGGGGCTGTGACAAAATTGTAAGGTGATGACCCATATTCACCAACATACAAGCAAATAATAGTATAAGACAACGAATATTCTAGATGAGTGTTGTGTTAATAACGAATTTTAATAATTTTACGCTCGAAGACATTACAAATTAAAATTCCTCATTCGCTGCGCCTCTTAACACGCTACAGATGAAGTGCTTCGACAACATTGCTTTTAAATCGTATCAGGCGTCGAGTTTTTGAAGTACAAGCGAATCTCGAGGCCTCCTTGAATATCTTTAAGATTCGCTCAATAATGTAAACTGATTTACAGCGTGGAGAGTAAAATCAATTCGGCGCAAAACTATGTGAACACCAAACAAAGGGTAAACAAAGCGATGGCTGTGCCCCGAGCCGTTAATAAAGCGAACTCGATCAACATTATCGATTATTAAAACCGTGAACGATCGTGTTAGCTACCGTGAAGTGACTCGTGGACGCCCATTTCATAATGGCCGAGACAAACTGAGGCGAGAGCTCTATTTTTTTTTTAATTTACTCAGTCAATTCCAAACTGAGTCGGTTGCACAGCTCGGCGACATTGAATATATTGAGTTGTTGGTTTGTATCTGTTCTCTTATTATTTAATTCGAACGTGATTGAGATGATATTCTCTTAAAACTTAGACAAAATTTATTCAATTACTACGATTATGTAATAAAAAATAATACTGGTCACACGCACGGGTCCTCCTATCAGCGGTTTTAAACAGTTTGGGATTTCTTTTGGTTCTTTCTGAAAGCGCGAAGAGATAATTCGATATGAAGTACTAGAAGCAGCCTTTTGCACGCTCGGTTATAAGCGTCCTGAAAGAGACGTGGCTCGATTCAATTAGAGTGCCACCTTGTTACGAATATTCCCCTCGCTCAAATAGGAACATTGCGTTACACGTTAACGAAGTCGTATTTTTATTTGTGCAAAGTAGGAACGTTGCCCGGGGATGCCTGCCTTTACAATCAATGGGAAAATCTATTTACGCAGAAGACTTCGTCACGTCGCGGACGAAACATAATAATACATGAAAGACAAACATCAAAGTGTAGATTAACAATAAGTTCAGATACAAAAAATAGATATTTAATTTGGTGTTCATCATATCTCTATCAGTTGTCAATACTGAATTATTAATATTGATTTTGTATTCAATTGACAAACCGATGCCATGTTTCAAAGCACGCGAATGTATCTCCAACATTTAAGCTCTAGAAATAGAATCACATTTTTACAAAATATAGTATTAAAGCAGTTATGCTACTCTTGAATGTAATTTGAATATGTAAAACCTCAAAAGGGAAATAATCTAAAAAGAACTCACCTTTATTGCAACGTGAAAGATAAAAATAGTGCGCCTTTCAAATTTTTAATAGCAATTTATCTGAGTAAAAGCTATGCTTTTACTTGCAGGCGAAAAGAAAATGGAGGTGGGCTTTATGAATTAATTGAATTATTCACCCGGAGTGCTTTTGATTAATTATTTATCAAAGCAGTAGCAGCTGGCCCATCTGTTGATCTTGCGAGATAGCTTCCGTTGGGCCTTTTCAGTACGCAATGGTTTTTGGTAAATATCAGTTGTCGGGTAGTCGTATATTTAAAATAATGAAGTATTTAATAACAGAGGAAACAATCACTTTATTCATTTAACTTTTTGATGCTTTTTCTAAAGTTCAGAGATTAATGCAACGTGGAACCATGTGCTATACGACGATGGATTTAGGTTAGCTCCTCTCATGTTGCGTTAGTGCAGCTTCATATCCAATGTTTTTAACGAACCGTTGCCGAGGCGCAGTAAGACTTGATGACGTCATCGGTTGCGATCGAGGTGGACGCGCCTTTTATCTTTAGCTAATGGCGGCTTTCAACGCATTTATTGGATTGATTCTGACCGACGTGTATTTTCCCTGTTCATAAAAAACAATGCGAAGCTATTTGGAGATGCGTTTGATGTGAACGACCCTCCCTAAACCGTTTGATTTATAAAAAAAAATCATAACACACTTAAACTCGTTCAGTACAAGAAAAAGTTAAATTCGATCAAAACCCGAATAGTGTTCGTCGAGCGAGAGAAATGGCTCAATTTGTCTTTTTATTGGATTCGTTGGGCGCAGCTTTCGGAGAATATGCCTTGTTTTACTACCTAGACGTCGCAAAATTTTCGTTATTTAATTGACAATGTCGTCGGGTCTACTCTAGTAGAGTATACCGCGACCGCAACTTGAAGTTTGCGACGGTTTGTGTGGGAGGCGCATTACGCGGAATAGATAAACAGCAATAAATGTTATCCGGGTTAAGCCACGGCTTAGAGCCGCCCTCGGGTCCGATTCCGGCGCTGATAAGAGCACCGCTGGTGTTTCGGCCCGCGGGCTGGTAGCTGGAATGGAGTTGCGATCTAACTGTGATTCGCATATTTCGACTATTACTTTCAAAAGAAGTTGTGTCTTATCACTCGTACGGCGTTATTTCTAGTGCGATAACTTTTTATATGGAATATCGGTGTACCGACGGATATATAGGGAAGAATTATTCAATTCGTAGACCATAAGCCAAATATAAGCTAAATTTAAATATTGTTTTTCAGTAGTCTTCGAACGAGTCAGGGACAGCACATCTATACTTCTATACTAATATTATTAATATTTTGTATGTAACGGATAAACTCAAAAAGTACTGGACAGATTTTAATAATTCTTTTTTCATTAGAGAGATACATTATCACTGAGTAAAATAGGCTATAGTAAGTACTAGATTACTATAGCAATCTTTAGAAATTTCTATGAAAAACCAAGGGAGGTGTAAAAAAAATTGCCATAAAATATCTTTCATCACATACGCTGCGAAAAGTATTTATGATAGGACAAAAAAATGTTCGACAATATTATAGAATATATCAATATCTACAGAAAACATCGCAAGAGCATATGTCTAACTATAGTAGTTACGTCGTAACTACTATAGTTAGACATATGTACGTAACTACTTTTTTACATTTAACAAATTGAATGAAATGCCGATCAGAATTAGACCGTGTTGTCCATACCATTTATATATTTTTATCCAAATAAATATAAATGCCGGCACGCCGCGCATCGAGTAACTAACTCGACGAGAGAGGGGCAGTGGGCTCCTTACGCAGTGGACAAGAGCGACATTGAATATTTAGAGTTTTTTTTAAACATATAATAATGACAGTCAAGCGCACTAAATTTTTTTCTAATTTAGTGATTCGTGGTCGCTTTAATTAGCATGCTTTTAATTTAAATATCTGTACCTATTTATGTCTACCCGTGCGAAGCCGGGACGGGCCGCTAGTATTGCATATAATAATTAATACACAATACACAGAGTATAAGTTATATATAAGGTTATTTTTAAGAGATATTCGTCACAATCGTCGATCTAGTACATACGGTAACTGATTTAATTCACTTCAATTATTTTCTTACGCAGTTTTAAGTGTTTGGTTTGTTTCAGGCGGATGGGCGCACCCAACCCCCCAAGATCCATTCTTCTCGGCCTTCCCCTGAACTTGCCGCAGGTGACAGTATGACGGTCGCCCGCGGCGAGGAGTCCCCGGAGCGGCTGGGCGGCGCCCTACGGCGGCTGCACTATAGAGCGACGCGCAGGGCGCACTCCGCCGCCCAAAGGCACCACTCCACTACGCCCAAGGTCGGTCTTAGAATTAAGTTAATACCAATACTTTCCATCCAACAAATATTTCGCTTTACTTAAATTCTCAGATTCTAATTTAGGTCTTAAACCTAAGTGGGTTTCCGAAGGATATTTTACCGTAAGTTTGTTCGCGTGGAATCCTTTTCTCTTGCTTTTTCATAGTTCAGCAAATATGCGTTTCACCCCTCGTATATTCTTTACAACATGCTACTTTAGATAGGCCGACTGCATATAGACGTTCTCCGCAGCTATAAGAACTTTAAGTATCCAGTAGGTGATTTACCTTGTGCTAATTAATTTGTTTCTTAAAATACATTTGCTATTAAGTGCTTTGCTCATAAATAAATGCCCAATAATCCTTTTCGAATAAAGTAAAGACAACAACGCACTATGAAGACTTTTTCCAGAATTTTTTTGTTAATTATATCTGCTTTGACACTTGCGTTAACATCCGTGAGTTGTCTTAAGACTATTGATAATTGAAATATAAGACTAAATAATCAAATAAGCGCGTCCTCGTTTCCTTGAATAACTCTTATTTATTGTTAAACTAAGAATTTTGAGGACTCTTTCCCTCGACAATATTACGATACAAAAGTAAAGGCATTTTCTCGATCCCTCTGTTTGTTATCGTGTGCCTTTGGGCTATTTGGAGTGAAATTCCGTGTAGTCGGTACAGCGTACACATCCTGTAAGGGTCCTTCGCATCCTGCCGTCCGTTTAATATCTTCACTACTACTACTACATCCTACATGTGTAGTAGTTCGGCTCTTGGTGCTCTTTGAAGTACGTCAAGTCTTTAAGTTAAAAATTTCGCGAACAGCAATTTTGAAACAATATCAAGCAATTCAAGTAAAATGAAAAATCGCAGCTAAATGTTTCTTTTTACCCGCGTAGAAGCCAATTTCTTGGTAAATACTCTAGAACTAATTGTCATTACGAGTACGAAGTGAAATCACGAAGCTAAATCTAAATAAAATCCAGTAGACTAAGAAATTGGATTGTCTTGCGTACTCGCTCTTAGAGTAAATAACAAGTAACTTAGACCAACACAAACGTGGGATTATCTGTTCGGTCGGTTTACATGACTTTGTTCGGGCGATCAATCTACAACGTCAACGGACCAGTTCAATCAGCCGCATACACTTTATTCTAGTGATTAGAGTGGTCCCACCGATGGACCGATACACCAACATACATAAATAGACGATGAGCAAAGCTTCAAGTTCAGAGTTTAATATTAACATATTGGAAATGTTTATTACAAAATATTGAGCTGTATACAAGTCTTTGCATAAATTAAGGTGTTTTGCATGAAATTTGTTATTGAATAATTTCTAAGCTCGACTGAGTCGATTATGTCAATTAAACTGCCACAAATCTGTGACTTTGAAACAAATATTACTGTTCTGTATAATAAATATGTATATTGTTCTGCGCTTGTAGTGTATGAATTATTGTTTTTGACTCGTCAACTAAGTTTCCTGCTCAAGAACCGCCTTAGGGATTTATAAACCGGGCATAATCTTTAATACGTAATAGCTTTGCGAACTAACTTCTAAATTGTTTTCAACGACGGGGTGCGCTAGTTTGTAGGGCAGAGCTTTACGATTCGACCGAAGCAAGTGTTGCGTCATCGCAATATTGTTCTAGTATTAAGTTTTGAATCATAGCTCAAAATCTGAACGGTAAATAGTACTACACTAGGCACTTCTAATCAAAGTATTTTGTCCCTTTAAAAAGAGGCTTGACTTTCATGTATATTATTACAAAAGTTTAACACGCGGAAAGGAGAGAAACAAAGAGGTGTTTTCGAAATTTGTGCTAAATAGCGCCGGCGATCGGACGATTGACCGATGTTTCCACGTCGCGGATCCGAATGGTTCGCAGCTCACGACTCACTGATTAGTTCAGCTCACAGTCGACGTTTCAACCCTTTGATGAAGCCGCTCGACCGTCACATAACATTGATACTCTTCTTTATACAACACTGAATCCGTGCTCCGACAATTGATTAGCGACGCTTAGAGGAGATAGATTGAGCGATATCGACGGCACAGGCGGAGCTGCAGCCCACGGTGGCAACCGTTGATCCTCTTATACATGACACGATATTTTTAATCCATAACAGTTGTGGTGGTATTTCTGTATATAATATTTTCGTAGCCCGCGTAGCACTGCCGTAGATCAGCTGATCTACATAAGTACACTTCCCTCTACAGTTTACAAGCGGATTTACATTGTCACACCGGGAAGAGTTTTGACGTAAGGGCTAGCTAGAACTTATAGCATAGTATTTATATTAGTTCATATAAAAGTCTTAGTCTTTTGCGGTAATAAACAACTTGTCTTATTAGACAGTCTGAAAACAAATTGAACATTAATAGGGGACTCTGACACGTTACAACACGAATCTAGCTTTGTTCTTTCAATAGAAGTCATTAGAATAGATTAGCATTATGATTTATTTTAACTGGAACATACAATGTTTTATACTTTTTTTATAGTCACGTTCCATTATTTAAGCTAAAAGATATACTTCCGATGCTCTAATATTGCATATCCACATTATGCACATAAATGGCTTACTAGTTTTTAAGACTGGGTAATATTTCACTATATACAGGCTTAAAAATTATAACATTTCCCTTTAATACGAACAGACAATTCAATAAAAATTGCGGTAGTTTAAACAATTTGTACTTGTATTTTGAGATGCACATCGAACTCGAAATAAATACTTTGAAGGCGTACGAAGAAAACGGCTGAAAGAACACAAAACTCTAGACAGATTTTAGAAAGCTTATCGTCTGAATGAAAGGAAACTTAGATAGATCGATTAAAAAAGCTGAGTAAGATGTATAGTTCAGATACTGAAAGGCCGTGAATTCCATAGACGATGACTCAGCATTTTCGCGGCCCGTTTTAGACGAACTAAAAAGGAGGTTTATAAATTTGCATATTTAGGCAAAACCTTCTAAAGCCAAAATATGAGATATTCTTAATAACTGATATAGCTAATTAAAGGTCGAAATATTCAATTACAAAGACCGCTACAGATAAGTGACCCGATAGCTCATGGCTCGCAGGAAATAGAGCGCTAGTGGAATCGCTGGAGAGCTCCTCATTAGATGACGTCACATCCGTCGGCCGGAAACGGAAACCGACGCCCCGGGAACCGGTGATTAGCCGGGAACTTGCTCTTTTACGCTCATTTCAAGTGACACGTCTCGATTGTGATCTAAATGCAAGCGTCGAATCGGTGAACACTCTATTTGTTGTTGACTATTTTCAAAGTGTACTAGTAAATCAATTAAAATGACTACAATAGACGAAATATTTGTGCTCGTATTCGGGCAAAAGTGATCCCCCTCGGTCTTATTAGCCCGTCTTTTGTAATGAGAGAAAGTTGGACGCGACACGACGTCGAAAGGATTAGCTCACTTTGCTCTCGGGCCAAGGGATCCATTTCGAATGAAGGAATATATTTAAAACAAAGAGCTGACTCCTAAAGCTTACCTCGCGACGATAACATATACTACCGACAAAGGTCGAGTGATACATATGATTGTATAATATTATTTTCCTTGATACAGCAAAGACGTCGAAGTAAAGGTGGTCCCGTCGGAAAGTCAACTAATCACGAGTTTGAATCGATCTCATTGGAATAGAATAAAAACCGGAGACGGACGTAATTGGGGACATGCCTTATCGCGGATCACCATCGACACACTTCTGAAGAGGAATCGTCTGCTGCCTCTCTTGGTTTTATTTGTGTGTTCTTTATATCACGGCCACGCACGGTCAGTCTAGTTATTCAGAAAATGTATTTAATACAATTGTTTTGGAAGCTCAAGAAATCCACTACTAGATGTATTTATGGACGGAGTACAAAAAATAATTGTATTCTGACGAATATATTAGGATCCCTCGTAATATTGAGTGCCTACTTCCTTCATCGATGTACTGTATGCGTATTAGTGAAATTATATTTTTTTTTAAATATAAATTTTGCTTGAAATTTACGCATCCAATGAATAATAAGTAATTCGCGTTTTAAATTTTTCTCTTTCTACGACTTTTCCGCTAATTTCAATACAATTAGGTGAAAAAGCTAATATAATCGGTCACCTGAAATGCGCAGACTCCGCGAGGCAGCGAAAACGTCGGAGCGCGTTTATCCGGCAATTAAAGTTGTCGCAAAGATTTATTTCGGACGGTTCGCGCCGAAATTAGAAATTATCGTCGACGGCTCAGACTCCATTATTTCATTTTTAATAAGCTCTCGCTTCGTCCCCGGTGAGTTACACGTTTTTGGCGTCCGAACTTCTCCCTCGTTTTAGCGACGACAAACATTGGTAAATATTAACGCTGACATTTTAAAAGGGCAAGAGATTATTGCAAACGAATAAAAAATATTTCGATGCAACTTTCAACTTAGTGATAGGATATAATTGTTGTGTCACTTCTCCTCCACATCTTTATAAATTACAGCTGTTAGCCAAAATGCCGTGCGATGTGTCCGTCGTTCTTGCAAGTTATCACTTCGAGAAGAATCATTCTTTCATATATATATTTTAGGTGTTTTACACCGCACGTGACGAAAACCCACAAGGATGACAAATTTCCCTCGTTTTTTCTAAACTGTCCGTTTTATTCTTTTAGAAATGTTCAATTCGAACCAAATTTGAAGCAGTCTCTGAAGTTAGCGCATTCTCGCGAACTCTCCATATCCTTGCAACATATCAAAACAACTTTCAATTGTACATGATTGTAGTCCTATCTGTAAACGGAGGACTGTAACTGCTTCTATATTTTATGTTATCGTTGCAAAAGGGATTCCCCGATATTGACGCCTTTTGACTAGAACTTCTTTCGGTGTCAGCGAGGCAGCGCATACGCGGAAAAGCGGTAAAACCCTTTCGCCCGCCCGATATTGAAATCTCGAATCTAAATTTCAAATGGCGCTACACATGGGAGGTACGTCAAAGGCTGAATCGTTTTTAATTTCATTAGCGGTCTGCTGCACGCTCCGGGAAATTGTTCACGGAACGGAAAATTCGCTTTTCACCTGCCACCCCAGCTCCTGTGGCGGACAGGTATTTTTCCAACGTATTTAAGAGATTCGCCTCGTCAACCGATTTAGTGATTATACGAAATAAAATTAATCAGTATATAGTATATTCGTTTCTAGTCTAAACTAATTAAAGAAATCATAAAGCGATAGCTCGGTAGGACGGAATGAGTCAGTGCCGCATTGAGCCACCTTTGAGCGCATAAGTAACCTTCCTTCGCCATCGACCTCACGCCCGAGGTGGTAGATCACTTATCTCAGCGGAACGTTTTCGTTCGCCGAGTGCAGCTGGCAGCTTGTGGTCTGAACTCCATTGAACATACGCGTTTACCCCCTTCCTTTTTACAATTACAATGTAACGCCTTACTTACAATGCCTTGTTAAAAATTCAAAAAAAGGGTAAAACTAAGTATTGTCAGTTTTAAACCGTTCAAATTATTTTACGTAAAAAGGGTAAAAATGTTTTGCCTTATAGTTTAAACTAGTGATATTCGGCCTGACGACTGGCCGAATATCCGGTATCCAGCCGCCGAATATTCGGCCGGCCACACGATACCTATGTAAGTAAGTACATTTTAGTTTGGCGGCGCGTGCGTCGTGCAAGTTTCAACCTGTTACGTATTGTTCTCTCTTTTTATCTATTTGGTAACACTTATTTTATTTGATTAAAAATTAACATACGATACCCTACGATTGGTTGAATGGATACCTATTGCTGATCATAAAATTTCTTAAATACCTCAAATGAGGTTTTTTTTCTTACAAGAAACAACAACAAGATATCAATTTTTGTAGTATATTTTATTTTATTCATATTAATTATACCTAATAATTTTATGATAATAAAAAAATATATAAATATTTTTTGTAGTATACATACTAACTAACCATTTTTCAAAGTTAAATAGCAAACAGAATCACTTTTCGGTATCCGGCCGGATAGTAAAATAATGGCCGGATAGGCCGGATACCGAATAGTGACCGGATATCCGTCTAGTTTAAACTCAAAAGGCTTAAAATCTCGATGCACTCGCCCTGTACGCCTTTTTTTAACTGATGGTGTGAATGCCTAATGCACGCCCACGTCGGGCAAGTGTGACGTGGGGAGTGTGGTAAATCGTATAGCCGACCAGAACCACTAAACACACCACCAGCCCTCTACGGTGCCGCACTGTACGCCCACTGTAATAAATAACTACGGAATAGACTTAGGCGAAGCTATATGAAAAGTTAGTGAAAACTTTGTGTCAAGAGACATGAATGAGGTTTAAATGCATTTTGCGTATTTATATAGGAGGTTTAAGATTTTTATAGGTAATTTAAGCATCATGTATTTAGATTTGGGAAAAGCGTTTTTTGTTAAGTTTTCGGCTGTTTATGTTGTGTTTAGTGGTGTTTTTATGTGTGCAGTTTTTACTGTCAGATTATACTGTCGAGTAATAATGAAATACTACGGTCTAAAGTGAGGTCGATCGAACCTAAATGATATTAACAAGTAAACGGTTTTTTTATCTTTCGCGGAAGGTTGGAATAATACTGAATCCCAGAAAGATCCCTCACCCTCGCTCACTCAGGTGAAACTAGTCAAAACAGCTGACTTCACCAGAACTAAAATTAGACGGAGACGACTCTCACAAAAGATTTTCTCTCTATTGTTCCAAATCTACGTCTTCAGAGACGTCGCGTGTCTTCTAAAATACTACACGCTTTCAAATTAAGCCTCGTTGGTGTAAATGTGTATGGCTAATAATCAACGGGCCGTGGGTTCGACCTCCACTGGGTCCAACTGGGTGGTATTTAATATCGAAATTCCGTCTGGATCACGAACCATTACACATGGAAAAGCCGTTCAGTTTAACCGCGTTTCGGTTTAGTCTGTATATATCTTGAGCAAAATCAGTCGACGGCGCTTAGATTCGATTTTTCACTTACCATCAGATGACCCCATGCGTGTCTGTTCTATGAAAGTCGTTGACGCCGAGACTGCAGCTAGCGATGGGCCAAAGTAACAACTATCAATCAATTATATCTCATTAGAGTGCACGTGGGGGCGTGGCCAGGTCATTGACCCGCATCGATCGCGCTCAACTAGGTCAGCCGGTCTTCGGAGTTCAGACTATCTGCGGATAGGCTGCAGACACAACAGTGGGCGTGCTAATTTATTTGCCGAATACTCAGTCTCTAAAATGCCCTGGTTTTCAATATTATGTCCTTGGCATATTCAGGTCGGTAAGTCTACTGACTTACGATTGGGTCTACTGACCCAGGTGCCTGAAGGCATTCGGTTTTGTTTACTTAGATGCTTATTGAATATATTAAAACCTTTGGCCTTATATACATTTCTTTGTATAATGTTCAATAAATAAAATAATAACATGCCTCGAGTCAGTGGTAGGCACATAAAAAGCCTGTTATGAGCTGTCCGAAAAATTTAAAATTATTCCTTAATAAAATTACTGTTTCCCAAAATTTTCCCTAGATGGCGTTGTTGAACAGTACATGTAAATATATACATTTAGTAAGGTATATCAATTTGATGTATGTATTTAAAACTTTAAGAAATTATCCATTTATTTCTCATATTCTATTTATTATATTTAATAACGGGTTTTGATTGTCCATAGATTCTTAAGATTCACAAATATATATAAGCATTCCGATATATTATTTAGTAAACATAATTAGCAGTTTTTTTCTCATACAAATATATATTTTTGGGCTGAAAAGCTGTTCGTTAATGTCAATGTAATGTGTTTATTTATACATTTACGAACCTTGCGATTTCCGAGTATCAACAATAAATGTGACGTTACTTAATAAGGATCTTTTTATCTATCTATTATATGCTTTAAAATAAAGCCCTCCTTTATTTATTATTGCCTAGTAAGCCGGGCCGCAGATAGTGTGAATGGAGCCTAATCCACCCCTAACGAAGTCGGAAGTGCGTCAATGACGAAGACATAATGCCGGATATCCGGATATGAGGCCGTAAATTATAAACGAGCCTATTTCAGGTGTCACTCCACGTGACGTTCACAAATGGACAATATTAATGTAGAAGGCAAAATAATAAATTTATGTTCTGCGAAGTTCAATTGCTTTAGGCTCTACCGATAATCCTCCTTTCAAGAACAAAAATGTATGCATTAAGATTATTATTTTGTATACTCATAAAACAAAACGCAATCCGACAGCGTAAATATAACTTAACTTTATTCGTATAATTCCATTTTGTAATATTTCAAATTAGATTAAGTCGTTTATTTATTCCATATGAAAATAATCGAAGAAAAAATAGATGTATGTTAGTTAGCTAGATAACACAACGCTGTATATTAGTGATCACTAATCACGCATCTTTTTATAATAGTGATGAAGAGATAGCGAAAGGAATTCTTAGTAAGAGTGAAACAACGGTGTGAGTTATTTTGTCGTAGTTTGTTGAATTTTTTAGTGGCGTTCCTTTAACAAATTCCTCAAAACTTGCATTTGAAAATATATCAGTAGCACTTTAGCTTAAGCCTCACAAGTTCGGCGAAAACTCGTTCTCTACGAGAGCCTAGCCGTCCGATGCTTGCATAAATTAAAACTACCCTCAGCAGACTTATGGAAATTGTTCGATGTAAATCATTAAGTATGCTTTCTACAGCACTGACTGTAACTAGGAATTTTTCTTCAAACCACCCCCCCCCCCTCAAAATTTCTTTGCCCTCATCAGTTTTTCTTGAAACTAGTAGATGACAAGAAATTGATATCGCTTTCCATTGCGACGTGTACTGCTCGCGTAAATCAACAAATTTTAGTTAAATTTTACTCTTATTTTTATAAATATTCAATTTCTAACTACAGTTTCATTCGTTAAGCTGTTTAAGCTAAGATTGTTTGCATTTAATCGTAGACACAAGGAGTAGTGGGTACTTTGTGAAATTTATTAATGTCTAATTCATTAGGGTTAACACAATTAGTTTACATATTTCGGTTTTATATACAATAATAACCCTCAAATACAACCTCAATTGTCTATTTTCCCGCTTCACCTAAAAGCTTAAAGAACATAGTCTTCGAATTGACCTCCTAAAGTTAAGAGTGGGCCAAAGTAATGAAACTCGTAAATACGTCGTAAATGGGACCCGAATTCGATTCACCACTTACGAGATTTCATATCATAATGGGTTTTTTCAGTGCACAATACATGGAGTAGCAAGGTCGTATATAGCTTGTCCTCTAACCGAGAAGACATGCTTGGGTTTGTATTAACTTTCAGAAAAACTGTTGACTTAGACTTTCAAATAATTTCTAGAGTTATTTCAAAATCTAAGTCAACAACGCTATGTATGTACTGAATATTTAGAGTAAACGTACTCGAATTTATTCGAATAGCACATTATAGACATACTGTCTACTGTATATGCGAGTAGTACACATTTAAATAAAACACTTTAATGGTTTAAAACGCGATAAATGTTAGTTAAACTTAATTGGGCGTCGTACGAAACGTCGGACCGTAGTTAAAATAGTTGTCAAATAAGTTCAACTAATATATATCGCGTTTTAAACCGTTAAAGTGCTTTATTTAAACATCGTTATATAGTTATGTATAACAAGAAAATAATTATTTTCTCGACGAGTCAACAGTTTTCTTAAATTACATACTGTCCTTCCTCGTGCTTCGGGTTGTTGAAAACAAACTACAATCTCAAATTTTTTAACATATTACGTGGCCGCTGCAAAACGGGTTATGTCAATCTTTCTTTCCGGGTGCGATATTTATCAAAGATCTTTATAAATAATTAACGCGTCGGTTCGTTTAGTAAATATTTTTTACTATAATTTCTTGTTTTCTCGAGTCATCTTTTATACGGTAGAGGCGGACGGATAAGCGCGGAGTTTACTTGATAGAAAGTGAAATACCCCAGAAATTTGAAAACCCATAGAAAACCGAAACGCGATTAAGTTAAACGGTGAAGGTGGATCGTGGCGGGGACGGAATTTCGATATTCCAAACGAGGTCCAACATGTTGTAGAAATACAAATTGACTAGAAATATGTTGACCCGGGGGGGATCGAACCCAAAGACCGTTGAATATTACCCACACATTGCATCCATTTCGCCGACGAGTCCGGCCTTCGGCCCTTTAAAAATATGAAAAACGCAAAAAAGAAACTAAATACTACACCCACCGAGCAAATAGTAGACATTGAGTCGTGTGTTACACAAAAGCATCCCTTAGCATTAGTTGTGAACTTCGTTTGTAAATTTTTAAGCTTATTGTGGCAAAATTTTCGTATTACTTGCCCACGAACCGTCGACGAGATCCGTTCGATTCAATAAAAATACAGAAAATTGTATTTGATGTAAAAATTCGAGAAATTACGAAATAATTATCATAAAATAAGCAGCGGCCACGGCGATGAGATTATACGACATTCACACCAAACCAATTAAACGAAATATTATAAAAATTTACAATTACTGGCTTTCGACATTCAAATTAACTCACAATCTACAGTTTTTATAATCTCGGATAATATATGATTGAACAAATACCATTCTATCATTTACCTTCATACCTAATGACTTTGATCTCGCCCTATCGCAGCCTTGACCGTCGCCTTTATCTCAGTCGTATGACGGACGGACGCGTTATTTTATTTATATATTAACATTGCATCCTTAATTCGAGTGTAAACGAGTTTATCGTCAGTTGATAACGACATGGCGTTCAAAGCGAACCTCACGCTCAACGTCCTTTTTATATCCTTCGCGCTCATTCTCACCAACGTCATCCGGCTGAGGCTCCTGCCCTTCAATGATGACGCGAAACGGTCCCTCGGGTATCCGTCGGACAGCCTCCTGAACTTCACAGAATTGGCGACCGAGTACGGCTACCGCTCGGAAGAACACACGGTCGTCACGGAAGACGGTTACATGCTGACGATATTCAGAATCGTGAAGCAGAATTGTCAGGGGGTCATGAATGGACCGCCGGTCGTTCTGATGCACGGTTTACTGCAGAGCTCCGATGCGTGGCTGGACGCCGGACCCGACGCCGGATTGGCGTATCTCCTAGCCGACGCATGTTTCGACCTCTGGGTCGGGAATCAGAGAGGTAACTACTACGCGAGGAGACACGTGCGCTACGACCCAGACGCAGACGCCGATTTCTGGAACTTCTCGGTCGATGAAATTGGGCTTTACGACGTTCCGGCTACGATCGATTACGTCCTCAATCATACGCACAGTGAAAAGTTGAATTTCATCGGATACTCCCAGGGCTCTGGGACGTTCTTTATAATGTGTTCAGAGAGACCTGGCTACTGTGATAAAGTGAACGTATTAATCGGTCTCGCGCCGGCCGCGAGGCAGACGTACACAAAGTCGGTGATATACAGAATCGCCTGTATCACCATAGCTGGAATGGAAGGTATGTTGAGAGCCGTCGGTTTCGAAGAGATATTTTCCAAGGGGCAGTTGAGTCAGGAACTTTTGGGCTTCATTTGCCAAATGAAAGCTCTAGCCGAGCCGCTGTGCGGGACCGGAGAGCAACTGTTCGATTCCTTCCATCCGGGCTCCATCAGTAATAGGACCCTTCGCGTCATGTTTGGCCACTTCCCCGCGGGGACCTCCGTCCGCAACATGGCCAGATACGGACAGAGCATGCTGACGGATAAATTTCAGAAGTTCGACTTCGGCGCCGAGAAGAACTCGCTGATCTACGGCGAAGAACGGCCGCCGCAGTACAACATGAATCGCGTCACTGTACCTGTGGTCATTATGTACGGACTGAACGATCACTTGGTAGACCCAAAAGACATAGATTGGTTGGTCGAGAACCTGCCTAACGTCCTGAGTGTGAAGCGAGTGGCGGACCCTCTTTGGAATCACTTCGACGTTACGTACAGCCGGTATACGGGGAAAATGCTTTTTCCAGCCGTGCACAGGTATCTGCTGAAGTTTAGTTCGTGAAACCAATTGAGCGTCTGAGTTGGTGTGAAAGAACTAAGATATGTGATATGTTATAACTATTTCCTGATATTACTCAACTGTGATAATATAAAAATAAATATTATTTATTTGACGTAGTCGACATTTAAAAGCCTACATTCCTATACGATACAGGAAAATATATACCGATTACCACTATAGTATAGTGTATACATTTTATACAGTCGACCAGTTTCATGAGGAAATATGTAGTAGTCTGGTTTTATTAATAATTTTTAAATAATTCTTAGTTTTATTCTGTTTCTGGTTTCTGTGATTTCATTCTCAAAATTGTTTCACACTTACAACATTATTGATTTAACATATAACAAGGAAGTCTTGTATTTACTAAGTACACTATTGTCGAGCTTAAATTCGCGTCGTTTGAAAAGCAAACATTTTGTTATGATTCAAATAAATCATTACTTTGTTAGTTCTCCAAAATCGCCATCATCGATGACGAGTGTTTATTAAAGTTATAGTTTGGAGAAAAACAGACGTGATTGTATTCGCTATACTATATATAGTTTACGGAGTAGTAGGTACACATAAAAAAAACTGCAAAGCATCCGAAGCGTCTAGCCGCAGTTCAAACAATTTTCAAATAAGTTTAACTAATATATATCGCATTTTAAACCGTCAAAGTGTTTTATTAAAACGAATTCGCTATATCAACTATTAATTATTCATTAAAGAAATTATTTCAGCCCGCTTTAAGTCTGACCGGAACCGCTTTAAGTTTGGAGTGCTAATATAAATATCCTGTGCTACTAGTTATAAGTAATGAACAGCGGAAATCTGCGATTACGCACGATTGTATTTATAAAAAAATCGTCGTTATTTTTAATTATGCGAAACAGCGTTAACGGTGTTATTAATGGATGTATAAAATTGAATCATTAATATAATAAGACCCGGAGCGGGTGACCCCAAAGCGTTGATCACGGTTGTAACATTGGGACCGGTGCGTTCACCTGGCTCGCCTTGAACTTGACGAATCTGCGCAGGAGTCGATTCCGTCATCTTTACGCTGTGTTCGGTTCATCGCACAATGTAAGGTTAGTATTGTTAAGTAAATGTAGTTACGTATATTTACATAAAGCGAACGACGACAAATAATATTTCAATAAAAATATAATGTTTAAGTCGTATCCACGAAGTTCATTATCATAAATAAATATAATAATAACGGACATAATGTTATCGGTCGAAGTTACACGAAACAAGATATTACATGTTGAACAAGAAACTTATTTCCGTGAAATTGATAAGTAAAAAACATCTACGAGTTCCTTTAAGTGTTGCGTTCATACAATATTTTGAAAGTCGATAATGAGACATGCCAGTTTACATTCAAAGGTGTTTTTTTGTGTGTTGTTAGGACTTTATGACATTACGTTATCTCCTCACAACATGTTGTTTTCTACGTAAATATACAAAATTAGTTAACTTAATGAGGTAATTAAAATAGTAACGACTAAATTATACCAAAATGTAATAATATATATTCTGCTCTTATCGAGTGTTTCACAAAACAAACAAAGATAACACAATGTATGTCTAATAATAATATTAATCGACGACACACATTGCTATAAGACAATTACAAACTTTACCTCAATGCTTTTAAACAGCCCGCAGACTAACGTTATCCACCGACTTTTGCGCCCTGCTCAAAGAATCTAATATTTCGGTCGGGCAGGCCCTGCACAAGTCTGATCGATAATCGAGCCCCACAAGGGGAAACGGCATTTCCATAGGTACACGTTTCTGTAGATGTCATAATTTTAAATAGTAGTTGTAAAAATTGTTCTTAGAGGTAATTGTTGTCGTGAGTTGAACATAATAACTAGGAAATTATAGCGTTGTCTTATATTGTTATTGTGCGACAGACGTACTCCTGCGACTATAAATATAAGACAATTGTGTCTAATTTAAGAATAATTAACCTCTTCAGTGTAATGACGTGATTAGCACAGTTTGAAGTTATTTGTCAAAAATAAAACAAAAATTATCTGTCCATGAAACTAGGTGCGCTCCAATATAGTTAAAAATAAAACTCTACAATTTGTTTTAAAGTTATTTTAAACGTTACGTTTTCTACGCCATAAGATAACTACAACTTGTATAAATGACAATGTGGTGGTGGTGATTACATGAGGCGATACAAAGGTTAGCTCGAGGGAGGAACGAGAACGGAGAGCGCAAACGTAACCACATCAGCCCTGGGCATAAAGCTGGCCGTAAACGAGTGAAGAGCACCGGGATAGATAGCCGCTTTACGAGATCGTAAAGCGAACATTAACTTCACGATAAAGTGAATCGAGTCTTCTGGCTCGCTGTCACACTGAACTGTAACGTGTTTGGTGATCTGCTTAGATGTTACGCTAGACGCCAGTTGCTTTAAATCCACTTGTAGTTATTAGTGTAGACAAGTCAGGCAAGAGTTTTAAAACAAAATAAAAAGCAGTCAATTATTTTCTGTTATGTAAAAAACTTAAAGAAGAGGCAATTATGTAAAAAAAAAATTACAAAGTAATATTGTTTGTAAAAGAACGTGTTTACAGTTCACGTAAATAAAGAAAGCAATCCATTCAATTTCGGAGCGAATAAAACCTGAAAGAAATAGGCTCTTTAAGAATAATGGGCTCGGGAGGTTGAGATATTATTTAATTTGCTATAAAAATTGCCATCTCTCCGCACAAATTAATTTATCTCAGCCGCGAACACATGTCAGGGTTCGTATTATCTCTATATCTGTTCTCGTGAAATTTAATATTCGCGCAAAGATGTGATGTGATGTCAACATGTGATGTCGCATGTGAAAAGTTGAAATTTCGAATTTGAATGTAGGAGAGGAAAACTACGCAACGGAATTTCCAAAGATAATATAACATGGATAGGTTCTTTAAAAGTAAAATGTTACTGACATTTTCTTAGAAAACAAAAGAGAGGTTCTCCTTGCTATGTGCATTCCAGACGAACGGACAAACAATGTGATCAAATCTTATGTATTTTCAACTAAAGTAGAGTTTTACAAGAGTTCGTTCTCAATATATTGTAGCAGTTGCGTCTTCATTGCAAAAATATATTTTTTGCTGAGCTATTTTTACTAGAGTACTAATTTTGTTTCGTACTTAAATTTGAGGGATTGGCAATTTTTTTCACATGAAAATGGTGTATTATTCCTTTACTTTTTAAATAATAAATTTAACTCACTGCACAAGCTGAGTGTTAAAATTGGTGGTATATTTAGGCTTGGAGACTTAATTACTTTTCGTTTTAAATTACAACTGTTTTAAAAACAATACTTTAATACAATAGGAAATTAATAATAAGTGTTTTAAAGGGAAAGATAAATAATAATTTCTAATGCTACGAACTCGCTACGAAATCCCTACGCCGTAGCACTTCAATAGGTACTTGTCAAATGTGCTTCTTTGTTTCAAATGAGTGTCGAACTTTCGCTGTTGGAAGCTTCGAATGTTTACACACAGGAAAGGCTGATAATATATACATATTTTACCCATTCTATTGCAAATGTAAACTTGTTTATCCGTCGTGCTAAATAAGCTAATAGATTATTGTTACAGCATTAGGAAATAAGAAAGGCTTTGTTAAATCCCAGTAGAGTTGTATCCTACTATGTCTTTCTCAACTTACTTCTACACAAATCCTAGATTACTCTTCCGCATAATTTTTTTATTGGTTAAAAGAAAGACAAAATAAGGTATAGATTTAGTTCGATTTCGTTATATTTCTTTTCAAATCGCATTCTATGTATTAATAATATATCATTTAACTGAAAAATAACGCTTGTCTATTTATAACATTGAATATATTGTTTACTAAAGTTTCTTATATTTTTGAGTTGATCGGTCTTCGAATTTAGAGCAGTTCCAATAGCTGAAACGTATTTAAGCTATACCCAGAAATACAAGTTGCGATAATCAAATTCAAATAAAGGGCGCTCAACGCCTGAGAAGATTTGAGCGAACGTTTACATAAAGACGTCAAATGTTGATGTTTAAAATTTGAAGGGCGGAGCATCAAAGGTTTCAATCCGTCCGATACGGATGATTAGATCCAATTATCCGTGAACAGCCGTCGCACATTGGCAGCTGATTGATCGCGTCGATTTGACCAAAACTATCGATTCGAAAGCAATTACGGCCGACTAATTTACATTTTATTAATCGTTACGTCACAGCCAGGCCGAAGCTGACTGTTCTGTTAACTACATATCGTTATTAGTAACTGTTAAAATTACAATGTGGTTGAGGGCATATTGCTATAAAACACGGTTAGTAACCTTGAAGTCTTTCGTCGTTGTCATTACACTGTCAATTACGTCATACGTACACGAGTGTTTTACACCAATATAAGCTAATGTATTAAAAACATTCTTTTGATTTTGTCGTAATAAACAGTCTCTATAGTTAAAATGTTAAACGCGTTGTCACCGCTTCGCGTAACGTTCAAATCGAGAGAAAACAAGAAAAACTTTTTCCATTAGACAAGTGTGACTAATAAACGCGTGTGTTTGATATTTCGAATTCGCTTTTTTAATCCGATTTTCCTATCGAAACGTTATGCTTCGAAGAATATAAATGTTAATAGACACTATATGATAGAAAGCCGTGTTCCGCATTGCGCAATTAGGTAAGGCAACGAAGGTGACCCTTTTAATTTTACTTTTTAATATAATTTAATGTTTTAGTGGGTGTAGCCCAGTACGAAAAATAATTATGTAAATATGCGATTCAAATCTGCAACATCTGTCTCCACTTTCGAGAGTGTAGGCGATGGGTTTTTAATAATTTAACTTTCCTTAAATTGTTTTCTTAAGAACGCACAGAAGCACAGAAGTCTATAAAGTTATTTGTCGTGTTCTTTCAAATTCAAAAAATGGTACGAAACCTTTGCTAAAGTGTATCTCACGCTCACTTTTCCCTTGATACGACGCTTTCCATAATCTTTTTATAATGTTCATATTCTCCGTATAGTGTGGAGCGGGTGTAAAGTGAGTTATTTTCTTTTGTGAAACTTTACTCGAACAGAAATATTCGCTGAAATTTTTCAACACAACACAAAATTGCTTTTTTTTAAATAACTGGTAGCCTGTAACAATTTTGTATTTAGCTTAGGTTTAAGTATCTACTACTAATTTTGTGAATTTGCGAACCACTTGATATTAATTAAAGTATAACAGACAGAATCTGAAATGAAGGCAGTAAATATGAACAATCAGGTCGACTTTCGATTACACCTGTGCACTGACTGTACTCGAGAGAATCAGAACCTTTTAGTTGGCGATGAAGCCTGTAAGCCTTTTCTTCGGCACTTAGGGGCGATTACGAAAAAATACAAAGAAACTCGAAACAAAGGCGTTATTGAATCAGCCGAGCCGAGTGCAGCGTTACCGTACATGTTTTAAGAGCGAAATGATGCTGAGTGCCAACCCTATTGTTCGCAGACTAGCGATTACAGTTTTGTCGTTGGGAGCGAGCTTTTACTCGACAACTACGACATTGTCCTGCGGCCGCTGGAACGTCCAGGCTGACACATCTGTGTTCGCCTGGGTTTCGATTTCAAAGACGACAAAATACGGCAGAATCAGTCGTGTTAGTTATTTCTGAAAACCATTTCACTCTTTCTTGGGTAGCAGTTTAGACGAGAGGTTTACCAGTGACCACTACTTTTGAGCTATATAATTAGCCACAACCTATTAAAATTGCCTAAACTATATAAATGCATAATAAATATTTGCAAAGGTCTTTATTGTATGATTCATATCGTACATGAGTACACGAGTAGGAAATAATATTAAAAGAAATAATAATTACTTAACTAGCTCAATATTGAATTTCTACAAAAAACATTAGTTCAGCTATTTGAATTTACTTGAAACTGTTCACTCGGCATGTAGGTATAGAAATCAAATTAAGTAATTTAGTGGATACTGACATTACAAGAAATTAAATTCATACTTATACAACAATTTAGTTCTGGGCAACGAAAAAACGATATTAGATAGATATCAACCTACAAGAGAGACAATAAACGTATTATTTTTTTTTTTCTAAAAATACCTAACATCTCGTATTTTTAATGCTCACATAGTCTGTGTCTCGATCTTCCCGAGTGCTGCTCGGAAACAAAAGATACCACAGTATATACATATTTTCGTAAAAGCCGCAGATTTTATCCGTACAATACACAACTAAGAATACCTAGTTAAACAATAATTTACGAGACAAATGAGTTTCTCAGAGAGCATTTGTAGGCGACGTAATCTATTAAATTTAACTATGTAAAGCCTTCGTCAGCTTCAATTCAATGACATTTTCAAGCGTCTGAATAATCTGGAGCCGCTTAACCGGCTCGTCTACCCCTAATACTCATTACTCATTTACGAAATAATTAAGGATAGTAAATGTCTCCTCGGTATATGTATTTTTTAAATCGCGTAGTGCCCGGATTCAAATCCCGGAAAATATACTATTTTTGTATTTTCTTCACGTAGTTTTACCAAATGAATCATAACACATGAATTTGTCTCTAGGTAGTTGTGATGGGCAGCAGCACAACTTCAGACAAAACCATCAACACGAGCACAGATTCCGCCGCCACCGCCCTCACCTCCATCACCGGAACCGATGAGTCCATGGACGCCGAACCCGACCCCCCCTGAACCTCCGCAGAACCTTATAGACGACACGCCCCCCCGCGAATCCCCCCCAGCACCGCCCCACCACACTACCACAGGGGACAGGACAGCTACGAGTTCGAGCCGCCATCGTACGCGAACCCCCAGTCGGCCACCGACGCTATCGACTCGCCCAGACCCGGTCCAGCGAAGTTCATCTTCGATGTACCTATACCTGAACCTCATCAGAATCAGAAAAAGGTAGAAAAGGTAAGAAACACTCACTTGATAAAGAATTACGTTGTTCACTTAAAGCAGACATATAAAGTACACTATAATGTGTTATGTGCAGCAGTGATTTAAAACTAGCACCGAATCGTACACTCTTCTCTCTCTTCCCGACAGAGAAATAAGACGCAAGTGAGCCAACCGAACCCAGAAATAACTGCGCCTTCCACCTCAATCCAAGTTCACGATAAGATCGAACCACCCAAAAGTCCAAAAGTCACTCAAACTAAATATGAAACCCACTTTAACTTTGACCCTGAAACCGTGAGAAGAGGGAGCGAAACTAAAAAGAGAGATAAAGAGTATTACAAAGACGAAGTGAGCAGGCTCAGGAAGCAGCTCGAGGGCACCGAAGTGTTTACAACGACAAGGAGAAGATCTTCCACGCATCAGCATTCCGTTCCACCGCCGTCTTCAAGAAGACAATCGACTGGTTTGTTTGAAGTCTTTGCTGTACATTATTTTCTCTGTCGTTGAAAATCTTCTTCATATCTAATGATATGAAGAAGACTAATATAATGATATCTTTTAAATAAAACACTTTAACGGTTTAAAACGCCATATATTAGTTAAACTTATTTTAAAAATGATTTTTAACTTCTGCCCGACGTTTCGCCGCCGCCGCGTTTCAGCAGCCGTGGTCACGGGGAGACTTTTTCTCTCTCGTAAACTATAGACGATATTTATCTTTATATAAAAAAAACATTCATGTCTGGTGTATAAAAATAAGGAATAGATTTAACTATTTCTAATTTTTTTTACTTTTAGCAGCTCAAGTGCACGTGACAGCCAACCCCCTGGATTCGGCGTCGTCCATGCCGGCCGGGCGCACCACCATCGTCGTGCAGCAACCGTCTCTGTCGTTGGACTACGGGGGCTGTTCCACGATCCTCATCAGGGACGGCGAAGAGGGGAGACGGAGTAGTAGAGCTTGTGACCACATCCAGCAACTCTTGGATGTGACTAGTCAATTCACTTCTGAAGATTTGCACGAGTTTGATAAAAGGTTAGTGACCTCGCGTGCGTTTAATATTGATTCGATAAATCTTGTAGCTTTTATCTTCTTAAAAATATTGTTGTTAGAGAAAAATGGTTAGATTATACTAACTACGTAGTGGCGAAATTAAGAAATGTTTACGTCTACTTAGGGACGAGACATTCGAAGGCTCCGTTCGCTGTTTGTTTTAATTTAAAAAGATCAAAGCCATCCTTCTTTTATCTCGCACAAACAATGATAATGGTTTAAACGACGCAGGTGTCGACAAACACTCGTTTAGAGGAAAGATCTTATTTCGCCCTCGTTCGCTCCTCGCGGGTCGCGTTATCTAACGCGAGACAATTGTGATAAGAATTTATTTTATTACATGGAAGGAGAGATTTTTTAATTTCATTTCGTTTTATTACCTTTGAAAAACGGATTCATAAAAAGTTTGTAATTTTTTTGTTATTGTCATGTACCCTGAAGAAATACTGCTAGTACTGCAAACTTATTAAATAAAAATTGACCTAATACTGCATACGAATCTAATTTAGAATATCAATTCAAGCATTATTAATTACGCCGTAATGAAATTAATTATCCCAAAAGTTACACGTTATGGTAATCGTTCGGAAAAGTTACGCAGAAATTCGTAGGCGAAAACACAATAATTTGAGACTCAATCGCCTCGGGCTCCCGAAACACGTCTACACCCAAATCGTATAGAAAATATTTATTAAATTACGACTTTCTTCAGTGAGGGCGCCTTCCTTTGTGGGACGGTCATCGAATGCGATAATTAACATTCATTGACCGTTGAACCATGAACTGCGCCCGCGAGGAAGCAATTTCTTTCGAAAGGTACAGAATTCCCTTACCTGGATAAAGGAAGGGTCGGCAGTCGTCCAAAGCTTTATTGTTTTGGTGATAAAGCTACTTACGCTATTACGAGAACAAATTTAGACTAATTTGAAACTTCAATTGTGAAAATCAAAAGTGAGAAAAATATTTAATGTAAGTAAACTGCGAGAATTATTTTTCGATTCCGGCAATGTATGCTCTTCCTTTGTCGTTCTATTGTTCTCTGATATACGATATGAGCGCGGTACAATTTTTATCGTTCTTTTAAGCTTAGATGTTGCAATGTGTTCTTTGACTCATTTATAGCGACACATGTCGACGAATCCTACAATTTGTTTGCAATATCAGCTTTCATAAATTTACTGATTCTCTAATTAAACAAGGCTAGAAGTTACGACATAGTCTGGTATATGAAATCCAATCTTCCTAACACTAAGCAGTGCTAATACCTAACATTACGTCACAAACGGGTGTACGCAAATAGGTGACTAATGTATAGTTAGTTACCTATTTAATATTGCCTACTTTATGGGCTTAAATTTTTTAAGTATTCATTTTTTGTTTATTTTATATATTACGGATGACCCATCTGTGAATATCTTACCTCTGTTATGTTAGGTGCGTCGATGGGCTCCTCCTGTAATTACTACCTAATTACTTCCTCTGGCAGATCCCGCTCGCTGATTAACAACTCGACGTTTCCTAATTAATTATTATTGTTTCCTTTACCGAACTGAAAATTTTGCCAACTCACTGCGCAAGGATTGTTTGTTGTCCTATTAGTTGATCGAGCGTTTGAACAGAATTATCGTTTTACTTAATTATAATATTTTTGAAACTAATAGAGATGGATGTAATAAATAAAATAGTGGATATGTCTTCAAGATATTACTTGTGAAGTTCAAAATGTACAATTAAATGGCTGATAAAAATGAAGGGGTCGGATCTCCACCGGATCAGACGCAGAAAGATAAATTTAATTGTCTTCCGAAAGAATTTGATGAATACGAACATTATTTTCCGAAAACAGAAAAACGATAAAATATATTTCTGAATCATATCGAACTTCATTTGGAAATCTCTCGAAAGACGGACTCCACGCATCTCGTTTAGTTGTCGTATGGCCGGGGTATTTCAGTTTACATAGCAAAGCGACAATTAGACTATTTAACGCGAACAAAAAATGTACCACCACAGTGAACTGTACCGTCTCAGTACAGTCCGCAGCGCAGACGAATTGATTTACGAGTACTATTTGAATGCACACATAAATTCAATCAGCACAATTTGTGAGAACACAAGATGTTATCTCTCGGAGCCAGACGAGCGGAATACACCGAATCGATCGCCGATTAAGGATATGTAGCGAATGATTGATGCGGGACAGATCACTAATTAAGCCCGGAGTACTTCGGACCGGGACCGGACTCGGCTCTACGGTAAGCCTTTGAAACGGGGATTATCGGAATCTGCTACTGGAACAGCTGATGATGCTATTAACTTGAAATCTCACACACTAGAAACGGTTTTGGGGGAACCGACGCAGTAGTTTTTTACTGGATTGTTAGTGTTTTGTTTTCACTATCTTAATTCAGGTATGTGTCATACGCTACGTCGACACGATTCAACAGTAACAGATTTTTTATTATTTATTTTTATTTACTTTAATTAGCCGAGCGTGAAAAGCGTGCAACAGTTCGTTTATGCCACGGCTCATAACTTATTTTACATAATAAAATAACACAATACAAGAACTGCTAAGAACGGCGTCCTGCGACTGATCCGAGAAATACTCTTCAATTATTTCCTTACAGTATGTTCGTGTTTCCATTTTGTTCGGCGGGGCTCCGAGTCGCAAATGAAATCGAAAATATAAAATCGTACACAGCAGAAACAGGTGTCACAATAGTCCCGCGCTAAGCACGTCTATTAGCGGCGAACACTTGTCGACACGCGATTACTCTAACAGCGAATAAATATCCACTTTACGAACATTATACTTTTGTTTCGACCTGACACGCGACATTCACCCCGCTGGGGAATGTTTCTACTTTTTGTGACCTGTGTTCGATAACTAATGCACAAGTTATTTTTATTCATCGACATATAGGATAGTGGAACCCAACTGAACGTTAACTAGTAAAGCCTAGGTAAGTAGGTTAGCGTCACTATCATACCTAATTGAAGGATTCTCGGTTTCCTATGGAACGGGAACGAGAAGTTTTATTTATAATTCCTTGTATAAATTAAAAGTAAGTATTTCTCTGTTAAAAGTCGAACATTATCTCTGAATCAAAGCGAATCTTAACACTTAGGTCTTAGGCAGTGGCGTAAGCACAAGTGAGCTTATTATAGAATATGAAAATGTTTATCATATTCATCGCGCATCTTAGAAAATAGGTCAAAGTTAAGATGATTTATAAATAACCCTTCGTAAAATAGCGAAAGTCCAATGCAAGTAGCTCCAACTAAGCTAACTTAAGCATCATCTTGTTCATCATTGTTAATAAGTTATGTGAGTACTGTTTCGATTCGAAAAACTTTGTACCTCTTTCGACGAAGTAGTAAGCAGAGATTTTTGGTCACCGACATACTACTACTACTTCATTTTTGTTGACAAACCACTTGTCTCTTTAACCGCTAGGTATGGCAGCCCCCACCACTCCCGGTCTCAATCGGTGAAAGCGGCCAGGTCTCGGACGGGAGAGCGGCAACTGCTGGGGCTGCCGCAGCAGAGAGCCCGCGTCGCCTCAATGCCCAACACGGGCGTCGAGGAGGAGTACTACCGACTGAGGCACTTCAGCATCACTGGTATGGCTTTGAGTACCTTATCAGCCTCAACACTAACGTCCCACCGAAGCCTCAATCTATCTCATAGGCAAATGTAATCTACTTTTTCTTATCGGGTTCATCTTTGATGATTATCGTAACCATTCTTTAAAATTCTAGAAAATAAACTTTCGTATGTGATTAGGTAAAGGAGTGGTGAACAGAGGTGATTCGCTTCGGTCGAGAAGATCCAGGTCTAACACTTCAGTGGCGTCCAGCGCTTCCAGTACGGAGGCGGTCACGAGGGCATCAGCACCATGTTCATTGGCTTCCTCCAGGTAATTTTTGTCGGATTAGATCTGCTATAGCTTTTAATATAGAATACTACGAAGAAATGCGTCGACCTAGGAATGCGATTACTTTCCCCAGGGACTCCTCAGCCGGCTTGAGCTCGTATAGGGTGCTCGTTCTGGGCGGGCCAGGCGTCGGGAAGTCCAGCCTCGTTGGGCAGTTCATGACCTCCGAGTATCTCCACGCGTATGACACAAGTATAGGTATTTTTAATGTTTACACGCTGCGTATGAATTTGTAGGCTTTTTTAATTCGTGCATTTAAGATGAATACTACGGATATTAATAACTGTATTCTTTGATTTAACTTAAATTAGTTGAAATTTCCAATTTTCCAGCTGTATTTTTATTAACTTTGAACGTTGCCTGTGCGCTTGCTGTGTTAGGGGCATTTTTCCTTAACGAAAAGTAGCTGATTATATGAATAGAGCCGGATTTTCCATACTTACCGACCATGTTTTAATTTTACAGCTTATTTCATTTAATTGTAAATCTCTTTAAATTTTGCGATATTTTCATAATATAAACGGATAACCTTCTTCGTACAACACTGTTTTTCCACAGACTTAGTCGATCGAAGTATCACTATGACAGCCATTCTCGAGACATTATTTCATTTTAGGATTTGAACTCTTGAAAAATGTGGAGTTGAATAGTAAAGTGAATCATGTGTACGGACAATAATTTTTTGGGTAGTCATTTAGGTAATTAATGTTTGTACACATTTTCTACGAACTCACTGGAACGAAGTATACCAACATGTTTATACATGTTATCAAATAAGCACCGACGTCAAATACGTTTGAGACGGTTTCCATGGCAACTCGAGATCATTACTCGTCGAAGATCAAACAGTGTTCAAGCACCGAATAATTACTCTTTACTGAAGCATCCCCGCACCCTTGAGATCGTGTAAGGAGCGGAGAAGGGTTCGTCTTCAAAGGTTACACAAAACACGCGTCGGCCACTCATACGTAACGGGCTATTGGAAAGCTGATTATCGACACGTTTCTGTTTGATCCGAAAAGATAATTTCTATCATTCACACATTTTAGATGACGATTCCGGTGAGAAATCCGTGTGCGTTCTGCTGGCTGGCGAGGAGTCGGAGATCACCTTTCTGGACTCGCCACCTGACAACTTTATTGTAAGTTATTTGGTTCCTTTTTTACTTAGCTCTTGGTCCGTTTTCGCAAGATGTTTTATATTTTGATGCCTTTTGTCTACTTTCATTTCGCTTAGTAATGTTAGACTTCGATACATAGTAATGAGCCTTTTATGCCACGCCATATTGTTAGAAAAACGCGTATTTGTATTTTTCAGGCTGAAGGATGCGCGCACGGCTATTGCGTGGTGTATTCGACCGCCGATCGCGCAAGCTTCGCCGAAGCTGAGAAGCGACTGCAGACGCTGTGGGCTGCGGGCCACACGACCAGGAGAGCCGTGATCCTCGTCGGCAATAAGGCCGATCTGGCCAGGTCGAGAGTTGTGCCGACTGATGGTAAGTACAAAATGCGCCGTCTCCTCCGATTATCAATCTTAGACAAAGGTTACGTCTAAAATGTAGAAAGTGGACATCTTTAAAGCCAGACCATGTGATATAATTAATCCATATAGCAAGACACCAACATACCCAAAAAAACAAATTAAAGAATTCCCATTATTCTTCCCGCGATCATCACAAGTGGCGGTAGTGTTTTGCGTGCTTATATTTTTCTATAACACTACTTTTGTTTTTAAAATGAATTGTACCAAATGCAATGAATCTTTGACGGACTCGGTGTCGTGTGCGCAGTGTTCGGGTGCTTATCATTACGTGTGTGCTGGGGTTTCGGAAACCAGCTACAAGAAAATGGGCCCCGAGAAGCGAGCGGCCTGGCGGTGTATAACGTGCCGCGCCGTGGTGTCTACCGACAACACTACAAACGCTGAAATTTTGAGGGAATTAAAGAACTTGAAATCTGAATTTAATAGTTTCAAATTGGATCTTGATACGGTGAAAAGGGACACTCACGATACAGTGGATGCGGTGCGGGAGTTAACGTTGAGTTGGACCAGTTTGGAAACGCGAATAAATCTCATCGAAGAACGAATGGGCGAACTGGAACTGAAAATAACTAAAATCTCCACCGACTGTGACAGTTCTAGAGAGGAAGTCGCTCTTCTCAAACATAATCATAACCTGCAAGACCAGTTCTCGCGCTTGAACAATGTTGAAATTTTAGGAGTGCCAAGCAAATCAGGCGAAAACCTACACAACATAGTGAGCGACATTTGTGCAGTGACGGGTTTTCGGCTTGAGCCCACCGACGTCGACACAGTTCATCGAGTTAGACAATTCGCAACTCATGACGGGCAGGCCCCCGGCCCCCGGCCATTGTGGTACGTTTTACCCGGCGCAGACGCAAGGACGAGTTGCTTGCAGCCGCCCGCGGGCGCACGGTGACCACAGCCGATATCAAGCTAGCCGGCCCCCAGTCCAAAATATTTATCAACGAGCACCTCACTCCATCCAATAAGCTGTTATTAAAACGTGCCCGCGAGTTAAAAAGTGAACTGAATTATTCCTATTTGTGGGTTAGGGACTGTAAAATTCTTATGCGTAAACACGAAAAGTCAACCATTATTCGCATTTCACAAGAATCAGATTTGTTAAAGATTAAATGACTAGTTCTACGTCAATATATTATTTCTAGAATAACATTTATGTGCATTATGAAGACTCTTTGTTATCAATCATATAATAGATACTGTAAACGTATGTCAGTGCTCATCCCAACCCATAGTATAAAACCATTAGTTATTACCTACGTTACCTTGCGCTATTTATTATTTGTTTTCACTCAATTCTTTATATGGTAGATAATAGCTTAAATTCGTTTAATATTTACTTCCAAAATGTGCGGGGCCTACGTACAAAATCTAATTTATTTTTTGCCAATGTTCTAAAAAGTCATTTTAATATAATATGTCTCGCCGAAACGTGGCTTACGAAAGATTTTAAAGACGCTGAATACTTTAATAATAAGTACAGTGTTTATCGTAAGGATAGATATGACACGGTAACGAGCGGTGAGACGGGAGCCGGGCCATCGCGGGGCGGTGGTGTGCTGATCGCGGTGGAGCGGGGGCTGCGCGTGCGCCGCGGACGATTGGTGCTCGTCACAGTCGGCCGAGGAGCTTTGGGTGAGCGTCGACGCGTGTAGCGTGCCGTGACCGTGCTCCTCCGCGATCACCGCATACACGAAATTACAAAAATGTTTTTCTGCACATCGCTTGTTGTTACTTCCCGCATAATAATAATCATTTGGCCTCGTTACAAATGTTTTTTGAAAACGCCGCAAAACTTATATTAGACAACCCTAATGATGTTTTTATTCTTCTTGGAGACTTTAATATATCTAATGCGATTTGGGAACCGAGTAATGACGTTTGTACTTATTTTAATTTATATACAACACTAAACGACACTAAAGTAAATGCCTTGATGGACTTTATGAATTTTAGTAATATCCGCCAATTTAATAATTGTCGCAATATAAACAATCGGGTTTTAGACCTCGTCTTGAGTACTATAAATTGTAAAGTAAAGCCAGCTAATCCTACCCTTGTCTTTGAGGATCTCCACCACAAGGCACTCGATATTCGGCTTTCCGTCTGTAATATTCGATATATTGCCGAGAAAAGCAGAATTAAACGGTTATATCATGCGGCCGATATTGACAGCATAAAAAGAGAAATTGCCAGCGTTAAATGGGTTGAAGAATTATCATCGCTAAATATTAATCAATCTGTAGAATATTTTTATACATTTTATAATAATCTAATGATTAATTTTGTTCCATCCCGTGTTGCATCAGTATCTACAAATTCCCCCCCTTGGTATTCTAAAGAGTTAATAAAAACTATACGTAGAAAATTAAAAATTCATTCTAAATGGAAACGTTACAAAAACCCCCGTGATTATTTAGATTTCAAATTCTTACGTGCTAAAGAAAAGTTGTTACAAAAACAGTGTTATACTAATTTTATCAATTTATCGGAAGAAAATATTTGTGCTTCACCTAAATATCTTTGGTCGTATGTAAAATCTAAACAAGGCGTAAACAATATCCCTACTTATATAAATTACAATAATTTTACTTCTGAAGATGGTGATACCATTTGCAACATGTTCAATGATTATTTTAATTCGGTTTTTGTTCAACATGATAATCTTAGTTACAATTATCCAAACTTAAATCAAAATTATGCAACTGCAAATTCTCAGACACATCCTTTGGTAGACATTTCCCATTTTGATATTCCCGAAGACTTGGTTAAGGAACATTTCGACCAGTTAGACGTTAGCAAAGGTCCTGGTTACGACGATGTTCACCCATTCCTAATTAAAAAACTTAGCTCTGAACTCTCTGTACCTTTAACCATAATATACAATAAATCAATTACTGAAGGCTGTTTCCCAGATATTTGGAAAAGAGCTTTGATAACACCTATATCAAAGGGTGGCGACCCTCATGACGTCAAACAATACAGACCCATATCTAAACTTAGCATACTCGGTAAGATTCTGGAGAAAATACTAGCTAGACATTTATGTATATTACTGCACAATCATATTCCTAATGAGCAACATGGTTTTGTTCAAGGTCGTAGTGTTAGTACTAACTTAATTTCCTTTACAGATTATATTCTAAAGTCCTTAGCTATAGGACAACAGGTCGATGTTGTGTATGCTGATTTTTCAAAGGCCTTCGATAAAATAAAACATTCTCTTCTTTTAGACAAGCTTTTGGGGATCGGCATTCATGGCAATCTTCTACGTTGGATAGCTTCTTACATTAATAACCGTAGTCAGGCTGTTGCTCTGAAAGGATACCGTTCCAGGTTCCTCCCGATACCCTCTGGAGTACCTCAAGGATCCCATTTGGGGCCCTTGCTATTCACGATTTATATATTTGACCTTCACACTTGTTTAGCAAACACAAGTCATTTGCTTTATGCAGATGACACAAAAATATTTAAAGTCATAAATTCAATTAATGACTGTATTGACCTTCAGAGTGATCTTCAGTCTTTTGAAAATTATTGTTACGAAAATCAATTGTTTCTCAATGTAGAAAAGTGTAATACAATAACCTTTTGTCGCAAAAATAACCCCTTAAAATATGACTACAAATTATTTGATAGGACCTTAAGTCGAGTAACTTCTATTAGAGATCTTGGAGTCACTCTTGATTCCAAGCTACAATTCAATGTTCACATTGATAATATAGTGTCTAGAGCTTTTAAAATATTGGGTTTCATATTAAGAATTTCCAAACCTTTTAAAAAGGCTACAACCTTAAAAATACTATTTAACGCATATGTACGTAGTTTATTAGAATTTTGTAGTGTAATTTGGAGTCCCCAATATAATAATCATATTAATAGAATTGAAAAAGTTCAAAACAAATTCTTAAAATCGTTAGATTATAAATCAGGTTCGAATTTCGTAAATTATGAATTGAGTTCCAACAGACACAACATCAAGTCACTAAGGTCACGCCGTGACTATTTAGATGCTATTTGTCTGTACAAACTAATACATAGCAGTATTGACTCTATACCTATCCTCGAGCAAATCGGTTTTAAAGTCCCCCGCCCTTCTTCCCGCATCAAGGAAACGTTTCACATTCCCACAGCGAGCACTAACTACGTGAAAAATAGTTTCATTATAAGAAGCTGTGATTTTTATAATAAGAATTTGAATTCAGTCGATATTTTTTCTAGTGGTATCTTTAAATACAAAACTTGTATATCTAAATTAATACTTAAGTCGTAGTTACAAAATTATTGTTATTATTTTTTAGATATTTTCTTTTACTGTGTATCTTGTTGTATTTACGTCACGTATATTTAATTAAGTGAAACTTTAGGTCTATTTGTTTAACATTTTAAGTAATCCATTGTTTTTTAAGTGACTGTTTGTTTCTTTTCCAAATAAAATAAATAAAAATAAAAATTATTGTCAATTAATACTGATGGAATGCTACACAAACTTAAAAAATATTTATTAATATTTTAACAGCTAATACTTAATCTTACTATAGATGTAAAAAGTGGAAAAAAAGGGAAGCACACGAATAATAGAAGAAAGAAATTGTCGACAAAAAACAATATAAGTTATTTTCGCTCGAATAACAACAATCAATATTTGACGTAAGCCAATATCCCGAGATCAATTGAAATAATTACGCAAATGTAAACCAACGCGAAATGAGTTCCTTCGCCATTATTCCGTTCAGATTTATTACATTATGATGTTAATCAACATTTCAATTAAACCACGGGAAACAACATTTCCAAAATTTGTCATTTCATGAGCAGCAATGAAAATAAGAACAAAGTAAAATGGAGTACGAGATAGACACAAAACTTCTCCTCTCTGTATCCTAATTGACGAACCAATTTTATTTGCTCGATTCTTGCCCAGGGTTTGCAACGCTAGCAGCTTTTTTTCTGTTGCTATTGAAGACGAGAAGCTGAAATTCTATTTAAATTTATTCTAGCTAGCTAACTACACTCGTCAAAGCTTCGGCGATTAAATACTAATAAAATTAATTAAGTTTCCGCTCAACGGACGAATGTATAAAATCGTAGATTTGATGCAGAGCGACTTACTGCAGCTATTGCACGAGGGTTTAAAATACCCCGATGAAAAGCTTAAAATTAAAATGTCTGACCGCTAAAGGTTTTCCGCGAAGACGTGAAAAGCGAAATAATTTGCGAGTTAATGTTCGGCGCCGCGACGAGGCTGCCTAATTACGAAGTAATTACAAACTTTATATAAGGTCTTATTCTTATGACGCGAAACTCATTTCGACGCTTGGCTTTATCCCGTTTATTAATATAATAAACTCGTGTTCAAAGTAAATAACTACATAGAAAAACTCTTAAACATCTAATATAACTAAGTATTTAGCGATAATACGGAGATACAATATTTTCACATTTGTACTTCTATGAATGTTTACGATTCTATAATATTCGAATAAGACATTAATATTCTAAATTGTTTGAATTATAATCGACATAATTATTATGCAAAGATATGCATTTATTCCGTTGCTACTTAGAATTGTAAAGATGCTGCCGGCTGCTGTTGTTGCATACAATAAAAGGTAATATGGATTTAATTTTAGTTTACAAAAACGAGAAAACTTTTATTCACTTTAAATTATTAATTACTTCCAGTCAATCACCAACACGTCTACAACGGTTTATTAAATGACTGGTTCTCTAGGATTTTTTGGTCACGCTCCGTTAACATATAGTTTTAAATTTTTAGTAACGACTAGTAGGTAAGCGTCACCGTGGAACAACTCTACCGGCTTAAAATATATGTATATACATTTATATTCTACGCTAGAGGAGGATAGCCGAGCAATATGACATCGAAATAAGATGCACCGTCGACCTATTGAGGCTTCAGACTTTGAAAATTGAGACTCCGCAACGCGATAAAACTTCACGGCTTTTGCTTTAGCAAAAATACTGCAGTATAATAAAAGAATATTCTTACATCTGTAAAAAAAGGTTTGAAAAATAAAACTCTTAAGAAAATGTACATAAGGCTATCACAACTGTTCCAGAGGGCAAAGCCCTAGCGACGTCGTACGAGTGCAAGTTCATAGAGACCTCGGTGGGGATCAACCACAATGTGGACGAGTTGCTGGTGGGGCTCCTCACGCAGATCCGATTGAAGCAGCAACACGCGGAACGAGTCAGGTATACTCTTCGAGACCCGAGCATTTAGAATATACAACTTGGTGACAAGATTTATTCTAGGGTTAATCTCTCATTTCGTTAAAGGAAACGCAGCAGCTCCCGAAAGAATCGAAGCCGTGCGCGATCTCCCCTGGAGGAGCCCACCACGACTGCTCCAGCGCCATCCTCCGCTTCTAGCACACCGCGAAAACGCACACGACTGTCCGCCAGTGTCAAGGTCAAGACTCCTTCTCTGAACCCAAATTCAACCATATTATTTAGTCTACATTCGGCCACGTCGGCTCGTTTTTCTCATGGTACCAATGTATCGCTAACAATAACGGGTCGTGGGGTCGAGCCCCACCTGCTCCAACATTTTTCTATTTAATTTAAAAATTTACTGAAACATGTTGAATTTCGTCTGATTCGCATAATATATAGGTGGTAGGAATATCGAAATTACGTCGGGGTCACGAACCACCGACCACAGATGAAAAATCTGTTAAGTTTAATCGCGGTACGGTTTCAGTCTGTGGATTTCCGAATATCCAAACCATCCAGTGAACCTCCTCTACATGTTTCTATCTATCTCAATGGCTACTTAACGTTCCAGGTCCGCGGTCTCTTGGGCCGAGTGTGGGCGCGAGACTCGAAGTCCAAGTCCTGCGAGAATCTGCACGTCCTCTAGCATTCGATCGCCGAGCCCGTCGCCTGTTTCCCATTCTTTGACTGCGCCGTCACTTACTCTTAAGGGAAACTTACCCCCTAGCGTGAACCCCATTTAGTCTGCCGTTAAAAGCCAGGACACTCGAGCGTGACCAACTTGTACCTTTATACCATATATACCCATATCTTAATAAAAGTGGTCAACCGTAAAACATATAAGCAACAACAAACCATCAATAACTGTTCAAACTAAATGTTTTCAAGTGCGCTCTAATATCCTGGCAACGTCTTTTAAATAAAACACTTTCACGGTTAAAACGCGAAATACTTTAGTTAACTTCTTTTTTCAACTAGTGCCGGACGTTTTGGATGCTTCCTAGCAGTTGCATCACGGCGGACTAAAGATGGAGAGTGTCCCTAATGTCAAAGTGCAATTTGGTACGCTAGCGCCATCTGTCGTCGTTTTTGATTTTTATAAAATTTGACTGGGTCCTTACAGAACTGACTCAAGGTGTTTTCTCGTTTACTGTGCCACTTTTTTTTCCAGTAAACGAGACAACGGTACCATTCTTAAAACAGTTTAAAATTAAGTTAACTATTATATTTCGGGTTTTAAACTGTTAAAAGGGTTTTATTCCGATTAAAACAATTTGTACGTCCATAAGAGGTCAGCGTCCGTTTGTTAATTTTAATTATATATCTCTTTATAAGGTAGGTGAGAGAGAAAGCGCGCAGCAATTAAAGGGGGTCGACGGGTCGGCGAGAACGAATTTAATATTAAAACAATTTGCAATGAATTTGATGTGATCTCGTTGACAACTCGGGTTGAAATGAAGGCAACGGAAAGTATTAGTAGACTATAGAGTGCGTGTTTGTTGTTGTAGGTGACAGTGGTATTTCTTTCGAAAGACAGTCATTACCTATATTGTATTTTTTCTTACTTGGCAGTTTTCAGTCTCTATAAAATGGCGTTACTAAATCTTTTGCCAAGTTATAAAAAATACACTATAGTGTATTTTTGTGTTTCGCCCTACCGTGACGAGTCACGATATACTAGTCAGAAAGACATTACAATGTGATATTGCTATCGCCTAGAACGATGAGCGTATTGTACACTAAATAATATTATTATGAAAATTATATGTGATCCCCGTGTCTCCTAATTGTAACATTTATTCACACCAACTAGATTAACATAAACAAAGTATTTGATAATACGCAATTATTATAGGATTAGGTATTGTGTAATATTTCCTGTATGATTTTATTACTCCTTGTTTACTATGTTAGTATACCTCAGTAGTTATATACTCTCATGATTATTGCTATGCTGTCACCTTACAGTGCAGATTACGGCGAGAACTACGAATCATTATAACCATTTTTTTTAGAAATACAAATGCGGTTCCCTTTAACAGAGAACTATGACAATTTTAAATAAAATACTTCCGTTTCAAGAAAATATCTCACCGCGATCTGCACATCAATAATAATTGACAATTGGGTCCATGTTTAAACCAAAACGAATTAGTTATAGGCCGAAAAGAACTTCGTCCTCTATCTCAACACAAAGTTTAACATCGATATAATAAATTCGACTGATTTAAGCGCGATATATTGATAGCTAACAAATGTTCAAAGATATCAAGTATTGCTACTCTAGCGCCATCTCTGTCGGCGGGATTGAACTTAAAGAAACTTTACGTCTGTTTTTCAGCGTAATTATTCACCTACGACACATTCCGTTTAAATCCGTCGAAATTGTTAAACATGGCTTCTTCCGAGATAGGTTCATAGTAAATAAGACGTAGACATTTTTTGAGTGCCTCGATTAGTGGAAACATTTGTTATTCCCTCCGAAAAGACCTGTTTGCCTTATTTTAATAGAATTTCTTTAATGCGTGTGGAATAGACGCTAGATTGGATTATATTTAAAAATAATATGTGTGTAGATATTATATTCGTGTTATATGTATCGATGTGAAGATTTTTCAAGTTTACTCGTGGTTTTGAGCAGCTCCCGGGCCGCCACAACGGTGCATACGTCAAACATATATTTTACATTTGCGCAAATAGAACTACACACGAGCTGCTTATGAAACAATCGATTCGTCTCAATGTCAGTGGATAAAACAAACTAGATTTAAGTTCCTTTGAATAAATAATCTTTACGTCTACGGGCAATTTATAAACTGTCATCGAATTATAAAAACATACACTCGAATGTCCTTTAAAGTGTATAAATGACGATCGCAAAGAGTATTCATTCAAAACGTTAATCGTAATATTTTGTAAACGCTTAAACCCAGGGTCCAATCAAACACCAATTCCACTTCATCCTTGGACTATCCTGGCTCATTCTAGACCTAGTCATCGACGATAGATCTTTAGCTCCCATTTATCAAAAGGATGTTTAAGCCCTAATTGCAGATCAGGGATGAGACAATAATGAATTAGACAAAGTAGACACTTTTTTCCTTCTCCACACGTTTTGGCTTTGTTTCTAAAGGAGTTCTCAAACTCGCTACTTCAGCCGAACGAACAATTATTTTGTATGAGATTTGAAGCTTACTTCGCTAATTATGTTTAATACTATGTAATACCATTACTTCAAGTAGCGATGGGTGAAGTTTTGTTTTTATAATCTACAATGTAGCGATGATAGTAAATTGATAATGATTTTCTAATGATCTTCTAAGTATATTACAATAAGTTTTAAAGCTCGTTATCTGCCACTCGAGTTAAGTCACAATGTAGCAGCTTGAATTTCCCATTTCTTCCTATTACTTAGTATTTTACTTCAATAATAAATTAAATAAAACTAGTGTAGTTTTGGAATGGTCGTCGCAATTTTTTTCTGAAAATTGCCCATCGCAACTTAAGGTTAATATATCGTAATAAATAGCTTCTCTAAGCTCGTTCTATAAAAACTTTGAGGTCCCCAAGTCTGAAGCTAACATAAGTTGAAGCCTAAAGTAATCCCATTGGACCATGTAAAGCAATACCTTGTAAGAGTAGGATCTAGAGGTCGATTTAGCCGTAGGCGTAGCGTAGCGTTTTGTATTTGATCTCGTTAAAGCGTCAATCATTGTACCACCTTGGCACCGAGGGGCGAAGTTAACCAATCTTACGTACCCAGTATACTTTATTTCATACTCTGTGTAAAACTTAAATAATGGCAAATATTAAAATTACAAGTCAAAGCACAATAAAAAAGACACGACGTCATTCTGTCACAGTTAACCGTGCGTAGTGTTATTTTATTTATAACATTACGCACCCTAGTATTTAGCCAAAATTGTCTTTTAAAAGCTACCTGTATGAGGAAAGGGAAAAAGAATTCCTCCTTTTATTCCTCTTTAATTTCATCGAATATTCCTCTTCCTACTCGTATGTCCTATCTATGTATGTATCCTAAAAAACATTTTAAGATAATTTCTCATTTTATATTTACCAATAACGTAAAACTGTAGTGTTTATATATTTTTATTTTATCTTTTTAGTTTATCTACATTAATATAATTATTTTGCCTAACTCTCCTGATCACGATATAGCCGTCATTTCCTTTTTCTCCGTGTAAAGTTTCCCTATCTTTAACCACAGCCTTTAACTTGACACTGGCAAATAGTTAATTCTTCTTGCCTTAAATGAAAAAAAAAACATTACGCACAGATTTTTTCATAGCAAAGAGGTTTTGTGTCAAGAAAGTGGTCAATATTTCATTAATAAAATTAACTTTGGGAAATAAAATATAACAAATAAACATTGTATTCTTTAATTAATTAATTTGACAATAAATTACAACCATTTATCTGTAACAAAAACACAAAAATATTAATTTACTTTATTAGTAATACTGGCTGTTTTTGTACCTTTCTGCCTGAATTTCACAACGATAAATGTCGATACAAAGCGAAAATTTTACCGAACTGTTTCTTCTTCATTTTTTTTTATACATTTCTCTATACTCGACACATTGCTCGTCTACAATAATAATAATCTGTTTAGTCTCCGCGATGAGTATATCTATAAATAGTATAATCTGTTGTAGAATAATCTATGGGAATGTAGTAATTGGAACGCAGGTAGCGTCGGTAAGGGTAGTTGACAGTGATCTGTTGCGGCGTTCGGCCGTGTGATAATTTGTGTCCAAATGGACGCTCTCTACTTCAAGCCCAAGAGCAATTATTTTTTCGTTTCTTCGCAATACGCGTGTGTCGACAGTTCGTCGTCGCCATCTTGTGCCATTTTCACAACTTGTATTTGCCATTATTTAAAACTATTCCGTGTTAACCGATATATTGAAGCAAGAAATACAGGCGTTATTTGTATTGTAATATTCGGGTAACTAGTAACAGTGGCGTCGGCAGTCTTTGTCTACCCACAAAAACCTAGATGCGTAATTGTAGTATATTATTAGATATGTACACTACTCCCAGTTGGCTTCACTCGCATATTGAATGGCGTTGATTTTTCACTTTCACCTTTCGACATTTTACTTGTATATGCTTATTGCTGCTTTGTTACTGTCATATATCTTTAGCGCAAGCGCTACCGCGATCTTTGATAACCATCGCAGTGGGTTCAGTTCCCACACGGGCACGTCAAAATGTCAAAATCACAAGTTTGATCGCGTATGTGCATGTTAAAAAAATCGAACCGTGCTCTTACAAGTAACAAATTAAAAGCATTCGTCCGCAAAGCAACAAGTAAGCCGGTACGAAATGTTTTCGGCTTGAATCTTGTTGACTGAGTTTTTATTTTCGTGAGTGATCAACGCCGCCGCCATTTTTACTCATCACGCCATAACTAGATCCATCTAATCCGATATAATATGAACATATCTTATACAATTTCTGATAAATTTATAATATTATGTGCACAAGGTTCCGTACGTAGCGGGTAGAGTAGTCCGACGCTCGCGGGTTTTTGAGCAAGTCTCGTTTTGTAGATTTTCTTTACTCTATAGCGTTACGCCGTAATTATGTTCAATGTGACATTTCTAAATATATTCTGATGTTTTCTTATAAAATAAACCCTTGTTTCATTATAACCTATGCATACAGTAAAAATACTTTTTTTTTTCAAATATTTATTGATTGTTTTTATAAAAATAGACTTTGTACGTTAATTTCTACCTTAATAAAGTAAAATAAGTATTATTAATACTCAACGAAAATCATTTGGTTAATTTGTTCGGTAAATGTCGTTATTATTTTCGTTTGTACCTTTCGACGTATATTGTGACAATAGAGTCTGGAATTATCTAATGGATATGGGACTTAACATTCATTTTGAGGATTCATAAGGACATGACACACAAATGAATAAGCCAACGACATAAACAAAAATTTAGTCTTGAAAAGACATTTTAGCTTTGAGATTCGTACAATTGTGATTTTAACTGGAGTCTTTTATTTTTTTTCCTGTTATATATTATAGTACCTATTTTTAAAGGTGCTAGGTTAATACCTACGATGAGTAAATGTATCGTAATCGACACATTTAGTCATCGCTTCAAAAGTCTATCTAGAACCTTTCCTAAGTTTGAAACTGTGTATACTTGTGCACTTTTTTCAACTACCCACAGTTGAATTTTGACTTCTGTTCAACTTTACAAGTGAAGATGATTTCTGGGCCTTCTCAGTCGGTTCAAATCACGTAGACACGTTTGCGAACTAATGTAATAAATTAGTAATTTTCATTGTCGAACCACTGCCACATTTTTGGCTTCGTGTAATCCAGTTCATACTCTTCACATTTTTGACCCGTTAGCCTGCGAAATATAGTAATTGGGAGCATTCAAAATAAATTGTCTCTTTTTTACCATTTTTTTATAATTATAAGTCGGATTTATTTATTATGGAGCTACGTAGTCTCTTAGTAGTACGTTACGTACAATATAGAAGTATTATACAATTTTTTCTTTTTAAGACAACTGGAATATTGTGTAAAATTTCTAACTAGCCCACGTTTCTAATTACTTACTAGTGAGAAAATGAAGGTAGTTTAGTTACCTGGTTCTGCGCATACACTTGACGATAGGATGAGCTCGCCTAAAGCACTGCGGTCCCAGGACATTGAAGTAGGTCAGTCCGATTTGAGCCGACACCAACGAGTTGGTGCGCTTCAGACATTCTCGAAATTTTGCGTCACAGCTGCAGTGCGACCTGAAATATAACATTCGTAACTTAAATTTAAGATAAAGCAGTATTTGAAACGAAGCATTCTACATTTTATCAATTAGGGACATACAACGTAGCTGAACTGAACTGAACAGGTGCCATGCTCGCGACTTTTCCACGTAGAATAGTTATTTTGGACATGCAAATTAGTTTTTGCAAACTTCTCTTCATCATTATATATTTAACCTGTTACCCACGACGCCGGTCGCGTCCTGTCGTTCTTGCAAGTTAAACTTAAAAGGCACACAGGCATATTTTTCGGGTATCTTGAACTGTTTTCACAGCGTACGCACCGGAAACCCACAAAGATGACATATTTTCCCGCTGCTACTTCGCTCCTATTAGTCTCAGCACGATTTATAGCCTTTCTCGATAAAAGCTCTAACCCTAACCAACACAACAATGATATTTCAACTCGAACCAGTAGTTCCAGAGATTAGTGCGATCAAACAAACAAACAAACTCGTCAGCTTTATATATTGGTAAGGAAGGCAAAATAAAACCTTAAATCTCAACAAAAGACTTCATTTACATTTACGTCTTATTCGGAGAGCTCGCACCATTAAGCTTAGTACGCAGTCTCGGAGTTCGGAAGTAAGAGCTCGCTTCGTTCTCACATTGGATAACTGAGTGACGCAACTCGTCTCGGGGTGAAAGTCTCCGATCTTATTTTGTACGCTAACTTGCTTTCGGCTGTCGAAGTTATCTCGCCGAATCGCCGACACAAAGGGCGACATATTAAGATGTTGCGCCACTACTGGAAACTAAATGGACTCAGATCGCCGCCTTGACATGCAACGTAAAATTCCACTCTGATGATTTATGAGCTTTAAACGCCAAATGCCAAATATGGGAGATGAATCGTCGGATGATGGAATCTGATTTAGGAGATAAATCATTCTTTTATCGAGATGAAAAGAATTTGTCGCTTAATACGAGCTGAGCTAGCCAACTTTCTATGAATTGTTTTTTTTTCTTATTTAATATATTATATACCTATTTTTAAACCAAATGACGAAACAGTACGTCGTAAAATAACGCGCTCCTTAATTAAATATCTTATCTATCGCTTCGACTAAGCGCAATTGTAAAACCAAACAACATGTAATATAGGGTCGCTAGAGGCAGAGTAGCCTAACTGTAATTGTACGACCTAAATTATTTATATTGTCATAGCCTAAAAATGTTAATCTACAAGAGCGTAAACCGTCACCGAAAATTGTTAACATAACTCTTACACAGATTATATTATAGTACAAATTAATTTTCGCCTAAGTTAATTGCGCGTTTTTATTTTACTGCTTGTTGAATATCATGTTTTTTGTTGTTAGGCCACTCTAGCGGCCTCTTATTACGATAATGTCCTTAAGGTATCGGCTGAAACGACACTTTGAATTAAACTGTACTTTATCTAAATTGTATCAAGTCGTGAGAAACGGCAGACGGTATGACACAACGGTAGAGTTCAAGTAGCGATTGCGTGCGCCGTTGATGTAGGTCAGTGTTAATGTGGGAATTTCATATAAACACTAGTATGCCAATTGTGCTCCACATAAAAATAACTTTGTTTCTCGGTTACTTAATCTGATCTAAGTTTGCATCAAATTAAACTCACAGTAGACATAGAGATAGGAAAAATCATGACGGTACTTTAGCGGTTTTAAATGCGAAATATATTGGTTAGCGTAGGGGGGGGGGGATGGTTCCAGGAGGGGTTGTTCGGGGGATGATATAGCGATTTAAACCGTTCCTCCGAAATTAGTTTTATCGTTGTAAAATACTTCGTTTCGAAACGGTATTGCGTCGGCCAATGACCTTAGTCATAGATAGTTAACTTTTCAAAACTATTTAATTGTTCAGTGCGATTACTTATTACTACGGATGAGAATCACGTTTTTTACTAAAGAACTAGTATGTTATTTTAAAATACTATTACAAGAGTTAACAGTAATAATGTTAAATACTGTCTATAGTTTACGCGAGTAGTACACTTTTAAATAATACACTTTAACGGTTTAAACCGGGATATATTAGTTAAACTTATTTGAAAATGATTTTTAACTTCGACCCTTCGGCCCGACTTTTCGGATGCTTTGCAGCAGCCGTGTCTCCCCGTGACCACGACCAATTTAAAAGTAATAATGTTTTTTAGACCAACGACAATCAGCTTTAACACCGGTTAATTGAAGAGTTTTTGTTTATCGAGTCTAATAGAGTTTCATAATAGCTTTATTCTAAAAGTTTGGTTGTGGTTTGTTAATTGTGCTAGCGGGTTTTCATTTTATCTCGTCACAGTACCTGGTAAAAAGACCGGTATTTGTCAGCCCGAACTTGGTCTCTCCAGCGGAGATATACAGCTTGCAGGAGTCGTGTTGTCTGCAACAAGTGTCCGTGAAGAAAAACAACCCCAAGTCGCTGGAACGAGCCTGAGCCGAATGCCCGTCTCCACACCAGAGAGTTCCTGAAAAGGATTCGATCTCATCTGAGCATAAGTTCAATTGATAGGGTTATTGGTCTAAAAGTCTCTTGTATCACTCAGTTCTAATCCTCTTCTTCCCATAATTCTCGATCTCCTTAAATCTTAATAATCTACAGTCAACATGGTCTCATGACTTACCTGGATAAATAGCCTGCACCCGATCCTTAAACGTATCGAGAACAGAGTTAGCAGCATTAGCGACGCTGGTCACCCCCGAGGCCAGGCTGTTCACGAAGCCTCTGTCACTGTCCAAGGACCCGATATCGCGGACACCCGCCATCCACTGGCTCAAGGGTTTGGTGAGACCCGTCGAGATCGACTTGATGACGCCTCTTGTGAATTGGCCTGAAATCAGTAGGGTTTTTTTTTAACAGCAATAAAACATAATCGCGTAAAAAGGAGCTTTCTATTTGTTTTCGCCTGTTATAAAGTTATTTTTATGTTTTAGTCGCAAGGTAATGTTTTATAGCCTATAGCCTTTCTCGATAAATGTTCTAACCAACACAAAAATAATTTTTCAAGTCGAACGCGTAGTTTTGAGATTGGTGCGTTCAAACAAACAAACTCATCAGCTTAATATATTAGTATAGATTACCTTTATTGTATCTAATTTCTGTTTTATAAAAATGTACAAATTACCAATGCCACCGTTCTCCTCTCTACTTCGCAGCCTTTCCGCCTCCAAAGCTTCGTTCTGTTTCTGCATTCGCTTCAGTAAGTCGTACAATGTCTTTGGAAATAATCTCTCCGCCACACTATCCACCACCCCTTCGACGACGCTCCCAGCGAAGCCAAATATCACTGACAGAGCGTCTGTTTTCGGTGTCGGAGTGGGGACTACATCTTTCAAGTCATAATAATCCTCTGGCACTTCTTGCTCTTCCGTATCCAATTCTGTGAAAACTGGAACATCTTCTGTCAACTCCGCGCTTTCTGTGACTCTGTCTATAACTTTTGTTTTGTTAACGTCCGCTTCGTCTATTACAATCGTAGTTGAGTCTGTTAGGTTCGCAGTGTTGTTGAACTGTGTGGATTCTGTAGTTACTGATTCAGACATCTCTGTAGTTAATTCTAAACTGCTCGCAGTGTCGTTGACATTCGTCATTGTCGTTAATTCAAAGAAGTCTGTTGTAGAGTTAAAGTCGTCTGATTTCTCTGTCGCTCCTGGTACAGTTTGGGTTTCATTAAAGACTAGAATAGGTGTCTTTTCAGTTGTCGATAAGGGTATCACAGTAAGATCTAGTTCTGTTGTGGTCTCTTCGGAAGTCTCCGTAGTCGTGACTAATTCTATTGGAATAACACTCAAGTCTTCTTTTTCTGTTGTGACTTTTTGTGCATTGTTCTCACTCCTAGATTCATTATCGATGGTGTATCTATAAGTGTCTTTTTTGAAACTGGTATCTTTGCTCCACGGGAGCACGCCATACTCATTATTGTACTTTAAGGAATATTCGTCGTCAAAATCAATGATATCATTGTCGATATAATTTTTCGAGTGATCTGGAATATCTAAGGCTTTCGGAAGTGCATAAGAGAGACTAATGGTTAGCAATAGAATGGCGCTCAAAATGCAGTACATTTTTCGCCTCACCTTGTGGTACATCTCGAATCCATCTGAAATCAAAATTGCAATAAGTCATTGAACTATAAAACTGCTCGACTGAATGATTTCTTAACGTTGTTAAAAAGTATCGAGTACAGACTTTATGCACCTTTTATATCTTTTTTAATATTGTCATTACAAATTTTTATTAAAAATAAATACAACCGCAATTAACTGTAACAACTTTTAAAAAGACGTCTTCAAACATCATTATTATATGCCACTAGCACGACTTAAATATGTTAGTCAGTACTTAGTAGTACAAAACACATAACAGTTTAATTCGCGAAATATATTTTTGGCAACTTGTTTTTAGTTTATTTACATAAAATAACATAAACCGATATAAAATAATTTAAAAGTAAGTTAACTAATTTTTTGTGATTAAACCGTGAAAAATTATTTCCTTTAATGCGTACTTCTGTTGTAAACCATAAACAGTATTTGTAATAAACTGTTATAATTTGATATATCTTAGGTCCTTCTTAGCGTTTGAGATTCAACATTGGGAAACGCGGAAACCGCACGTTACACATTGAACGAAGCTTGTTCAGTGAATGTGGCTGTTTAATGTGTCGCGTGTAATCTCTTATGGCGGCTCCAGACTCTCGCGAGGCGCTTCCTAGAGGCTCTCGCCACGAGTCTTGGCGAGCGGAGACTGCACGAGTGCTAGTCATCCACACTCTCCATTTTATTTAGCTGTTACGTCTAGTGCAAGATGGACGGCAAATAAGTTGACTCCCTCGCCTCGCCCTCTCGCGTCTTTTGACTCGCGCTCGAAAGACCGACAGAAAGCGGAACGCTAGCGAGGCGAGGCGAGGGGACACGAGCGCACCGTCCACACTCTAGCACTTGCGTTCTCTCGTATCGCCTCGTGGAGAGTGTGGAGCGGCCATTACATATATTGAGGCTCGTTTATTGCACAATCAAACACCAATTGGGCTACGTGCATATCGCGTGGAAAATTTATTTTATTAATATTAAGAATAAAATTAAGCGCGTAGCGGAACATTTTGCGTGATCATTACTATATTGTGCCCAATACATCGCATCACTCGAGCCACGGCCACCGACTCCATGTTCGCTAATATTTTGAATTATTAATCAAACCCTTTTAAAGAATCTATTGTCTTTTAGTTTCTTAGATTTTATTTTTTATATCGATTGACACTTTTCATAATTATTTTATATTTTATTGTTTTGATCATGGGAATATATACCGTATAGGATTAGTAAGAGATAACTTTAAAAACTTCCGGCATCCACAGCGTTCCGCGCTCTAACCAGTTATCTCGGTATCGTTATGCATTTTGAAGGAGAGAATTTACTTAACTTGCCGATTTTCGGCCTCAAATGTTGAAGGCGAAGCCTGTATTACCATCATTCTGTTCAGAATTGACTTCCAACCTCACAAACGGAAGTCAGTTGCACCAGTAGCTCAAGGCTAAATCTTCACACATCACTCACCCTAAACGTAAGGAGTTAACTAAACTCGCGCTAAATGGGTATATTGAAATTTTGTAACGTAACGTAAGTCTGCATAATATTTAAAGCCTTAGGCTATGTCGAGAATCTAGATAGGTTACATAAAGCACCTGTTTATTTACCAATAACCCGTTCTTACTCCATCGGCGTGAGCCTGGAATTACAAAAATACTGTTAAGCCGCACAATGATAAAATGAGGAAGAGCTTTTCAAACGTATCTTCACTTTGTTTGGAGAATCTAGTATTAGTGAGTGTTTATATTCATAACTAGCTGTGTCAGCGAATTCGTCCGCGCAGTACTAACAGTTCATTTGGGCATCAACATTTGTTAACTTTTAACTTTCTTGCAATTAAATGTTAAAAAAAAAGACATATAACGTCGCGAACATTTTTTTAGATTCTTTAAAGAGGAATAATTCTTCCATAAATATTTTTTGGGTATCTTGAACCGTTTTCGCAGCGTACGGATTGGAAACCCTCTAAGATGAATTATTTTCCTTTTTTCCACATTTCCAGCTGTTTATTCGCTCCTATTAGTCACAATATCGCAATGTGGCTAACCCTTCTTGGATAAATGCTCTAACCAAAATAATGTTTCAATTCGAACCAGTAGTTCCAGAGAATTAGCGCGTTTAAACATACAAAAAACAAACTCTTCAGCTTTATATATTAGTAAAGATTCAAAACATGGTATACTTTATGAGATATTATTTATTATAGCTTTAATATTTATAATCTATACTACAGAAAAAAAACACATATAAAAAGAGAAAACATCTTACGCACTAACTTATAAATAAAAGGCGGCCTTATCGCTATTCAACGATCTCTTCCAGGCGACCTGAAGTACAGGAGAAAAAAAAATAGAGAAAGACTTATTAAGTGAGTAAGTAAAAGGTACACGGTAAAAGTAGAAAATAAGTTATGAGTGAGAAGGGAACTTATAGAGCAAAATCTAAGAAAGGGCAGAGAAATATTGTTAATTGCTTATTTATTAAGATAACAATATTTCGTGGTAATTTGTTTGACCTCTTATTATGAACCAGGCTTCAATTCAGCGCGCGAATCTATACTTTAAAATTGTATAATTTAGTTTTGTTTTTTAAAGGGCCATCAATCTTTCACACGTGTTTTATGCTTAGATTTCCCATATTATCGATACTAACCCAGTTAACTTTATTTTATCTGCAAAATTTTAAGATGACCACTTTAAATAACAATTTTTAGTGGGTTTTTAATTGAGAATCAATTTTTTCCTTAAGATATTGATGCGTCTGTTGGCAACCTTTAAACGACATATACATATTTGATATATTACCTAATAACGATAGGTATCTGTTCTCTCTCAAGGTGATTGACAAATCAAATATTAACCGACCTTTATCGAAAGATGTCGGATTAGAAATATGTTTGTTTTGTTGCGAAAATCGCTTTGTTTCGACGACCGTTGTCGCCCACGGAGTGTGTCCTTAAATGTGGCAGATTTTTTGTTTCCTAAATAGAGGAGGACAGACGTCCGTGGGTTCAGTTGACGGGAGGTGGAAATACGCCAACCATATAACGTCTAAGGAGACGCTGTCGACTTATTTTGGCTTTGTTTATTCGGAATTTCAATACTCCTATCATCCATTTAATATCCATTTAAGATTTCTAGACGAAGTCCAAAATGTATCAGAAAAGTTATACAGTAAAAGAATTGAATTATGTTGGACTTTTAAATAAAACACCTTAACGGTTTTAAACGGGATATATTGCAGCAGCCGTGGTCACGGGGAGACCACGGCTGCTGCAAAACATCCAAAACATCGGGCCGAAGTTGAAAATCATTTTCAAATAATTTTAACGAATAAACCGTTAAAGTGTTTTATTTAAATGTGTACTACTCGCGTGAACTATAGACAGTATTTAATATGTTGGACGCAGTGGAGATCATACATTTTGTTCATTGTCAATATTTCTAGACTATCTAGCGGTGATTGTAGGAGCCCTTTGGCTATTGCCCAACTGGTCCTTGACATTTAGCAGAATGGACCGATTACCGCGGTTTGGGGCCATGGGGTCACCCTCATCTGTTTTAATGATCACGACGGAATGCGGTTTCACTGTGAACGGCCATCTGTCATCGGTTCATTAAAAAATATACGTTTTAGGATCGTATGATCCGTGCGGAAGGTCAAGATGCTATTGTGATATATCCATATGGGCTGAGATTCAAAATTGAAGGCTGCGAGCACATTACGATGGGCTTGTTGGGTAATGGTAGCAATGTACGGATAACAACAAACGCGTCGTCTATTCAATTTAAAAATTTACTGAAACATGTTGAATTTCGTCTGATTTTCATATAATAATATATATAGGTGGTAGGAATATCAAAATTACGTCGGGGTCACGAACCATCGACCACAGATGTCGGATTCAGTCTGTCGATTTGCGAATATCCATTACTACAATAGGTCTTTATCATGATGGACTACTTTATTTGTTGCGTTGTTTGTGCAAATTAGGCGATAACTTTATGTTCGCAAATGACAGAATGGTGATTTTTATTTTGTTAGAGAGTTAATTATTTTGAACAAAAATCATCCCTTTATCATGTCATACTTAAATCCAAATAAAAAGTTGTTTCCATATTAAGTACAGAATCTTAAAATCGATGTTTCTTGTTCTTTCAATAATTTTGTATTTACTTTCAAACTACACACAAAGGAGTAGAAAAAGTTGACCTCTCATCGATAAATGTTACTAGCTCTTGACCTTAGATCAACTTTTGCGTGTTGTAACAGACTCGACAAAAGCTAATAAACAATAACAGATACCTTGCAACATCGCATTTGGTAATATTTCTATTTTAAATCGTTTAGGCTAAAACGACCTAGCTTGATATTTCTTGAAATTAAACTTAACTGTTTACTGGCGTGGCCTATTTATTGATTACGAATCTTTTTACTAATCAGTATTTAGTAAATGTGGTACATTGTGTAAATGTTGTTTGTGTATTAAGTACTTATATAGTTATCAACTGAATATTTATTCCAATCACAATATTTCTCTTGGTACTTTTCTGCTCTATCTTATATATTGAAACATTAAACATTCTGAAAATCACCAATTTATTAATATGAGCAAAGGTATGTGACCATCGGACTCCACTGCAAACATGATCAAAAAATAACACGGTTACACTAAAATTCTAGTACTTAAAAATTAATCTCAATCTTATCTGAACTGTAAAAATATTAATGAAAGCGAAAATTGTGCACGGTCGTTCGTTGAAGAGAAATCTAGCAAAGCCTAAGGCGGCACTAATTATCTAAGTACACGGTTTTAAGTTTTATTTTTGAATTAGATTATGTATCGAAATGAAAGTGTACACGGAAGAGAAAACAACATAAAGTAATTTTTATTTATAGTATTACGTAAAATGCAATAAGATCACGAAAATATAAAATAAAGAAACTTGAAAAGTCTTTATATATTATATCTACGAAAAAGTCTTCTTTAACATTCTATTTTGGCAACAGTTTCTTATAGCCCCTTAAAGGAAAAGACAGAGGAGCGTCTTAGTAAAAGGGCCCCGTGTCAATTTTCGTTTGCCGGTTTTCTAATATTTCATATTTATTTTTACTTCAAATTTACATAAAAACTAATGAGAACCAATAAAAATGACTCTTTCACGTAAAAATAATAACTCTGTTGAAATGTAACATTTGACATTTTCTATTCATTTAGTATATTGAAATTGTTAATGAATCGTAACAAGGACTTTTTAATAAAATTATCTGTGCTAATATAGACTAAATTCATTATTTTATCACGTGGTTGAATACAAAATAAATATAGTAAAGGTATTCTTACTTGAAGTGTAACGCAGTGAGTTATATTTTTAATCTGCAACACGGCTTACTGAATGAATTTCACAGATCACAAAATCACAACTTTCCCCACTTATCGTAACAATGTAATCGAAAGGGTAATAATGATTGCAGGCGCAACTCTACGAGCATAGTCTGTGCTGACGAGCGGTGTTCGCGCCAAAACGCGGTGAAATGTCAAAATGCACGAGATTACGCAGGTAAGTCTGAACTTTGGCGGGGAGTAGGGTTGAACGTTCTTTATGATTACAAAAATATATAAACATGCCGCAAACATACAATTTTGGTCGTCTTTAGCTTAAGTTTGCCAACTCGTCTTTATGGTTACTACTATTTTCTATGTTATGACATTATTTAAAAATCGTCAAGTTTTAAAATTAAGACAACTCGTTTGCTAATCATAATTGTGTATTAGTTACCTTAAAACAACCGAGTACTTTTTGTACAATGCTTTTTATATTTTGCCTCCGTAAGTGCTAATCATAAATTTTAAATCGATATACATAACGCAGTATCACATAAAATATAGATCTGACAACCCTGCTGAATGGCTAATTGAAATTGAGTTTTGTACATAACTTGCAAGGCCACACAAGTGGAGCGAATAGGCGAAATTAATTGAACTATTCTACTATCGTGCGATAATAGAATAGATATTGGATTTTTTTCTAAAAAAAGCCATTTATAATATTGATGACATTGACAATAAGAGCAGAATGCAATGTTTATTTTTCTGAATTAAAGATTCAATTTTCAAGTGTATTACTTACCTTTACAAGAATTACATAAATATGGCGATTAAATAATAGTTGCATCGTTACCAAGCCGTACTGAGCGGTGCGATTAATAGCGGAAACATAGGCGGTAGTTGTAGCGGAGTGTAACGGTTGACAATTAGGCACCTCTTGCAATATGTAACACGAACCAACTTTGTCTATTAATTTAAAGGAGGGAGCGTAGGGGCTACATATAGATTTATTTACTTAAATATTGTTTGGTATATATCGGATTCATTTTCACTCTCGTTGACGTGTCTCATCGCTTTGAAATAACTTGAAATTAAACTTTGGGTCACATTATCGCACCAAATATAAACCTTTAGCCTCATCAATCACTGACCAACTTTTATCAAAACGCCTAGACACTAGTTTGATACGAAAGATGTAAACATTTTGTTAAGTGCTAGTAACAACATATACAGTAATATATCTATATCGTGGTAGTTCTTGGTAGTTGTTGTCTTGTGGCTTGGGCCGCTAATGCGTTGCGACGTTAATTCGATGCCGACGGCTGTTCGATTCGATATCGAAGGCCTTCACTCGCAAGTTACGACGATCTGGAAAAATACACTCGATACGATTGTTAAAAAATCGATTACTTTATCCAAGTGATCGAATTAATATTACAGATTTACTAAACTCGGTTTCAAGTGCGGCTGAGTGACGCAAGACATAAAAACCCTCCACTTTCTCACGAGAGAAGGTTTTTGAGTTTAGTTTTCTCATCATTCTGCTTCAGTGCGTGTTTGCGGTGACGAATTTATTAACTAACTAACTTTTAAATATAAAACTAATTTTAACTACAAACGCGTAAACTACAAACAATATATAAAACTAACTTTTTCATTAAGTAGATTCGATGTATAACTAAGCCCTAAACCAATGAATTGTATTTTTTTTTATAATAAAGACTTAAATCCAAGTCTATTGCGTTACTATGCATCTTAAGCACTAAACTTAATATTTTACAAAAAAAAAGTAAATATACAAAGCTAAACTACGACGGCGCATCTCATCTGGATATTATATGTCTCTTATTTCAACTATCCATCAATAGAACGCCAGGCTGGTCAGTCCGCCTCTATAAAAAACTTGAAGGAGTATAAGTAAGCTAATCATTTGATATATTAATATAATCACGATTTGCTTTCCATCTTTAAATTTGTGTAATATCTTAAAAGCGATACCTAAAATGGTTAAACAACGAATGAATGTAACAAAATCGCTGTAATTATTACAAAATGTGTGTATTAATCTCCCGACTGACGTTTCCGCTAAATTAAATTCACGGATGTGCCTGAGGTAACGCTTATTACAGGTTTGTCTAATGGCCATTGACATTGGCGATTATTAATTACGCAAGTGTATCTGTGGGTGCAACCAAAAAAACTACAGCGGCACTACTAATCGCAATTCTCCAAATGCGAGATAAAACTTCGATTCGTCGATAGCCTCGTACAAAACGAATAATTTATGATTTATTTCGACGCAAATCTTATAAAACTATTCCGAGTTCTATACAGTTTTCCCCTTGGCATAAGTAGTCATCGAAGACGCTATTAAGATTATAGAGATGATGCACTAAACTTAATTATGTATGTGGGGGACAACTTTTGTTAAAGTCAATAAATTAAATAAAAAATTCAAAGGGGGATATTAACAAGAACCACATGTTTAGATACGTAATACTTTTAATTATAAGTTATGTACACTTGAACAATCTAATAACTACATCAAGATCACACTGACATTGCAAGGAGTATGGCTTGAGAGATTGTGAACGTATTGTCGGAAACAAAAGTATTATAGAGTAAACCACGAACAGAGTCACATTAACTTTATACTAACGTTAATAGCGAGTTATCAATTCAGTTGGATTCCTTAGAAGTCTAACAGTTATATTAGTGGCATTGTGAATTGTAAATCTTAAACATATAGTTGGGTTTTATCTGCATTTGAGTATTCATTTCATCGACGCATGTTCTAAACGAAATCAGAGAAGACATCGTTCTTGTCCTCTTTCGAATCTGAATCTTCGCGTCTGTCTGCATTGTAATCAAAAGAACTAAAAATATCAATTTTCTTTACACTGTCCTTTGGGGTGGCTTTCGTTTTTACGTTATTTGGATCCGTTTCTTCGCTTGATAAACCGCTGAGTGGATTCGCGTATTTGTCTATGTACTGTCTAACAGTTCGCGTGACAAGTTGGGGTTTGATCGATTTCAGTGAAGATAGTGTCGTCGTTGTTGCGTCCAGTGCGGATTTTAAATCTCTGTTGTCATAGCCCCAATCAAATTTTGAGAGTACCTCCTCACCGTTCCCTTTGTTTTCCGTTACGCCGATTTCTAACTGGTTTAATATCTTTTCATGCTCCTTGTCAGCGTCGAGATTACTTTTCAAAGTGGTTTCTTCATTTGTTGCGTTCCCTTTATTTACAATTGTATCTATAGCTTCATTCTCATCATCACCGTCGGAATTGTAAACCTCGTAATTTTGTTTAAACGATTTCTCCTCTATCTTGTCCCCTGCCAAATATGTCTCTGGATCTTCTTTATTAATGTACACGGGCATTGATGGTTCTGTGATTTCCTCGGATTTGCTTCCATTAGCATACTCTTTGAACTTTTGTACATAAATGGGTGTAACTTCCTTTTTATTCAATTTGTTATTATCGTTACGAATATCAAAGTCGTCTACGAAAGAATTTAGGTTTTTGTATGAATATTCTCTTTCTTTGCTTAGCATAACCTGGCCTCTTTTTAAAATTTCATCCTTAGACGATTCGGTCGTTCTGGAAGGTATGGGTTTCGTCGTGAATTCAACAAAATTAAACTTTATAGGCTTAATATCTGGGGCATTTTTAATTGCGTCTATTAGTAGATCGATGCCATCACTGACTGTAATAAGAACATAAATACTTGTATCTCTACTTTAACAAAAAATAGTTTAACACTAAATATTTAAACTTACCAGGACGATTATCGACATGCTTATTTTGTTTCAGTAAATACTCCATAAGTACTAATAGATATTCAATTGCATCTTCATCTCTCATGGCTTGTCGTTTGACGCGGCCGCTAGAATTCAGCTTTTGACCTAACTCCTTTAGTTTCCTAAGATTTTCAATTATATTTCTTGAGTACGTCTCTATATCGTTACCAGTATTTAGAAGGGTTTTATTTTGACTTACTTTGGTGGTCACACGATCCATATTTCGTTGTAAACTAATTATTGCATCATACATTTTTGACATAAATTTATTTTGAACCAGATTATAACTTAGTAATAGCCTCTTTAGTCTCGTGATACTGTCATCGATCGTTTGATTGCCTTTATCTGCAAAGCGTTTGCTACATCTTAACTTTCTGTGGGGAACTTTATGACTGAAACCTGAGACTTTGCTTTGTTTGCCAATTATGTGAATAATATCATTAAAAATTAGAGCAAATTTTTCCAGATTTCTAATGAATTCTTGCGTATTTTCCTTAACATATTTCATTTGCATTCGCTGCGTCTCTGTTATGTTAAGAGTATGATCCATCGTGTAATATTCTCGCAAAATAATATCTAATCTGTCGATATCACTTATGGTATCCCCGTATTCTGATGAATTTCCAGTTTTGTTGAGTAATTGTAGCAAACCTTTTATACTCGTGACAGTTTTTAATATCTTAGATGTCTCAAAATTAAGATCTGCCAGTTTATTCTGCAGTCTTTTGTCACTTAAATCAGGATGGCAAAGCAGAAATTTCTTACACAGAGCATTCAATATATTCTTATGCTTTTTATTGTTTATGTTCTTCTTCGTTCTCGTCTTCTCTTTCGAGAACAAAGGCTTTATAAAGTTTTTAAGAGCCGTCAATAAGTTAATTTTCTTCACATTTCTTTCAATTGAATCGGTGATATTTGTATGACTTCCAAAAAAAGAGCTTTCTAAATACTTTTCTTAGAGTACAGACTTTACTACATGACGTATTCTGGAAAATATTATCAGTAATATGGTGACTAGTGTACCCCAAAGTTGGGTCTTTAATTTTGTTAAGCATGCGATTGTTATACTCTGTTGACAAGTATGTGTTTAAATCTTTCCACTTCGTATTTAGCCGATTACTGTTCCTTTCAGGTAATGATTGCAATTGTGTCTTATGTCCTATAATATTATTTCTATTCATATAGTTGGCACCTTTTGTTTCGTTTCGCCGTAGGGGCTCTGATGTAATGGCATATTTGTAATAACCTGCAGATTTTGTTATCGGTGTGATATCATAGTAATTATCATTTAAGACCACAGTTAGATTAGCCTTATTCGATGTCATCTCAACGTGAGTCGTTGTATCTGCAATTTAACAACAAAAATACATCTACACAGTCTGAATATTGTTTTATAATGTTAAGTAAATGTTTGTACATACCTTCTGTATTAGTCAGGTTGTATCGCTCCTCGATGCTCCTTTTTTGTCTTGTTACGTACTGTTGTTTTGGAAGTGGCTTCTTTTTAAAGTTTTTACCGGACTTATGTTTGTGACTGTAAGTATTATTTTTTGGCATCGAGCGTTTTTGAATTTCCTTCGGATTGTTTAACTGTTTCTGATTCTCGTTTATAAACTTTTCAACGTTGGCCATGACCTTTTTCACTATGGCTTCTGCTAATTTGTAAGTGTCATTCTTCTCTTTAACGTTTTGAAGTAAGCTTCTATAAGAAATCTTTTTATCCTTTTGTACAGAGGACGACTTCATTTTGATAGTTTTTGTATTGGATGCTTTTATTGCCGATTTCTTCTGAACTTTTTTGTTATTGTTTTTTATATGGGTAACTTTCTTGGTTTGAATCGTTTTAACGTTACCCTTTTTTATATAAGGCGATCGTTTAAATGTAGGTTTTTGTGCAGGTACATTTTTCTTTGCATTATTAGATGGTTTAGTATTTTTTAATGTGTGGTTTGGTATTTTAGATTGCCCTTTCTTAGTGGTCAGCTTTTTCTTTGTTTTAAGAATGGAATTATTTCCTTTAATTGCTGATTTAGTACGATATGGACTTTTCTTTTTCTGCATCTGTTTTTTGCCTTTTTCTGAAAAAAAAATATAACTTAGGCTAGCTTAGGTTTTACATTTGAAAATGCTAGAAAACGATTTACGTACTATCTGGGCAAAAGCTCAAAATGTGACAGTCCCATCTTCCATTTGCGTCGCAGTCACAAACCGTACAACCGATGCACCAATCCGCTGTGAAAATATGATGTCTATAGAACTATTTTAATAAGAAGAGTTGCTCATGCAGTATTTTCCTTACCCGGGGGGCAACCTTCACTGAAGCTGGATTCGTAGGGTTTGCATTGCTCCGGGGCTCTTTTGTCAAGCACTGAAATGTTTATAGGTATATCTTCGATAGGTGCATTTTATATTATTTATTTATTCCTAAAGGTAAATATTATTTATCGTCTCATAAAAAGAACAATATCGGATAGAACTATCGTTCGCGAATTCATCCATTAAGTAATTAAGCAGAAACAACGCAGAAGTTAAAATAAAATGTTGTAAAGGATCTTGTGCAAACGCAAAATTTGCAAGAGGACGTTCACTCGTTAGTTTTGATGTCTGAGAGATATCGAAGGTCAAGGTTTTATAATGTAGGTATTAGTAAATGTTAATTGTATGTTGTTAATGAATGGACGTCGGTGCGTTGTATTTTCCTATTATAATTAGTTACGTGATCCTATATACAACTCTATCACTTTTTTGACATGCTTTTAATTAAACATTACTTTTCCACTTGCAAATTTAAATTTATTTCTCTACGAATTCCAGTTTTAAATAGTAAATCCTCTTTGCTACCTTTAAAAGCCAAAATAGACAAAGACGTGGTCTTCTATGTTATACGGCTGGGCTATTTAACTCCCCATCAATTGAACTTCATATATTTGATTATTTTTTAAATTTTTATTTCTATTTTTCTTCTCACAATATGAATGTACACTATTAAATAAATAAAGCCTACCGTCTCTCGCGGCATCTCTGAAGAATATATCTGTGAACCCTGGGCTGCGCCGATATCTTCCTTCTCTACAATAAAACCAATGTACCGTTTTATTTTTTGTTAGCGCTAGTGAAAGATTGTTGAAACCACTTTAATTTAGGGGACAGAAAGTATAGTTTCGCTTTTACTGTGAAAACACAAGAACTATATATTAGTCGACGAGCAAACAACAAGATCGTACGTGTTTCAAAAACTTTTATTTTGCGCATACCTTTTGCCGTAGCTCCGAAAGTTCTTGTGATCGCATCGACCGCTGTTCCTCCTCCAGCAGACCGCTGGACTGCTCTCCTTGCAGAAGCAGAGGTGGCATATCCCTGAGTCAATCGCGTTAGGTTTCTGCTCACGTTGGAAGAAATATCCCACGTCAGGACACGAGCTGATATTCTTGATAATAACGTTTTCTCGGTGGGTGGGGACATCTGTGTATCGGATAAGTGCAAGTTAAACTCAGAGAATCGAACTAGTGTTACGTTCTTTCTACTTTGATTCCTCTTTATCTGCCGAAATTTCGTTTTTCTCATGGACGTTTTTCTTCACCAAATCCGATTAGAGATTTTAAATTCGATTCGAGATTCGAATGTTTCAAACGAACAAAAAAAATACATAATTGATGACTAAAATATTTTAAGAAAAATTAATATTACACGAGAGGTACATGTATACATCAATAAGTTGAAAAAATCGACAAAGAGGTCTAGGAGTCGTAGTTCAATTGTTAGAGTGACAGCACGGAACGCTGACCGAGTTGAACTTTTATTCAATTTATTTTCGATTTTTAAATAATAATGCGTGATCGAATGAAGCAACACGAAAATGCGTTTAAGAAATGATGTTGACATTACCAGTAGCAGCGGCGTGTTGAAACAAGAGCAGCAGTAGCAACATGCTGGTGACCGACTGAAATCACTCTTCGAAACGCACAACACGCCGACTGTGTTTGTAAACATGGCATTTTTACAGTTCCTTACAGGGTTGGATTTGACAAATTTCACTTCACAGAATTCAATTGAGAACGGCTTTTACAAATTAAAGAAATTGCTCCCGATAACAACGAAACGTATTTAGTATTAATTGAACAAATCATATTATTTAATCCACATAACTTAAAATTATCTAAACTATCTAGTTCTACATACAGGGAGACTCACTCAGCTTCTGTTGCCCTTGGAAGTAAGCACAACGCCGATTTTGAGTGATCCCTAAATTAATTAATTTCGTATTGATTGTTAAATTCGTTTTGAATACTTTCTTTAAACGTAAACAAGACAAGATAAATATGCAATTACTTTTGTTTTAAAATATAATAAATGAAAAAAAGACACTATAAGAATCAAGAAAGATCGTTGATGTCTTTTGTACCGAGGGGATGCATTTCCTTAATACAAAAGATATCAACGACTTGAAACTTTTGTTTTTCTTTTTAAAAGCACTAAAAGTAGCAATAAATGAGACGATTATAGGCGAAAGGTTAATTTTTTAATTAAAAAAATACAATGCACTAGAGTGTCTCGAGCCCTTCGGTAGTCGAGGCAAAAAAATATCGGTCGCGCTAATAATTGCCTCCCCTGGCAAGAATTTAAACAAGTAATCGATCGATTACGAAAGGCCACCCATTGTTCCGATGGCCACGTCCGCCCGATCGCTGCTCGCGCTAAGCGCTCTCTCCGGTGAGACCACAACTATACCACACCCTCTTTGCCTCTCTTTTTATTAAGTTCCTAATAGCGGTTACGCTCAAACCAATTCGTACATAATGTAATTCTCAGCAATTGTTGAAATTGGCCTGTCAGTTATGTAGAATCGTAATTGATACTCGCAAGAATCAACGTTGTTTTGTTATCTTCATTTTCTATAGAGATCTAAAAAACCCTTTCGACTTGACGTTTTAAAATCTATTGTAGTCAAATACTGTCTGTGGTTTACGTGAGTGGTACATATTTAAATAAAACACTTAAACGGTTTAAAACGTAATATATATTGGTTAAACTAACTTATTACGAAATTATCTTAACTACGGCCCGACGTAAGGATTAAGGATGCATTGCAACAGCTGTGGTCACGGGGAGTATCACAATAATTTCCAAATAATTTTAACTAATATATATCACGTTTTAAACGGTTAAAGTCTTTTATCTAAATGTGTACCAGTCGCGTGCCAATCAAGGAGGGCTTCCATGTTTTCATTTTATTTTCCCCCTTTACAGTGTTGCTCGTCCATTCGTTATCGAGTAACGATTATAAAGAATACTTCACGGACGACGACCGATGCCAATATTATACGAAAACGGCTGAAATTTTCCACAAAGACCATTCGGATACAAACCTAAATGCGACTAATTCAGAAGTTGTCGATAAAATGCTATACGATTTTGTGGAAAAGGGTACTCTAGAGAATCGACATGTAAAATACTTTTACATAAACAAACATTATACATTTATTTTTTGCAGTTTCGGAACCACCATTGTACAAAGAATGCGTACCGCTCGTAGCTCAATACTCGAATTGTTCCAAAGGTAGAAAATATTTATTATTAAATAATAGCTAAATTCATGTAGGTACAAATTGTTACATGGCGTTACAACCTTCTGCATATTGCGTGTGTTTTGACATGAAGGAGATGTTTTTACTACTAATTTTATCACTATTAGTAATAAAAACATCTCACGTTGAAATAGCTACATCGCAGTTAGGTAGTACTCATTATTTTTCACATTTGTGACAGTTTGGTTTTCTATTGTTGTTGCTTTTTTGGAAACATATTCGTTTCAGATAATATTTGCCTCGGCTGCACAGTGTGTGATTGTGATGTTAGTGGCAGGTGGAACTGTCACCAGGTCGAAAAATGCAGACCAGATCCCGAACAAATTATCGATCGTGCTATTTTGAGTTTCGTTATGGAAAATTTCTTAGATGGTAACAATTTATACGTCGCTTGGATTTTATTTCTTTAGCTTTATATTTAAATATAGATATGACATGACATTAAAGCCTCCTTGACTCCTACGTACCAAAAAATAACATCACATAGCTAAGCAGATACAGATATGTAAATAACTACCCCTTGCTCCACGCACGATTATTTTTATTGTTCATTCATTTTCCAGTTGACTTAAGCTTGAGTAGAAAAAAACGTTCAGCGTTCGCAATCGCGGGGCACACTAATGTTTCAAGTGAAGATTATTCTGAACAGCAAAAAGTCAGAGTTTCTTTCAATACAACTCCAATCCTATCTATAAATGCATCAGCATTTGTGAAATATTTGACAAGAGGTGCTTACTATCCATTAGATGCTATCATAAAAGCTAGAAACAAAGAGCTAAACGATTTATTAAAAATAAGAGATAACCTCTTATCCTCCGTCAAATTGTATACGGGATTTGACTTGTCGAGTATTGCAACACTCGGTTCTCATATGGATCGAAATAAGGACTTAAATGAATCCTACCGATTGGATAACGCGACCGGCTTTTTAAGACGAAATACTCCAATGTTGCTTAAAAAATATAAAAGCAAGTTACGACGCGATATTCACGAAGTCCTACGGGATATTACAGTCATGAGGAAACTGTCAAATTCAACGATAATTTCTCACGAAATAAAGACCCTTATTCGAATCCTAAATTATTTGTATAAAACAGAATCGCAAACAAAAAAGAGAATAAAATCAAAAAGGAAAAATTTAGGAAAGTGGCTCGAGGGTCTGAAAAGAAGGTCAACAAATCCAATTGTGATGATAAATGTTATTCTAATGTTCTTGTATGAAAATGTAACGGAAGATAATGTTCTGGCTTCATTGTCTAGTAACTCTAGGAAGGTGATCAGACGCGTTGTAAACCAATTTCATGTAGACGAATTTGCTCATGTTAACGTCAAGCGTAAGGAAAATCTAACAGAGCTTCTTAGAAGTATAGAAATTAAGTGGAAAGTCAAATGCACAGTGTCCCAGACGAACAAACCATCGCAGTTGTTATTTAAATTGAAATTATTGCATTTCGATCTCTCAGCGGGAATAGCTAAGCTGAATGATATAATTACATTGGCCCAGTTTGCTGAACGGCGGCGAATGAATTTATTAAACGACCCCAACACAGAGAAGACTCTCGCCAATGTCCTGAATGATTTAAATCAGATACACAAAAGCATGCGGCAGTTTTCCCAAAGTACTAAGCTGCAAGAAAAATCTTTATCATCGATTCCTCGGCCTAATAAAAAGAAGAGCTTCTTTCAAAAAGTCAAAAGTTTACTGAAGAAATCTAAGCAAGATGTAAAAGGTTTAATAAAGAAACGAGTTTCAAAATCAGGATCATCTAAGAATAAATCTACCGAATATGAAGCTATTATGCAGAGGTGGCAGAATAATCTTAATATTTTGCCCCGCAGTAAGAGGTCTCCCAACGAATTTAGGAAGTTTGTCAATCGCGTGAAGAACATAATTCCTGGATATTTGCACAACAAACTAAAACCAGCAGTCGAGAAGAAGAGAGGTAGAAGAACTACGCGAAGCAAACGAAGACATCACCGTGGTACGTTTTGTTAAGTATAAAAACGTGTTCATAAAACAGGCAGACATAATTGATGATTTCGTGTAAGTGGAACTATTTAGTACTCAAATTAAAAGCGAGAATAACGTTAAGTAACTAAGCATACATTTTTTTTTTAATTTTATTTAACGCCTTCAGGATTTTAAAGCAATTTACTTAATTGAAGTTTGTTCGTGATTTTGTAGTATTGAATACCCTTGACGTGAAAATGTGACAGACTGCGGGCGCCGTAACGCGTTACGTAACGATGGGTCTAGCCTACTTTAAAAAGTTATCACGTGATGAATATTAGTTAAACTTATTTGGAAATTGTTTAAACTACGGACCGACGTTTCGAATGCTTTGCCGCAATCGTGATCACAGCGAGACTCGGCTGCTAAAAAGCATCCAAAACGTCGGGCCGTAGTTGAAATAACTAAATGTGTACTACTCACGCTAACTATTTGAGTCTTATCCCTTATTATTCTATCTTCCAGGTCAGGTTAATTCAAGTAAACAAATTCGACACCAAACAGAGACAACTAAGAAGACTGTTGTACTTAATCATGATAAAAAACCTGAGTGTTTAAACATCTTATAATTATCAATTTCCCATTTTAATAATAACAAACAGTAGCGGTTCGGAAAATAAAAAGATATCTTTTTACTCTTTTAAATACAAATTGTCTTTATATTAAAAAGTACAAAATAAATAGTTGATACAACAAGGGTTTATTATTTTGTGAAAACTAAATCCTGTCTGAGCGACTGCAGAATATTATTAGGATCCACGCTTATTAAAGGTTCCTTTAAAGCGTAAAGGATAGCGCCTTGCGTGTTTTGTTTCTGGACTCCTTTTCTTTGCACTGAAAGAAGCGGACGTTGTTAAAATATCATATTAAGTCTCTATTGTGTAGTCTAAAAAATGTATACTTTTCACATGTTAGTACACAATGGCACTATATATAACAGATACATTACATTGCGCGAGAGGTGCATGTATCAATAGGTTGAAAAAAATGCAGGACTCGGTAGCTCAATTGGTTAGAGCAACAGCACGGAACCCTGTGGATGCCGGTTCGAGTCCTGCCCGTGTCGTAAATTTTAACTAGTACTGCTACGTATTTAGAATATTACAATAACACTTTCGTACTTACCTAATTTACTAGATTGGCGTCCGTTCGAGAGCGACTTATTGTCTATTAAAATTTTATACAATTCTCTCGCAAGGCTACCATTCCCACTGTGCAATGAATTAAATGCTCTTTTTCCAATATTATAATTCACGTCATCCTTATCGACCCCCTCGTCTTCCTTTATCTTAAGGTATAGTCTTAAACGATTGAGCATCAGCTGATTCATTATTTGTTGTCTTGTCAGTTTAAAATTATGATTTGCTTTAAAAGGTAATATTGCCTTATTTAATTTTTCGTAATTCATCGCCCCTCTCCCATGGTTATTATGTCTTTTTTCTGATAATATGCCTTGGTGCTCATTCTCTTTGCCCTCTTTTGAGACATTTAAACTATTCAGAACGTTATTACTCAACTTTATGTTTGTCGCTGTATTACCGATAAACTCCAAAATTTCCTTTAAATTTTCTGGAGGTGTATTTTCGAAATAGACTTTAGATTTTTTTATATAATCCAAAGCATTCTTATGTCGTAAGACATCGGCTCTCAATGTCTTCAGCAACATTAATTTCTTATGAGGTCGAATGACAGACAACAAAGCGTAATTTTTATATGAATTACTTAGTTCTTCGATGCTTTCTATTATTATTTTTAACTCTTCGATAGATTTAGGTTTTTTGGAATCAAACCGTCTCGTTCTGAGATTGGTCATGTCGTTAATATTTGATATTATTCGCTGCCACACTCTAGCTGATGTCGAATCTTCTCCTGCATTACTTCTTCTTGTTAGGATATTAGAGTCAAATTCGAATTGCAATGCATCAACTAATTTCTGCCTATCATTAATTGAAAAATGTTTTTCTTTGTAGAGCGGCTGCTCTTTTACTATGGTTTCTTGGTTTTCATCCTTCTCAATAAAGTGACTTATACAAGGCAAGATATCTGTTAGATTTATTTTGGGACCATTACTTCCTCGCTCATTCTGCAATTCAGCCAAGTCATTTATAATGGACTGTATGTGTGACTTAAGCCTTTCTTTTGCACTTGCTAGTTTGGACGAATCACGTTCTTTTGACATTCTTAAATGTTTGAATGTACCTAAAGTCGATGGTTGTATAGTTGTTGACGTAGTTGTAGGTGTTGTAGTAGTTGGTATTTCTTTTCCTTTATTAAACTCTTTCGATAAATCCGCAAATGAACCGATCTTAATTAATTCACTTAGACTGTCTAAAATATTTCCTTTGATATCAATCGTTGAGACATCTGACTCCTGGGCTATTTTTCTTAATAAGCAGTTTGGGTTACCCCTTATGTGGTTAACATAGTCAAGGATAATTTTATCTTTTATTAAAATCGGTAGACTATCAATTCCGTTCGCATTGGTGCCTTTTAATTTTTTATCTATTTTATGTATGTTTGAAAACTGTTGAAGACTTTTTAATTTCTCAATCATTTTGTTTGAACGTTTACGTGGCAATAAAAGTCTTGTAATTTTCTCTAAGATTTTAGCAAATAAATTGAAATTATTTTCAGATATATTTCTTTCCTCGACTGATTTATTAAATGCAGAGAAATCTAAACTACCTTTTAATTCGTTTAATGATTTCTTTGCATCTTCAAACTTTTTAATTAGGTTTAAAACTTCATTTAATTTTTTTGAAACTTCTGAACTTACATTATTTGTCATACTAGCGTTACTCTTTTTACTCATGGTTACATTGCATTTTTTACCTGTTGTCGAAATATCGCTTTTCTTTTCTCTTGAATCCAGAGGCCTTAGTGTTTCACAGATAGAAATGTTATTTATATTTTTATTTTCGTTCATAGAAGAAGATAACTTCTGTAAAGCATTCTTCAAAAATGTTTCCTGCCTAAGACTTAATGGTTCTTTAAACAACTCTAACAAGTCATTTATTTTCTGGTGTTTTACAGAATCATTTTCGAAAGATTCACTCGAGTCCTTTTCCATATTCCAAAGTTTGTTCAATAGATTTCCGGCTATAAAAGTCATAGCAGTGAGAGTATCATTTTCTACAGTAAACGTGATGTTGGACATTGGGGTAATATTCTTGGCGCCTATTATTTCTTTGCCTTTTTTTAATTCATTCACTACAATTTTAGACAACGTTCTATCTTTACTTGTCTGTGAATAATTCCCAACGATTTTATTGATTTTCTTTTCACTAAGCGGTAGAGAGTCGTCGCCGCTATGCGAGGTTGAATCAATTTTATTATCTACTATATGTCGGTCGAAGTCTTGGCGTTGATTGTAGTCAATATGCAAAGAACTTAATTCAGACTTTTCTATTTCGTTTACATTCTGTCTTCGAAACGGTTTTAAAGCGTCCACCTTCTGCGCTTCTATCGTACCGGATTTATTTGAATTCATAAGGGTATCTAAAAGTGTAACGTTTTATTAATAAAAAAAAGTATATAATTTATAAAGCAGGCACAAAATAAACTTCACTAACCTTCGTTGATTTCATCTACGATATTGTGATACTTGATAGTTTCATTAACTATACTTTTTTCGACAGAACGTTTCACGCGTTCGTTTCGTTCCATAAATTTTTCAAAATTCTCTTCGTAAGGAAAATCATCTGGAACTAAGAAAAATGTTAGAAAATTCTATTCCCTACCGAAGTAAACTTCACAATACTTACGTTAACAAATAAATGATGTCACAATAGACTTAGAAATAAAAAATTCGGTGCTTTAGTGCTACTTTTATTGAAAGGTGCGTCAATGTGAGTCTTTAACAGCAATCAAATAACCTGGAAAATGGAAGGAGTGCAACGACAGATTAATAAAAGTATTTGAACACCTCCAGTATATTAACTTCTAATATAGATACCTATTAAGGAATCAAATTCTGAATTAGGCGGTGGTGGGGCCAAGTGACGTCTCTTTTTCTCTTCTATTTTCTTTTTTTCTCTCTCTTTCACTTCTACAATTTAAAATCATCTAATTTAGTGGGTAAATCATGTGCTCGTCGCGGCGTGAAGTCATAAAAACGTCTCCATAACTCTCCAATCAACAACATACACTATATGAACACATGGTCTTTACCTGAGAACAGCACCTCAACAGCTTCATCGATGGTATTGCCACTCGGTTCGTCGTCGTCCTCGGGACATTCGATCACGTCCTTACATGACCATGTACCGTCTTTCGTACAAGAGCATCTCGTGCAACCGGTGCACATATTCTCTAAAACACACCAAAAAAAAGTTTTTTAATTATCACTGATAAAATTGATACATATTTAGGACTTAGGAAAATTATTCTTACCAACAGAACAATCCGAATACTGCGAAACGAATGGTACACATTGATTCTCGTTCGAAACGTCACCAACTAAAATCAAGCACCATTTATATCATTCCATTTCATAATCGGTATTTAGTTATGAAGAATCTTAATACTGTCTATGGCTTATCTATGAAAATCTAAACTGAAAATCTAAACTGAAAATCTAACAGGAACAATATAATATTATTCCAATCTTATATTAGGCGACTTCGTACGCGTAAAGTAGTTATTTTGGGTATCAATTTTTGTTTTTGCAAACCTCCAGTTCAATTCTATAAATTTGACCTGTTACCCACGGCACCGTCCGCGTAGCTGAAGCAGATTTTTTTCTATATCATTTAAAGACAAATCATTCTTTCATACATATTTTTTGGACGCAATGGAAACCCACAAGGATGAATAATTTTCCCCGTTATTTCGATATTTCCCGCTCTTTCCTCGCTTTCATTAGTCACAGCGCTATGTTTTATAGCCTATAGCTTTCCTCAATAAATGCTCCTGAGATTAGCGCGTTCAAACAAACAAGCTTTTCAACTTTATATATTAGTATAGATTTGAGCCTACTCTTCCTATATCGGATATGGGCACGTGATTTTGACAAAAAGCTTTTTTGAAAGTAATATACTTTGGAAGAAAATGACGTTGCCTTAATTGTTATGTGATATCATTAACTTACGTGTACCTACTGTTTAAAACTAATAAAAAAGGATCGGATTGTAGTGCGAGTGCAGTGGAGGGTTTGTCAAACTGTGAAGTAGTGCTAAACAAACTGTGCATTGAAACGGCAAGAACAATATCTCCAATTGACTGCGACAAATAAGACAAATGTATATCAAAATATAGTGTTTATTCAGTATAAAAGTACCCAAAAAACATGGTCGCTGTTATCACTATCGTTTCACTTTTTACATTCTTTATTTTTCTAAAGAACTTTACTTTTAATTTGTATACAGTAAAAAAATGTCCATAACAACCAACATTGATTTTTCGTAGAAACTAATGTTTAACACTAGTCATTATTAACAATAAAATCGACATAGTCTCCCAGAGGGCTGGCAGCGAGGATGTTTTCTTTGGGGACCTTCCTCTTCATCTGTCGTATCTTGTTCCTCACTTCCGCGTGCAGGTTCCGCCGGTGACCATTGGGGTGGTTACAGCACAGGGTGTCCCCTCCTGCAACCAATCTCACACTTAGAAACCGACAAAACAACATTAAGGTGAATGGACTTTTGATCTTTTTGCAAGATTGGTCACAGGGAGAAGAGGACAAACACGATAAACACAATTATAATCGAAATGATATCACGGAAGCGCGAAGTGTGAGAAAAAACCGACGACGAACGAATTAGATTAAAAATCCGACTGAGGTGTCTATATTTTTCTATTACACGGCGCAGTAATACTATAATAATACATAGAATAAAAAAAAACAATCAATTGGAGATACTGAATGCGCAAGATACCCTATGAATCTCTCCTACCCTTCTCTAGCAAATCGAACACGGACTCGTCCATGGTGCGACGCATCCTGTACGAAAGCTGTCGAAAATACGCCGGGCGGTCTTGCTGGAACATCTTGGCGTACTTGTTCCTCATCGCGTTGGGCTCTTTGAGGATCCTGTAGTACTCGCAGAACCAAGGATCCCTCTTGATGCAGCCGGCCGCCTTCGCGTCCACGGAACAGACACAGAAGAAGCAAATGTCGATATTGTCGTAGTCTAAAAGCGAGTCGATCTCGCTGGCCACGTCGATGTCCGTGTCGTTGGCGTTGAGGCTGTTGCTGTAGTAGCTGGTGCCTCGCAGGCATTTCGATTTCGCTTCGTAAGGGATCTCGTCCCTATGCCAGATATAATCTGTGGTGAACGGTTACAATATTGAAACGATAACTAACGTGACGTATACGACCCTAAAGGATAATTACAAGCCCATCTGCACCGCTACGATTCGATCCCTGAGCACAAACCTCTCCTGATTCTGTAAGCTAACGTCCTGTCGTGTGCGTAGGGCAATCCTTTTTCCGCGTTGTCCCTTATGACGGCCAATCGAATGCACTCGTTAACGTTTTTAGCTGGTCTCTTCGAGCAGTACTCATCTTTTCCCTCCACGGAACAAACGCATATCTGACACGTCTCGTCCTTCGCCCCCGAGTTCATGTGAGTTCGTCTCGATACAATTTCTTCGTAATCGTCTTCAGCGAATTGGGTGACGTTTGAGGCTCGACTGATTTTTATAACGGTTCTGCCGGGCATACACTTTAGACCCCGACTCTTTATTTCGGCAGGCTTCGGTAGACGTGCATTATAAAAAAAACCTACGGAAAGCGGTCAACCGCAATCCATTACTAAATGCGGATTATTAATATCAATCGTTTCGTACACACATTTATCTCTAAAATGGCTTAGACATTCAAAGATTATTTCGAAAAATTTCTAAGATTTGGAAAGAAAAACATTATATTTTACCATTTGCTCAATTGAACAAGAGTATTGTACTCGTAATGGCTCCAACTGACACTTTTATCCTATGCTAAAACTCAAGGTTCAGTCAGGATAGGATGTATGGCAAATACCTATTCGTTACTACTTTTCTATTAATGACAGTATTTATCAATGAATGTCGCTTAGAAATCTTGAAACTAATGACTTTACGACGGATGATAAACAATTGGCAGAGCGACACTACGACGACGTCTATTGTGAGTTCGAATCCCGCTTGTGTACTGGTAATCCTCCTTTAAACACATTTTCAAGTCTAATAATCACTCACCGCATTGCACCGTCCCAATGAAGGCCAAGAGTGCAAAGAGTAGAACGAGCACTCTCACTTCCATGGTTGCACTTTTACTGTCTGATTGAAATCCTTGCTCACTTTATATCGTCCGCATGAATTCACTTGATGACTTCTTATTTTACAAACAGGGATGGAATCGAATATTTCAATAGATTATTCATACGTTAATTAATTGTACATTTAAATACTGAATGTAGTGTTCGGGAATGGTACACAGTTAAATAAAACACTTTAACGGTTTTAAACGCGATATATATATAATAGTTAAACTATAACCAAAACGTCGGGCCTTAGTTAAAATAAGTTTAACTAATATATATCACGTTTTACACCGTTAGTTTTTTTTTCATATTAAACAATAAATAACTGAAAAACTAAACACAATTATAACCTGTATATTTGTAATAGTAATAGGTAGTAGTAGTAGTGTAGGTTTATAATAGTAATATAATTTTTTAAATACTTGTTATCGCACTCGCTCTTGAATCTTGAAAGTACCGATTTTTTTCGTGGAACTTATACTTACTTACTTAGTTTATAAGATTGTTGCAAATTCCGCCCCTGTTTGAATTCAACGTACGAGCAATACAATAGCGACAAACTTTGAAATAAGACGTCAGAAATAGGTCGTTAATTTTATCGTTGCACCTGTGACATTCGTGCACTAGCCTACGTGCTACGCGATTCATTCGTTTCTCATTTACCACTTAACGAATCCTAGATAGTTGTGATTCACGGTTTAGAATCGTTTCACCTGACTTAACGGGGCGAATTTTGTTGTTGAAATTGGCCTTCCGGGTGAGGGTGGCTAACGTCGGAAGAAATCAAAATTAATACTGTTTAATAAATAAAATATCTTTATATGTTAACTTAATTCTAAAGTACAAAACTTTAAAGGCAATAATTTACAATACTATAAAATTCAGTCTTAACAATCAAACATCAGCTCCATAAATTAATATAGTAACCACTCGCCATAGTTTGCAAACGCCGAACATATACTCTGGTCTCTCTCGTACTCCGCCCCCAATTTGATAACACGTGACCCCCATCTTACAATTTGCTCGGGGGTCAAGCTATGACTAGACGCCGAGCCCCAGTACAGACAACCCGAGGGTATCCACGGTTTATACGGACTTAAGCCTCTTTCGTGAGCTAATTTTATACCCAACGTTTTGTTAGCAACTAAATATGTAAAATACACATCTTCCAAATTAATAATCGGCACTGTGTAGGCGGCTTGGAGCATTAATCGTATGTACTTCACTGGAAAGAGAAAGAGTGGGGTTAAAATATAGACATATAGTGTCGGGGTCATGTGTTTAGAAACTTTAAAGAGGAATCATTTTCTCCTACATATTTTTGGGCATCTTAGACTGTTTTCGCACCGTACGCATCGGAAACCCACATATATGAATAAATTTTCTCTTTTTTCCACATTTCCCGCTGTTTCTTCGCTCCTATTAGTTACATCGCGATGTGTTCGCCTTAGCCTTCCTCGATAAATGTTCTAACACAAAAATAACTATTCGAACCAGTAGTTTTTGAGCTTTGCGCGTTCAAACAAACAAACAAACTCTTCAGCTTTATATGTTAGTATAGACTTATTGATTATAAATATTTGGATTTAATTCACCATTAACTAAATACCCCGTTCCCGAAAGATATCCCGGCACAAAGTCGTCTCGAAGCAACCAGCTCGGGATGTGCCACTTGTTATGGGTGCTTCTGTGCAAGTAGTTATTCGTCTTCAGGTAACCTGGAAGAATATTTTTAACAAAAAAAAAAAAAGAATTGTCACAATTCCATATAGCCATTTTCAGTTTTATTATATATAATAGATTAATATTAATGATTTCGTCGGTACCCGTTAGACCAAATATAATATTTACAAAGTAAATTCCACAGTGGCCCTAGAATATAGAGAGAATTGTTTATTTGTTCTGCGATCGTGGCCGACTGTTCTTAATGTCTTTTCTTTTAGTTTTAATGACGTTTACCTATCAAACCATCATCAGGCCTCTCCTCCACGATTCGTTTGAGCTTCCAGGGGTTGACTAAAACGTCATCATCCGTTTTAAAAAGAAATTTCGACGTGGAACATCTATTGATGGTCCACTCCAGCATCAAGCCAGTCTTGAGAGTCAGGTTTTGGTAGTGATCTCGGAATTGGTAGGTTATTATATCACCGTGCAGCTTGGCTTCCAAGTAATTGTCTACCTGAAGTTGGAAAATTGTAATTTATGTACGTTGTTACAAGTAAAGCGAGACGTCGACGTCAATAAAAGGCATTCGAAAGCCACTAGATGCATAGATACAGATTAACTTACCATAAGGTCGTCCTCAGTGTATCCTTCTATGCCCAGCACGAAGAAGGTAGTCAGATGTGAACCCCATGTACTTCTGATCGCCTCGCGAGCTTCAAAGTGGTTCGGTGATGACGAGACCAGAACCAAAATATCCCCACATCGCACCTCGGATGGTTCTATTAGGAGTTGTCTGAAAATGGAAACGAAAAATAAGTCGTTATCAATAATGTTTTGTCGAAAAGACTGCTTAGTTGTTATATATATGTCGTTAACTACCAAATTGTAAAGTTAAAAATAATACTAGACTAGATAAAAATATCAATTTGTTTTAAACAAATATTTGATGCAAATACGTATGTAGGAACTTACGTGTTTTCAATGTAGCTTCTCAAATTTCTCGTCCTTTGAAAGTGTTCAAGATCTTGATCGGCCACTGTTGGCAATAGGGCGTTGGCCGCAATGTCGGCAACAAGCCAGCCCCACATCAACAGCGCACAGACCACGATTAGCAGAAACAGTCGCACCGAAGTGCTGCGACGAGTTACTAGAAACCAAATTATGTGTTTCACTTGTAGTCCATTTTGAAATATTTCATTGTTTTTACGTAAAAACATTATAATTGTTTCCTTCCGATTACGATTAACACTAAAATGGTTCTATTTAAAATTTGTTCTCGCCTACGTTTGTAAAAATGCGGGTAGTCTTAAAAATGCTTTAAAACATCCATGTTTACCTACATAATTATATGAATAAATAATTTGATTTGTTGACTTATTATTATTTCGTATGAGTATGCAGTTATGAGGCCAGATATGCCACTGCAACATAATATCTTTCCTAAGGATTGATAATATGCAGGTCGGGGAATATGTTATCGGCCGGGTGTCTCTTAGCCGGTGATGTAGCTAAAAATAATTTCCAAACGTAAAACATTTAATTTGTTAAAAACTTCGCTCACATGTGTAAGTAAACAGAAATACTTTTAAGCCACAATATATTATTGTGGTTAGCACAGCCTGAGCGGCGAAACGTAATCTTATCTCAACCGGGCAAAAGGAAGTAGATATCCATATACAAAGATGTCTTTGTCACTTACATTTAATATCCTATTTAGTTAGGACTAAAGAAATATACCTACACGATATAGGCGGACAATTGACAACGAAAAATACCGTTATTTCAACGGTATTTTTTGATAAAAATCCATGCAATTACGTTTAAAAATGCTTAATACGCGTATAGAACATGAGACTGAACAATTTTTTTTATTGCTCAGTTGCTATAGATCGATATATCACTTTGTCGAGTTTTGTTGATGTTTTACAGAGTTACATGTCTATTATGTTTGCCTAATCATCTCAGTAGGTATCCGTAAAAACGCCAATTTTAACACTTATGTTGAAGTAAAGTATGTAAATTTCTATTTTCAATTATTTCCTGAGCCCTGCTAGTAAACTCGTTATTTTTTTATATGATTAATAGGTTACGTTATGTAACCCTAATGTCTACCTTAGATATACCACTGTCTTTTTGACATTCGATAAAACAAAAGATTGAATGTATATGTCTAGTAATTTGCGGCAACGTAGAACCACCCAGAGTTCAGAATGATCTCCGTTGAAGGCTTACAATTTTGAGGGTCTCACTTCGATATTCGAATTCGGTTGTGACACGCGTGCTCGATAGTTTGGAACCAATGTCTGACTATAGCTTAACTACTCTAAACTTGGACGAACATCGCTTAATCGCAGAGTACAAAAGCGCACTCTCTGTGACATTGCTTATCTACAAAATGTTAATTAGATGCTCATACAAAGTGTGACCGCTACCATCGTTAAGTCCAAACTATCAAATTGCCTATACTAGTGCGGGTTGGCGATGCTTGTTCTATTTGACAGATGAAACAGAGAAAGGGAAACGTGTAACGCAAAGGACAAACTTTGTTGAAAAACATGACTCCTTAACTCATAACCATATGACACTCACCGGATCGTTTAAGGATCCAAAAGAATCGTCTCATCCTCGTTACGATGTGCTTTAATCGCTTTTTTATCAACACTGGCACATTATGATTTCCCGCCAACCCGGGAACGACCGCTAACCACTAAACTCTACTATCTACAGGCGATCGATAAAGATTGTGTATTTTCGACGAGTTATCAGCGCTCTTGGCTTATCACCGATTAGTAAATAGAAACGCCAACGCCTCCCGAGGGACGTAAAATTATTTTGACTTTTGCTTATGAATATGTAAAAGTGCTAGGGTTGTAGGGTTGTGTCGCGGCGGGAAGAGAAGCAATGTCAAGTTAAACGCTAAGTACAAAGTCTTGAACTATGTCTAAATTAAACTCTAAACTAAAGGTCTTATCTAATTAATTTGCTACCTAGACAATTAGGCGTTAATCTATCGAACAATTTGAGAAGTCAATTAATATATTTTGGCTACCCTAATGTGACAGATGACTTGACAAATATTTTTAACGGTTGCATTAATTTATCGTCAGTAAATATCCAAGGAGGTTTTGTACTCAAAATAACAAAACTTGGTATTTCTAGCGGCTTCAATGATCACACGCATGTATTCTATGCATATTATGAATACAAAAACGTACATTTTAATACACACTTACCAATTAGTAACAAAAAGCAATAAATACTATTTCGTTGGATTTATTAGCTAATGATAATTATCCCCATAATATTTGTAATAATGTTGTTCAATATAAATCTTTGGTAACCAAGTAATGTACTACTTATATTAATGATAATCTACTTGTCGTCCGACGGTTGTTTGACCCAGAACCCCCAGGGGGCGTGGCCGTCGTGCTTCGTAGGGCCCCGGTACACCTTGATTTGAACTCGTGGAACTTCGTCTGAAAAAGTAAAACCAGTCAAGATAGAGTATTCGATAGCGAGTAGAGCAGGATACGAATCCAAGGTCGTTCCATACGTGTTGCTCTCACACTAAAACATCTCTCTGCCAATGTTTTCAATCGTAAGATTTACCTATTACTTCTTTAATAGCAAAGCTTAAAACACAAAGTTTTACTGTAAGAAAATGGGCAGGCAACCTTTATTTAGCAATTAGAAAAAGACGTTTCCAGAAAGCTTGACTAAGCAATTTATAATTATTACAGTGAATTCGCTATAACACAGATCGTATGATATGGAGGACGCACCTTTTCTATCAATTTCATGCTCGCGGTAGTCTTCATCGTCGAATTCTTGAGGTCTCGCAACCACCAGACACAATAGGGTAAATAGGAAGAATAAGTTCATGATGGATCGCTGAAAAATAGTACATTACTATTTTATTTCTGTCCTGACCATTTAAACACACTAGAGATAAGAATCTCTATTTGATACTTCAATCCCCGTAGTACAAATTCTGAGCAGGAATGCTAGATTTTTCTAACAGAGAATAGTTCTCCCTGTCAGAAAAACTGACTGTAAGCAAACAACTGCAAGTTATACTCATAATAATTTTATTTGTGTTTGACAGAAATATATTCATCGTAAGATCACCTTTATTTTCTTACAAAAGCATTTACAGGACAGTGGCATATTTACATATGAATATTATTATTAGACACCAAAGTTTTAAGGTTTAGGTTATAGAATCTGGGAAATTTGCAAAAAACAACTCATAGTTCAAATTCATAGTTATAAATCAAGAAACCATTTCACATATTAAATATTTAATAGTATTTTAGTTGACTAAATTATACCTAACACTGTTTCCTTCCAAAGGAGCTTGGGTCCCCCTTATTATTGTTATTGTAACATATACTGTAATACATAAACATATATTGTAGTATTTATAATATTTCTTTTCAAGTCAATATCATTTTTCATATAAAAAGTATGTTTTGTAAAATAAAGAATCATCTTATGGAAATTGGTACATAGAGATGTCACAATAGTTTATTTGATTTATCTCATTTACACAAGGATTGAAAATTTACATTTTTTATTTTTATAAATTATTATATTTATTTTACTGAACTTTACTTTCTAATGTGCAGTCAGAATCGTGCCCACTATCTGTTGAGACAGAGGGTGGTTTTGGCATAACTTCTTCATCATCATCTTCACTCAAAGACGAACAATCAGACAACTCTGCATCAATCCACAACTTGGCTTTTTTCTTTTTTATCTGTACATCATCAGACTTTCTTTTACGTTCATTGGATGCACCCGCCGCTTGCCAACCAGCATCCACAGCGGAACTGACTCGTTCCGGTAACTCCTGCCGTTCTTTTTCATAATTAGGGTTTAAGTTTACTTCAATTTTGGGCTCTGCGAGTAGTCTTTCTAGTTTTTTTTGTTTTCGTTCGCTAGCCTCTCTCTCTCGTTCTTCTTGTCCCTCCAGCCACTTTCTAAGCCTTTTTTCTTCGTTTATATCACGTAATCTCCTTCCGGACAAGTCACGACACGCTTCACGGTTCGTTGTCTTTTCGATTTGAGCACCAATCGCACGTAACATGGACCCAAAACCCCCTTTGCCTCCACATAATCGAGTAGAAACTCTCACTACATCAAGTTCGCACAGATTAATGTCGGTTGTGACTCTCTTTCCGTTTATTGTTATGTAAATATCATCACGCGGAATTCCGTATTGCTTAGAAACAATCTTGCTCACATCGATAACATTACAACAGGGAGCATCAATAACATGATTTTCAAAGTAAATAAAAGCAGCCATTGTTTTTTTTTTCGTTATGTATGGTCGTGTGAAATGTAAAACTTTCAAAATGTACTTTACGATTACTTTTCACAAATAGTACACTTTGTCTCTCTTCTTGTTATCAATATATCATTTTTTTATTCTTCCAATTTGTATAGACTCACATTAATTACAAAAATATTATATATTACGACGCAACTGTAACGTATTGTATCATCAGTACTTATTACCATCAAAAAGTCAACGTCAGATTTTGGACAGATGTATTAACTGTCACATTAGTAATTAATAAAACCACAGGTTAAAATAAATAATCTTTATATAATATAGACATAAAGAAAGTGAAAATACAAAATAAAAATACTAGCTGCATTAGCACTAGAAAAATACTTTTCTTTATTATTTTACAGTTATTATCGAATTTGATAATCTTTTTGGTTTAATTTTATTACGGTACTTACTTGGAATAACATAATATCAGATAATTTTGAGCACTTCTGAATTCTGCACACTTTAAATGAAAAGACAGTAAATTGTTCTGGTAGCGTACTTATATAGAATATCTGAGATTGGGGTCTGTTAATTTCATGGTTTAATGAACATTAATTTCAAGAGAAAGTGAAAGTGTGAATCAATGATTGCTTGATTCATGAATAAATGCTTCCGGCTTCCCAAAAAAAATAAAAATGCGTTACAGAATAGAAAATCGTTGTTAAATCTGATAAATATGAAGGTTAACCTCGTAGCATTGTGAATGTTGTTGCCAATATAATAAATAATAATTCTTTCCGTACTAAGTTTGCATGGTAGTTTTCAAACTAGGCACATGAGTTTTAAAGAACCACAGACTTATGAAGAAAAACGTAACTGTGTATAGTCTGTCGAAATTTTTATTCTAATAAAAAATTGATTTTTGTTGTCTATGGTTTCTGTAATATCGTCCGCCATTAGGTATTTAGTTTATACATTGTCAAAAAGGGACACCCAATAAAATTAGAGCTTTTTAAAATATAACAGGAAGTTGCTTCTTGTAACAGACAGTGGTGATACATAATTTCTAATTAATTTAATATTATGGCTCAAAATATAAATCCACACTACGCATCGTCGTCAAATCCCGCCAAACAGAATGAAGACACTATAAAATTGAAGGACAATCACGCTGTGAGCAAACGGTGAGAAACACTTTCTTCGAGTGACTGTTTCAAATTCAATAAAATGATGGTCTCTATAATTCTCCTACGCTGTCTTTCCTGCAGGTTACAAAAGGAACTTATGGAGTTGATGCGATGCGCTGACAAGGGAATTTCAGCATTTCCCGAAAGCGAAAACTTGTTTAAATGGATTGGAACGATTAACGGTCCGCTTGAGACCGTTTACGCGGGACACAAGTATAAGTTAGCCTTGGAGTTTCCTAATTCATATCCTTACGCGCCGCCTTTAGTAAAATTCATCACACCTTGCTTTCACCCTAATGTAGATTCTTGTGGTTTAATATGTTTAGATATCTTGAAAGACAAATGGACAGCATTGTATGACGTTCGTACAGTCTTACTGTCGATACAGAGTTTGTTAGCCGAACCTAACACGCAAAGTCCACTAAACCAGCAAGCGTCATATATGTGGCCAAACCAGCCAGAATATAAGAAATACCTAGATGAATTTTATAATAAACATAAAGACTTATAGTTTTTCAAAATTATTTTCGTTTTTGTTTGAAAAGTGTGCATGCGAGGGACGGAAGATTAATAATTTCACATTGACTCGAGTGTTAGGCATATTGATGTTGATATTCTACCTAATTTATTTTGTTGTTTTGCTTCCGTCTTGGGTTGTAACAGATTAAATGTTAAATAAAAATCACTGGCAATTATAATTCTTAGTGCAATTCTTGGTGGTGTTTGATTTCTTCTTTTTGCTCAAAAACACGAAATAAAAAGTTAAATTTAATTTACTTTATGAAATTAAATCAATTGACAACTTCAGGCTTTTAATATTAACATTTAATAATTTTACATCAGCAATATTAGTGAGTAGTTGTTGAACATTTTAACTTGATTAAAATTTCAAACTTATGTGGAATGTTTATATATTAAATAAATAAAGTATATAACAGCTAGAAGGCTTCTATAGGCAAATAGTCATACTGAAAAATTAAATTTAAGATAATACTCTTCACATAATGCAAATTATATTTATAAATGTATTCTATTCATACCCTAAGATAGACTAGAATTATATGTATATTCGCACCAACGGTGTCATTTCATAGGATTATACAATATTTCCTTATAATAATGATTAATGATATTTATTTTGTATAAAAACTAAATCATCAAATTCTCTAAGTTATCATTGAACATATTTTAGTTTGGACTATAATAATTACAAATGTTGATAGTCTGTTAACAAGTAGAGGAAGAACCTTTGACTGATTGAAAACTACTTCAATAGGCAAAATTTAATCATGTCTTTAGGAAAATTGTAGTAAGCAGGTGCTTTTGAGCTCTAGATAAAATAGACAAATTATTTCTTTTTAATGGGTGCTACTCTTGTAACTTCAATGTCATAAATTAATTTAACTTTATAAATAAACAAGTGTTAACTCTTAACTATGACCAAGAATATAAACATAACAATTACTGCAACACTTAAACACAGTATACAGTGCATCTTCCTATTCTTTCTCTGATAGCGTTCAGCCTTTTTTAACTGTTTATAACCTTCGTGTACTTGAACCTGTGTTTGTTCAAGGTTATAATCTATTCTATCTAAAACGGTTCCCTGTTCATGTACCATATGTGCCAAGTCTTTAAAAATATCATTTAAATCTACAATGGATTTCACAATTTTATTTACTTCTTGCTCTCTCTCGGCTATCATTTGTGTATTTTCTTCTTCCATTAGGAGCAATTGCTTTTGGTTTAAAGTATTTCTACTCTCATCTTCATAATTGGAGGTACTCGGTAAGGAAAACAGCAAATCCGTTTGATTGTTAGTTAATCCCGGTAAGAGATTATTGTCATCTAGACTTAGTTCTTCAAAGTTTGGTAAGTCAAAGTAAGCATTTGATCTTTCTTCTCTAGAAGTGAGGGATTTGAGATAGTTGGATTGTGCTGTTCTGAATGTTATGCTTAAATCTTGCAATATTGTCACTAGTGCCAAGACTACATTAGTCGCTAACTTTTGTTCAGATCTGTTACCTAGAATTTAAAAATATACATTTTGTGTTTCAAACTTAAAGAGTAACTTTGCTCTATCATAGCTGCACTATTTTCTCTTTCTATTACTTACCATGTTGAACTTGTGCCTTAATATTTGTTATCCTTGCGTGGGCTTGTGTAAAATGTTTTCCTATATCAGCAGCTAGTCTCTCAATATGTTGTTGCTCACTACTGTCATCTAAAGCTGGTCTTCGGATCTGACGCTCATGATGTGCTTGCAATTCCGATATCTTTGTTCTTAATCTGTGATGGAATGTGCCTTATCAGAAATGTAACTTTTAAGAGATTTAAAATTATTTTTGATACACATCAGTGTTTGCAATAAATAAATAAACCTGGATATGATATAATGAGCTTCTTCCAAGGAATCACTCCAGGGTGGTGGATTTGCCTCCACCTTTGTGTCTAGTCCAGCTTCTATATCTTGAGAGCTAGATGTCATGAGCATAGCTCCTTCATGGTCTTCATCATTTGCCTAGAATGAAGAACATACTTTATAAAATAGGGTGTGTTTAACAATGCGCAACTATTTTTAACCCGTATTACAGAGGCTTATTGCTGCCTTATATTCACGTATATTTACATAAACTTATTGTACCATGTAATAGTGAATATTTAGGTAATTTATTTAGGAATTATATCGTAGTGAGATTACTTAAAAAAGTAAAACAGATAGAAAGTATAGTCCAAAAAAAAATTACCGCTTCAGCAAATAGGTTTCGGCTATGAATAGCATTATTTCGCATCAACACAAAAACCTCAGTCAAATTTCTTGATACCATGATTAAAATTGCAATATATGTATTTTAGTCCGGTTAAAATTTTAATAATGCAATGTTACTATAGATTATCTTAAGCTATATTTGGATATAGACATAATAATTCATTTTAAACTAAATGATTAAAAATGTCTTGTGTATTCTCGTTATATATTTTATATTTATTAACATTTCACCACTATTTTACTGTCATAAGTCAAATGTCACAGATAATTTTAGGTCTAGATTATGCTTATTGATGACAGATCCACAGGCTGAACTTCACATTGAAGCAATTGTCGTCTTTCAGTGCAATTTGTCAAGGAGTGCTGCGGGGCGATTTTGTAACTCAATAGTGTTGATCACTAGACATTAGTTGACAACAACTATCTGTCAAAGAGCTTGAGTGATAATACGGGTTATGTTGTTGTTATACCAATTTTCTAATAAAATATCATTTGAGGATGATTTAATCGCAGATTCTGTATGTCGGCTAAATTAAAGTATTAATAAATCTTTATATCTTCTAACTTAAAATAAGTAGTAAGTGTATTCCAATGAGTACAATACAAGATACGGCACCGGAAACTTTTCAACAGTTTCCTTCGAACCGGATTATTGTAATTCATCCGGGGTCCTTTTACGTTCGTATAGGGAGAGCGTCGGATCTTCTGCCGGTGAGACAATTACACTGCATTGCTAGAAAACGTCGGCCAGGTGGTAAAATATATCGCGACTCTTTCGTGCCGCCTAGTGTTCCTAAAACTAAAGATCTCATTGAAGAATTGGAAGAATGTCGCTTGCAAATATCGCACACGCTTCAATCCTGTATGCAGTCAAACGGAGCTAGGAGATACGCGACACCCCCTCAGCAAATTGCAGCTTTTAATCGTCGCTCTTTGCCTGAAGCTGTAAGCGATGGAGAACCGTGGCCCCAAGTTGAATGTGATATTATCATTGGCGATTTAGTTTTGGATGTAGACCCAGAGTTACCTTATAACATACACTTCCCATACAAAAGAGGAGATTTTAACATACACTCCGAAGTAGGTGGTTCAATATCATCAGTTCTTAATGACCTATACACAATATGGAAATCTATTATTGAATATAAACTCGGCATTTCGCTTGTGGAATTAGTAAAATATAGGTGTGTCTTATTAATACCAGATATTTATACTAGAAGTCACCTAAAGTACCTGATGTCTTTGCTACTGAAAGATTTAGGTTTTGGCCACTGTTTTCTTGTGCAAGAAAGTGTCGGTGCAACATTTGGAGCTGGGATAGGATCAGCATGTGTAGTAGATATTGGGGATCAGAAAACAGCAATATCATGTGTTGAAGATGGGATCTCTCATAAAACAACACGCTTACGAATGGACTATGGTGCAGGAGATGTGTGCCAAGCTTTGTCGTGGATGTTTCACAAAAGTGCATTTCCTTATAAAAATTGGAATGAAAATATACCAAGGGATGTTATACTCATGAGAAATCTATACCAAGATTTTTGTCATGTTAATCTGGATGTGTGTGGACCACAAGAAAAAACCTTTCTTGTGGATCACCCTGGGGATATTGTAAATAAATACACTCTACAAGTTGGTGATGAGTGCATTATATCACCTTTAGCATTATTTTATACCGATCTGCTAAAAATAACTGGAACGAAAACTACCAAAATACAGAATCGGCAATCAAGCGACCCGGAAGATCCATTTGATGCCGAATATTTACGTGAAACGGGACGTAAGAAGGAAGTAGCTGATCCAACAGCAAATGAACCGCAGTCAGATGCCGCAAGTGAAGCACAGCCGTCAACTAACCCAGAAGAAGACATTGTAGTTGACACATTAGAAGGAGGACCTGGCGACATAGTCACATTGGCTCCCGGTCAAGTCTTGAGTTTGGATGCGGCTATATTACAAAGCATAGACCGCTGCCCCAGTGAAGAACTCAAGCGAAAGATGTACAGCAGTATTCTCATCATAGGAGGGGGTGTCAAAGTGCACGGGCTTAATCTCTGGCTACAAAATAGATTAGCGTTACAAATACCGTATGCATATAAAACTGAGCAGCTAGAAATTGTGACATCTCCAAAAGATATAGATCCAGCTAGTACTGTGTGGAAAGGAGCCGCTGTCATGTCATGTTTAGAGTCCGCAATAGAGTTGTGGATTAACCAGAACGAATGGAACAAGTATGGCTTAAAGATATTAAGAGAAAGAGCACCATTTATTTGGTGAGTCATGTCTTTTATGCATAGCATTGTAAATAGACAAGTGTAACTGACATATTATGGTGTTTCATTATTTTAATAGTATGTAAAAAGTTTATGACATAAATTAAACACTTCAATGTTAGAAACTTTATTTAAATAAAAGGTTTGGCAAAAATAGTTTCTATAGTAAAATTGGTATCAAAAATCAGTCTTATTAATGTAACCATTCAAACAATGAACTGGAATAAATATATTCAGCAAAACTGTAATTTATATAATACAGTTGTAAATTTGTTTAGAAAACGTTTTAAACTGTTAAAAGGGATCTATTTGCTATAAAGAATCTATATACATTTTATTTGCTCTAGATTCTACATTGTACTTGCCAAAAATGCTTATATGGATCAGATCTAATCTTTTAAGGTCTTATAGCGTAATTAAAAATATCTATTTCCCTGACTGAAAATAAAGATTCTCAATCTCAGTGTAACACAATTGCAATTATTATTTTACACATCATTTGACTTCTACTTCTTCCCCATTAAATGAAACAGATGAACTAACAGACACTTTAGGATGAAAACATCCGTAATATACAAGCATAAACAAAAGACCCACAACATATGGCACTGTGCTCAACAACATCACAGGATAAAAATATATGGACATTTTCAAGCCTTCATCTACATACAAAATCCACAACAAACCGCAGATGAGGTTTTGTATACCACATATACTATAATATAGCGTATATCTATATCTAGTCCGGCCTTCCACTGGTAAAATATATGTGAATAAGTAAACGGCTCCCAGTGCTAGTGAGAAGAAAAATTCCGCCACTTTGCTTTGTGAGCAAAATGTTGAGCGGTCATAGAACTGTAACCACATTGTCATGATGAGAATGTGGATACCGCACGCTAAGACGGCCCAATAAGGAAACATGTAGGCTACGATCGATATTGAAGTGATGCGGCTCACTGCAAAAGAGAAAATAACTGTCAGAATATACTATTATAATTGTTGGTTTAATTAATATAAAAATAAAAAAATCCATAAAAGAATAATCATAAAATAAATGTTTCATAGAATAGACTATAGACAGTATTTGTATCATAGAACTTAAGATTGAAGATAGCATACTTTATTCTCTTTCTTAATATTAATAAAACTTACATGTTACAAGAAAGTGCCACAAGACCTGGAAAATAGTACCACACCACGTTATATTATTCTTCGTCTGCTGGGCATAACGTATCGCCCGTTGATAAGCAGCAAGGCACCAACCCATACCCACGATGGATGAGCATATTGAGAGCAGTTGATGAACTGAAAATCAGATAATATGCTGTAAGTCACAGTCAAAATAAAGAAGACACAATCTGGTTAATTGATACAATTAAAAGTAAAAACAGCAATGCAATCTGACTCATGAGAGTTCATTGTAATGTTATTTGTGTAAAAGATAATATTACTCACCAGCTAGATGATCATACTGTCTTAACAGTAAACTAGTCTGCAGCACTTGCTGCGGTGCTGCTTCCAGAAAGCACTCAAAAATCCTAAGTAGTGCAGCATCTGAATCTTCTTTCAGCATGAGACTGTAGTACATCCTTTGAGATGTAGGATCGCGTTTACGAGCGGCTCGCCGACTTTTGATAGCGTAACTGGCAAAATTCATAAGTGAACTTTAATCAATTCTAGACACACATGGTATCTATTCCAAAATATTAAACAATATCCTTAAATTTAAGTTGGTTTTTACCAAATAACTATAATGAGTACAATAGCAAAGACAAGTTGAGTGCAGATAAGGTTTAACTAATAGAAATCATAATAAAAGCATATGTTTAAAAAAATTAATCTTCATATCTTACATGAGGGCATCAGCAAATCGAAGTATGGGTGCCATTTGCAGAACTAAAATAAATATCCGAAGCCATTTTCGTTTTGTGAATTCATTGCTTAATGAATTCTGTTGCTTATCTTGATAATACCTGACAATGTTTTTGAAAATAGAAAGAAAAGAATTATTAACAAAAGTTGCTTGGTAAAATATAAAGTTCCAAAAGTTTAGTTACCATCTCATACAAGATGGTGACTCTAACTGCATCTAGGCCACAAATTTCTATTATTGATATGTTCCTACATAAGATAAGGACAAAGGAATAATTAAATCCCTATTTTTATTTGTTTTACTTTGTTTTTGATATAGCCTGGTGATATAGTGAGAAGCTTCATTTTAGTATTATGGACTTAGAACACTAAAACAACAATTTTTATTTACTTTATAGCTTCAGGTTGTGTATTAATAATTATCATAACTTATCAATTGTGACTCAACAAGCAAGGGTATTTCAGACTCATTCACCTTGTCTATAGTAATATAGCAAAAGACCAATGTCCTCTGTAGAGGGGAAATGATTATCAGACAATGTAGACTAATCACCAGCCTTCTATTGGTTATTTTTAAGATACCAATAAATAATAACATAGCAAAAATAGTGTGTGATGTAGGTAATATGCAATTCTTCTGTCTATTATCTTAGACTCGTAATATTGAAACTATACAGAGAAAAGCTAGTCCACACCGATTTAATAACTTTCAAATTACTTACATTCTCACCGAAAGAGCTGTATTCACAAACGCCGGTAGGAGTATAAAAACCAGAGTCCAACTGAACTCCATCATCTTATGAGCTAAACAATACTGCACTGCGATGTTTATATCTAGACCTAAGTCTATAAAGTGGCCAACGATGGCCACCACATACATGAACATGTCCAAGTATGTAATTGTTATATTATTTGGCATTCGGTCGGGCTCGTCATGAGAAATGCGAGACCCGTTTTCGAGCATCACAGTCATTGCATTCGACATTGTCTATTGTACTTTTGGCTCAACTTTTTATCATGCCGAGAACTTTCAAATATATCAGCTTAATTTTTTAAATACTTATTGATAAATGCAAGTAATGTGTATACATGCATTAGAGTTGCCTTCGTAAATGCGTCATTGAAGTGGAGAGACCAATTACTTTTTGAACAAAGATATGACTTAAAACAATCAGTAACTAAACATTTAATTTGTTTACAACACTGAGGCGGGAGGCTGAGTGATCAGTGATATAGAAATAAAACAAATGTCACTGTCACCAACATATATATTTTTTAATACTTTAAGTCCTCGTTGTCACAGATGTAATATGAAGCCAGAAGTAGAAAAAGATAAACTGATATACAGATAACAGCCATTTATTGTTTGATGTTCTTAATTTTATGAGTTGCACTACAGACTCAATAATCTCGCGATCTTTCAGCGATATAAATACTTAAAATTATTTACAGTGATCGTAATCTATCAATTTCAATATACGTACATGCTACGCTAAGCATATAAAGCTTTAACAATATCTTGTGATGAAATATTTGCTGAAAATAATGTCATATATAGGGGTTCTTGTATATTTCCATATAGTGATTTAGCCCTGAAAAGGAGATATTATCAATAAACCAAAATAATGAAAGCGTATTTACGTACTAAATGAACTCTGTGTACGTATTTCTTACTTCTCTTTAAGCTTACTGACAAGATTTTCCCATTTTTGTGGAAACAACGTTTGGTGGCTGTTCCTCCATTTATCTGTTGTGAAATCTGTCATCGATGCGTTAACTACCTTCAAGTATTCGCAGTTCTCTGCAACGGAAATCAAGTAAGCGTTTTTATTTGAAACGCATAATCATAATCGATTATAGCGCCTCTTGCATGCCCTACTTTATGAGTTAAGGTTAATAATATGCGCAGTAAACAAAAAACATGTTTAAGCTTAAACGTACAAAATAAGCACCTGAATACGCGTCAACAAGAAGTTGGTCAAAGAAATTGGGAACAAAATTGTCGAGGCATTTTTTAACGTCATACAATGAGGCGTTTACGTCTCTTGCGCATTGCTTCGTTTTTATCTCGACTATTGATACAAGACTCTCTTGCATTGTTTCGTTAAATCTGAGAAAAATGGTTGAACATACAAAATTATCTTCTCTATGCTATTCGCAATATTTCGAACATAATAAGCCCATTACAAAACGGTTTACATGACACATGACTGCTTCGTTGGCCTAATGGTTAGCTGCAGCGGCCTCTCCGGCACATTCGTAGAAGCAATCCTATTTTCGCAAAATCTTTTCTAAAGACATTTAGTTAAACAAGCCCAGAGTTTAAAAGTAGAGAGGGCTTTACGCTTTCTTGCCTCATAGAGCACTCTTACCCAGCAGTGGGATATAAAAAGGTTGAAAGAGAGTTTCATGGCTTACAATACCGCTTGGTGCAAAATACAGTGCGCGGCTGCTACTTCATCCGGTAACTCGTTGTGGCATTTATCCACAGTGTCAAAATGCCTCACATCTTCGAAGTTTTTGATCATGCCATGAAACTGGTTTCTAATGAAATTAATTTTCTCCACTGGTTCCACTAAACAGTGGTCCATTATATCAATGATCTGTGAGCGATTAAAAGCGAGATGAATCAATTCACGCGAGACAACGCAGACTACGGTAATACATAACTTGACGAATATTTATTTATAAAAGTTATTTCTTTAATTCATATATTCTTTGCCAATACTTGTCAATCCATTTATCGCCTAGGCGTTAAGACAAACCATTGTACAAACCTCCTCCATGTTAATCATGTAATTGGAAAAGTCGTGGAGGAACTTTATCTTGTAGAATTTGACGACCGCACTCCTCAACTCCTTCGCCATTAGCTCGTTTAATATTTCAACTAAATCCAAGAACATGTCGGTGGCATTCAGGGATCTCTCTTTTAGTTGGTCGTAGTTGTTTCGACCTAGGATGAACAACGACTTTGCCATCTGATACGATTCGGACACCAAGTGAAACTTTTGATCGAGATTCAAGAATTTACTAGTGGCACCCTGTCGATTTATTTATGGATCAATTTGCAATAATCGTAAAATATTGAATACTCCTCTGTTTGAACTGAATTATATTGTTTTTCTAATAACTAGTAACTTTAAGCAAATATATTTAGGTATATAATCTACTTAGTAATTAACTAAAAAGACCTTGTGCTTGAAATGATAATATCATATACTTTAATTATATTCCATACCTCGCGAATAAATATAATGACGAATACACAAACAAGAGAATGGCAGTTCATTTTCTTCCACACAAACCATATAATATGAAATCAATAGCATAGATGATTTTATGACTTTCCATTTTGCATTGGCTATAAATCTACAAAAGTAATTGAAGTTAAGACTACAGACACATAGTATTGGTACATTTCCATTAAAAAGTATGAATCTTAATGCTATTAATAAGTATCTCTACAAAATAGTTTACATAAGTCTTTAGCGTTACTTGATAAATCTTAAAAATTGTATTTATAATAACAATATTTCTCATGTTTGATGGCCTTTGAATGAATGATAAAGACAATAAAAAAAAATCATTACAATCTTCTTGTTCTTGTCCAAGTGTATTGCTTGTTATGTGCATATTATGTTTTATATATATTTTTAAATCTAATGTAATGTTTTATTAAATGCTCCAAGCGAAGTCTCCAAATCAAAGACTAGTTGTCTGGCCTGGGCTTCCGAAAGTTCATCTGAGGCTGACATCTCAGATAGTTTTTCCAGCCACTCTTGAACCTGTAATAAGTAACTTTTTATTTCTAAAATGTCATTTCAACACTTTGCAAACAAATGGTATAGGAAATTTATAATATTACCTTAATTTTTCCAATGAAATCCTCAGGTAGCATAGCTAAACAGTCCATAGCTTCTCGCAACTCTCTCAGCTCTGGTTGAATCATATCCATGGCTCGGAGATCAAGCCTTAGTTTGTCCATCAGTGTGATAAACAGCTAGAAGGTTATCACTTATTCATCATAAAAGAATGACTAAGTTTTATTCAGAAATGGCACATGACTAATAATAAGACTATAGTGCCAATTCAGTGATAAGGATATTGATGAGCTTCTTGGTCAAATGGTAGTATTTAACGGCTTGTGGGGTCAAGTCCCATCAGATCCTAACATGATTCTAAAACCATTTCATATTTTTTTTCTTAAACTGTCTAGAAATGTAGGTGGGTGGTAGGAATATCATGTAGGAATGCCATCTAACCACCATCTAATATATTAAAGTTATGAAGGTAAATCTATGTCTTGGTTGGGTTTGTAGATTTCCAAATGTCAAAAATATAGCGTTTTTTAGGTATATATGGCAATAGTATTTCATCTTCCATCGAGCTCCGTGCTTGTGATTTCTTAAGTTTTAATGATCTTTAATAAAAGACATTGCAGTGTTGAGTGTGATCAATATATAATAAGTAGACAATGATGAGCCTGTTATGAATATATATTGAAAATACTTACAGACACAATCTCTGCAATATATTTGTTTGTGTTTCCTTTGTCGTCCTTTATTAAATTGGGTTTGTTCTCTCTGATCCTCTCAAGTGCGGCAGGGCAGTCCAACTAATTTGTATTAAGACATGTAATTTACAATAACTTAAAGTCTAATTTACATTCCTTAAAATTGTTAAGTGACAAATGTAAACATTGGTGCCCTAGCATTAAAAATACTGTAAAATTTGGGAACTTGGGAAATGATGATCCTATATTTTTATGTTTCATACTATTCAGATGGATACTAGTAATTTAGAACTTACCCTGAATTTACTAACAAAACTTTCAATGGTGGGGAAATCATCTCCCTGTACTTGTTTGAAGGCTACTCTGTATTGCACAAGCAGTCTACTGCATGCTGCAGTATATTCTTGGGCTCGGACACAGTCCCTCATATATGCCTTCTCCAGGTGTTGCAGTGTGCTTACAACTGCATATAGCTCTGCCATATTATCATGCCTGTTGCAATAAATTATTGATATACAAACAAAGCATTCATCATGTACTTTATTTAATTTATATTATACATACTTTTCACGTTCTCTAGCGTTCCTATACAATTTTATCTCTTCGTAAAGTTCTGGCCTTGATTCTAAAAAACAATGCAGATATCATTAATTATAGACTAAGCATTTGGAGATATGTGGTGTAATTTGTTTTCAATTACCTTGCATTCTAAATGTCTTACAGCAAAAGTCTAATACGTATAATATATATGTTTAAGAATACAAGTAATTTATTACGATAGATATATCACAACCAATCTAATCATGAAATCAACACAAGAAAAAAATTATGATACTATTATAAAACAATTCGTTTGCAGTTTACTTGACTTATGTCAACAACTCAAAAGAAGTTAGTCAATTGTCAAATAAGACACATGTTACTCCAGACTAGAAGCAGTAGCATAAGCCCACAGGGGCCATAGATGTATCACCAGTGTGACCTCAAAATGTTATAAATTCACTTCTCCTTATATATTCCAACTGTAAAGTTAGTTAAAAAATTAAGAAATCTGTAAAGCATTATAAGTTACAATAAAACGACTTTGATATTTATTTAAATATGGATTTTTATATGAATGCGATTTTTTAAACTTTTTTGCAGGAAAACAAATTGAAACATTATTTCTTGTTAACAATCGTAAGAGCAACAGCAAATAAACGGCAACACAGCAGGTGACGTAGTGTACTAACATGGCGGATGACGCGAGATTGCGACTCTTCGTCCCGCTCCCCCGTTATTCAGATTTCAATTTTCAGTTGCTTCGGTAAGCGGTTGTGCAACGTAAATGTTTTGTCCTAATATCTTCGATCTGCCATGAATGAAAATAATAACTTTGGTGCGTAATTCTTCGTGAAATTAATACAGTAACATCAACTTTGACTGACTAGGTTGTGGCAGTGAGTAAAGGTGGAATTGTGGCTGGTGTTATTAACTGTACACCTTAAAAATTGTGACCTACAACTTGCTTACAACTCATGTTTACGTGCTGAATTACGACTACGTGAAAAGTTCTCGCTCTTCGGCGATCTGATCTTCTTAATGGGATCTTGTTGAAATACAGGTAAGTGCTTTAGAAATCCAGTTATAATTGAAAGGTTGTCCGTTAATTTGCATAGACGCCGGAAAGGATACCGCTAAGGATAGTATACGGAATGTAATTGCGTAGTACGTTTTGAAGAAATCGTTAGGACGTGCATCTTATTTTAATTCTTACAGTTTATCTGCTTGGAATCCTGTATCGAATATAAACAGGCAATATCGAGGACTGGGCGCGGCAATGCCCTACTTTTCAGATTACCATGGGCCACTTGGCACATACAAACGTTATATTATAACCATCTCTATTGATGAAGTAGAAAGTTAATTCTGCCTTTTAAACAATCATATGTAATCATTTTTTATTTTGACATATGAATAACTTTTCCTTATGCTGCTTTGAAGAAGTAATTTTTACAACATTTTTTACGAAAGTCCTTAATGTAAGGAAAACAGTATTAACTAGTATTCATGTTTTTATAATGTGTTGCTAAAAATTGTTATATATAGCGGTCAAAAGCTATTTACTATTTCACAGATGTTATTGCAATTAAATTTTTGCAATATTATATTATATGTAATGAAAGTAGAGGCATATTAAGGCTACCTTTTAACCTCAACCTTTACAGTATGACATCATTCACTAGATGTTGGGTTTGATTGTGCTCCATGACATCATGACAGAAGGCCACTATTGAATTAAGTAACAGCATTTATGACAATTAAATTTTAATACATATAATGTACCGAACCAAGCTATTACTTAGATATTAATTTAAGAGAAAGTACACGGATTTCTTTTTAAATATAACAGAATATAAGGTTGAATTATAATAAAATTATTTTGTTTAATAGATGCTAATGAATAAAAATAATAAGTAATAGAAGTATTATATCCTATGTTATCGATACCTATTCAACTCAGGGCACTAATAATCATTGTTTCTTCAGAAATATAAACATTGGTTCCTGTTGCTAAGCTCATAAAGAGCTTCAATAAACTCCTATTAGCAAAATAAACACGAAGCCCACCCACATAGCATTCCATGCTAATTCTGATTAACGTAAAAATTAACAAGATTCTACGGAATCTTAGCAGATATTATCTGCTTATGTGCTGGATCCATTACTTTGGCTAACTGTGTTAATGCCCTTCCTTAAAATCTACATTATAAATATAAGTTACATGAGTGATTATTTATTTTAGTATGTAACTACTAAGTAATATATTTTTAATAAAGAGGTTTCATTATACAAAATTATACAGCACAGTCATAGTTCTTTGAATATTTATAAATTGTATACCTATCTAATTATATTTTGTCCCCGTCAGGACAAACATGCAATGTTGTGAGGGGTGTGTTGTTTGACTGAGGGGTTTGTGGGTAAATGGTGAGCTTGATCAGGTGACCAGGTCTAACTTGTTTCCTCTTTGTCTAGAAATCTGGATATTAAATGGGAAACTGAATATAAATAAACTTGACCAGATAAATGCTTAATAAGGTGAAAAGATTCTCATAGAATCCATGTTACTAACGGTCATCCCACTAAGTCAGTGACAAGTTTTAGAATTTTAATTCATAATTCTAACAATAATGCACCCTTATCTTATATGTAGTGCTTTGTTATCTCTGTTGTGTAAGCAAATGTTTCCTCAATAACTTTTTAAAATTTTAACTATGTAAATCATTTGATAAGTTTAAATTATTTGGAAAACTTACATTATTCATGATGTAAAAATGCAGAGTATGTTATAGATAAATTAAGCTTTGACGTTTACAACCTATATTCGTTTTTTAGCATTAACTCATATAGCATATCTTTTTTGGGTTAAAATAGGTTGTTCCAATGCTGTTTTCTAAACTCTGTGCCATAGAGGTTCACGCCAATCTAATTCACTCGAAGACAATCGTAGCAGTTCTCCTCAGCGTGCCTCCATTTGTCTTAATTACAATCTCCATTCATTCTAACTAATGGGAGTTGGGACATTTGTTAGGCGCCAAGGTTAGACTGGCAGTGTTCTAGTTCGTTAATTGTTTTTATAATTTATGTCTTATCGCCACCCTATATGATGATGATGTCATCTCTGTCTATACATTTCAGGAGGTAAGCTAAATGCTTAAACTGTTTGTGCTAAAATGGGTGAATTGTATATGAGACTGCTAGAGGCAGAGTGGCCTAATAATAGAAAATCATGATTTTCGTTAAGGAGAAAAAAGAAAATGCGCAATTAACTCAGGCGAAAATGAATTCGTTCTATTATTAGTGTAAACATTTTCGATCTCCTCTTGTAGATTAACATTTTTAGATTATGAAAATGTAAATGACACTAGTCATATAGAGGTTAGGCTACTCTGCCTCTAGCGGCCTCATAAAATATAATGCCCGGTAGATGTGCATAGAGCGATGTCGTGTGTCTTTTCTGCGAAACGAAGAATGCGAAAATAAATTTTAAAAAGCACTTTTTCGTCGCTCGCTCAGTCAACAAACGTACCGAAAGAAAAACATATTGCGTTACCCGAAACGTTGACTCAGCGCAAACGATTTTGTATGAGAGATAGATGCATTCGTTGTATCTGGCGCTGCGCCAAATGCACTCGTAACTCACTTAAAACTTTTTTGCTCTCTAATGATATTATATGACCTCTCGGCTGTCATTTTTAATCGACATCCTACTATTTACAGCTGATAAATGTCTAATTAACGTGAGAACAGGCATTTGTTAGCTTCATTAGCGGCGCATTAGAAGTCGTTTAGTGTTACCATTAGCTGTTACAAACCATTTTTTAAAACTATTAATAATAATGTAATAGACAAGATTTAGTAATTCAAGATTGATTTAAAACAATCTTCTAAAACTGTCGCCCACGAAAGGCAAGGTCCATCAATATTAGTAGCAAGGCCTGTTTCCCCCACGATTTTAATTATTAATCCTCACTCGAGCTACTGAGATTACTATGGCTCAGCTTTATTCGACGTTTTGTATTCCCGTGTTGGGAAAAAAGAAGTCAAATGTCACTGCGATAGAACGTTTAAATAAGATTCGCTGTCAATATAAAATAATAAAATACGAACGTGTAGTACAGAATTTGCTTAACTTTTCTTCGACTCGCGGTCTACGAGAGTCTACCCTAAATCGGATTCTGTATTTTTGCGATATCGGTTGTGCATTGTTCGATCCCGTCTGAAACCCGTTTCTGTCCGAATGAGTCGGCTTTTTGTCCAATTGTAATGCAAGCACTTGAGCTCGTTTCGTACTATTTTTTTGCTTCCCCACCGTTTTTGGCGCAAATTCAATCTTTTAAGGCATTTCACTTTTTGTAAGTTGTCGATCGGCAAAGGCGTGTCGATGGCACAAAAACTTTAACGTATTTTTTAAACGTCGATAGAAAATAATCAAATCCCTTCGTTATTTCTCAATATGTTATATTCCGAATATGGGTCGTAAACAACCGCGAAGTGAAAACTACGCGAATCTAAAACTTCTCAATCTCACCTAGAACTCTGTATAAGGACGTTAATATAATAAAACAATAAATCGTCTTGACCCAGTCGCCGTCTAGACCTATCACCGTCGACCAGTCCGTTAGCTTTCTTGCAAGCCCGTATCGGGCGGAGGAAATGTCTCGCGACGCTGACAACTTGCTGGTAATTGATTTGAAAAATTCTTCTCGGAACGTACTGTTCGTATGCCCTTCTTTGGCCATGTGCAGCAAGAACATGCGATGAAGCTGTAAAAGATTATCTAGTCATGCAAACGCCGTAACACCCGATTTTGTAGATCAGAAAAGTTACGATATCTACTTGCACAAAACGTTTGGCACACGCGCTTTGGGAAGTTTGCGGGTGACATTTGAGAATCGCAGTTCGTTATTATTTAGAAAGTTGCATATTTGTAAGATCTAAGTTTAATCTTAAGTTTTTACTTTTTAGTGTGTTAACGTTTTCTGTTGTGTTAGTATTTGTTATTATTGTAATTTACAACTTATTGCATTTCTCTCTCATTCTCGTTGACTTTTACTCTATTGTTATTTTGTTTTCCTTTTCTTTATACAAAGGTTGCCTGGAAGAAATCACCGAAGGCGATAAGGCCGCCTGTGCACTAACTCTTTTATGTTATTAATTAATT